GACAAACATATATGGACTTTAAACAAATATATTCGTTTAGACATAGTATCATAACAAATCGGTTGTCAATACCAGTTTCTCTTAATCTCGAATTAAGACAAGATTCTCTTCATCTCGGATCCCATAATTCACCTTATTTGAACCTCTTTGTTATGTTTTGTTTTTACACAATCCTAAATCTTATTAGTCACAAGACTCTTTTTCTCTATGATCCCGAAATAACCTACTTGCATATTACAATAAGAATTTTATGCTGATACCAGAAAGTGGCTCTCTTGGGCTATTATTCTTTTGGATCAAGTTGGTGATCAAGTTGGATCAGACAAGGTTCTTTCAGCAAAAGTAAGTTGGAGAGTATAAAAAGGCTGTATTAGACTGTATGAAGTTATGTGTTTGTTGATTGATTAATGCACATAAGTGAAAGGTACATTAGTCTTTGGATGCACCATAGTCTTACTTCATAAACAAACTCTGTAAGTATGGGTTGTGTATGTATTCGCTTTAGATATGAAGTTCTTGATTGAATCAATACTGGTGAGAGTTTAAGGGATATGATTGTTTATAGTCAAGAGTTATAGACTGAATTAACAATAAAATATATTACTATGTAGACAAAGAACAATATGAAGAAGAAGCAAAGTATAACGCACCTCAAAGCTGGATTTAGATAGCAAAACATATATAATGAAGAAGAAGAATATAAGAGCTGAGAAAAAGAAGGGAAAATTGAAAGATGAAAATCAGAGGATAAAGAAGATGAAAGTAAAGTACGAAAGAATAATACAAAGAAAACCAAAAAAAATTAAGATGTTTGAAAAGACAAATAAAATAAAGAAGATGAAGAAGGACAACCGAAAAAAATAAAAAAAAAATAAAAACAACTATGGGGAGATGAGAAAAAAGTAAATAAAAAAAAATACGAAACTGATAATTAAGATGTTGCAAAAAAAGAAAAATATTTATAATACAAAATGATGAAGAATACAAGATGAAATAAGAAGAAAAACCTGAATAAAATAAGGAAAAGATGAAAGTTTGAAGACGAAGACGGAAAGAAAACAAAAAAAAAATTGAAGAATATGTGAACAATAAAGAAGTTGAAAAAAATCAAAAGATACAAAAATGAAGAATAAGAACACTACCAATTGAAAAAAAAAACAAATTGTAAATAAAAGGAGAAAAAACGAATAAAACCATGAAATATAAAGATGACGATGAAGAGAGAGGAAAAGAAAAAGATTATAAATTTGATAGGAATAAGAAAAAAAATGGTAGAAAATGAAATTAAAAAATGAAAGAAGTAAAAAACAAAGCAAAAGAAGAAGAAGATAAAATGGGGTTAGGGATTATGAAGAGTGTAAGATTTAGTTTTTGATGCATTTATAAAAAATTGAATACACTACATTACCGATTAAAAAAAACTCTTATGAAAAAATAAAAACAAAATCAAATTCAGAACCAGTTTGTAAAATGTGGGGTTTGGTGTGCGGTTGGGGAGGGTTTAGGTTGTTTAGGGGGGGTGTAACATTTTGGGGTTTGGGTTTAGGGTGTAAGGTTGTTTAGGGAGGGGGTGTTACACTGTGGAGTTTGGGTTTAGGGTGTAGGGTTGTTTAGGGGGGGGGGTTACACTGTGGGGTTTGGGTTTAGGATGTAGGGTTTATATTGATGGGTGTAGGGTTTAGTTTTTGGTGCATTTAAAAAAAAAATTGAATTATTATGGAATAATTTTATAATAAAAAATCATTGATTATAAATTTATATATACCTTTCTAAATTAAACAAATAAAAAATATAAAAATAAGTAAAGAAAATCCAGAATCGAAAGATAACAAAAACAATATTTCTCTAAATAAAGATAAAAACTATTTCACAAATCCTTAAAAATTTAAACTATGCAATGAATGATAGGTGAAATACAAGACGTAAACAAGAATAAATAAAAACACAAATAAAAGAAAAATAACAGTTAAAAAGAAGATGAGAAATTTGGAGAAGAAGAAAACTCGAACATAAGGAAATAGCTATTAAAGAAGAAAATGGAATGTGAGGAAAAAAACGATAAAGAATAGATAAATAAAGACTAGAATAATATGATATTAGAGAAGACAAAAATTATAAAGATAGCGAGAGGGGGAATGAGGATTATAAAGATAGCGAGAGGGGGAATGAGGATTATAAAGATAAAGAGAGAGGTAAGGAGGAAGAAGAAAATCGGAAAAATAATATAAAGAAATTTAGAAAGAAAAAAAAGAATAGTGAGTTGGAGGATATGAAGACAAAAAAAGATTAAAGAACAAAATTGGAAGAAGAAGAAGAAGAAGAAAAAAAAAATGATGAAAACGAATATAAAATTAAAAAAAAATGGGATAATTAAAGAAGAATAAGACGGAGAAGAAAACAAGAAGTGATAAATTTTTTGTATCTCTTAAAGCGGATGAAGACAATTATGTAAAAGAATGAGAAAGAGAAGGAAAAAAAAAGATACATCAAGATTACAAAAGTAAGAAATTGGTGAAAACAAAACAATAAATATAATAAAAAAGTATAGTACTTATGTTATTAACATCTTTAATTAATTAATGTGTTTTGAAAAATAATGTGTTGTTACTCGTTTTAAGCTTGTTAGTTTTAACTTGGATGGAGACTTTCTTATGTATGGTGTGGTGGATTATGAGATATATATATACTAGATTAAGGCCCGCGTATACGCGGGTATATTTTAAGATTTTATAATAAAAGCATGGAAAATATTAAACAAAATTTGATCATTTTTAAACATAAACAAAATAATATTGAAAACCCGATAAAAATATTTAAATAAAATAAGATTGGTAATACTTTTACATTTTTATTGTAATTGATTTTTCTTTTGAATTTATGATATGACAAAATGAATTAATTTGTTTTACTATTATTTTTATCCAATACAGAAAGACTTACACATGTCTAAATCTGATCAACTGATTAATTAATCAAACTTTTATTATTCCATTCAAGAGATTTTAATTGATGAAATCTTTATTTCAATTTTTTTTACCTAACAAAAATTGAAAATCAAACTATTTAAAATTAGAATATCAATTATAATTTTTTAATATTAGTTAATTGCTTGATAATTATTTTGTTAGTTTTCTATTTATATTTTTTCTTTCTCAATTTTTTTTTGCCTCAGACCATTATAAATACTATATATTGGTATTTTTCCTTTTCGAAATGGATTTTTTTTCCTTTTCTTAATAGATGTAACAAAAGAATTTAAATTATTTGTTTCCTGTTTTTTTATTACTTTTAATGGATGTATTATTTTTTCATTTTAATTATTTGTTATCTGTTTTTCTAATTTTTAGTTAGTCTTATACATATTAATTTTTTATTATTTTTATTCCATGACACATGTTACGATCTTCATACTTCAGAATTTTTTTTTTCTAAAACACATGTCGCAATTTTGTCAGTTATAAAAATCCTATGTATCGCAAAACTTTCAAAAACATGATTTTTAAATTGGAGAAATAGAATCAAAGGGATTTGATGAATTTGCTTTGATGAATTTATGATTGAGAAATCTTGACTCTCTTTTATAGGGGTTCAAGTAACCTATTACATGCAGTTATAGGAAATTTAGTTTACATAACATATTCCATGTACAAATAGGATTTTATTTATTACATTATTTTGATTTTATTATTTGTTTGGATAATATTAATTTGATGAATGGGAAACCTTTCTCTATTAGGATATGACAAATATATTTTTATTTCTTTTAACTGTAATGGATTAATTTTTTAAAAAAATTTCCTTTATCTAAATTTTTTTATTATTATTTTTTTTCTCTAAGACATGTGTCACGATCTTAACGGACGTAACATTAAAAGTGACACATGTCGCGATCTTATAAATTATAAAAATCCTATGTGTCGCAACCACGTCGTCGATGCGCATCCAACTTTATATAATAAAAAATTGATGAATGGGAAACCTTTTTCTGTTTGGATATGGCAAATATTATTTTTTCCTTTTTGATATAATATATTAAATTAAATTTCGTTTTTTTAATTAACATTTTTCTGGAATTTTTTTTAAGTTCTCTTTTTTCCTAAGACACGTGTCACGATCTTAACGGACATAAACTTAAAAGTGACACATGTCGTGATCCTGCACATGCGCATCCAAGCTTTATATAATAAGATATAATTTTCAATATATGCAAAAAGGTTCCTTTACTATTATGTATTATAAATACAATATTTAATCACATCGAATAAGAATCATTATAGTAATAATTATTGCTTTAATAAGCTGCTACAAAACAATAGATCATAGCTTAGTAAATTAGCTATAACTAATAATAATACAGCACCACAAATATGATATGATATCTAATCTAACAGCACTCAAAATGGGTTATAACAAAATATAATACAGGATATAAATGTGTTATAACAAAGGATGTTAGAGCATTTTAATAACGCTATAGTAGATAAACATATAATAGCACATTGAAAAAGTGCTATCATATGGGTCTGACCTACGATAGCTCCGCTAACATAGCGTTTATGAAAACGCTATCAAACATATATTATAGCACTAATCGTATGTTGTCAATGAGCATATTTCTTGTAGTGAATGCCAAGGGTACCTGCGAGAGATGAAGGAGAAGATTGTAATTAATCATGTTCTTTCCAATTTCGTTTCTATATTTCAGAGACCTTTAATAATATTTATACGACTTATTTTGATCTCATAAATTCAAGATTATGAAACATAATTCTAATACAGGAAAATTAAATTAAATGTCAAACATATTCCAAAGAAAAACAAGATATTAGAATGATCAAATATTATTATTATTACAAACAATTGCTATTTCAAAAAATATCATGCCTGCGCTGGTCACGGGCGAACCACCTAATATGCATAATGACTTCGAGCCCACCAAGTATCTTTGTCCAAATCCAGCTGTTTACTGTCCGAGCTACTTGTGAAGATGAAGTCGAGCTCTAGCTCGACGGAGTGAGTCCACAAGCTGAGTTTGAACGAGTCAAACGAGAATCTCGCTTCGACTGTTCAGATCCGGAAATAGCGGGATCGGTAGTTGCACGTGGACGAGATACGCGGAGGAGGTTGCGATCTACTTCGGTGCTATAAAAAAGGACGATTCTTGATCACAGGAGAGAATGTTCTTTTGGACACAAGTTCTATAAACAAGATTTCCTTTGATCAAAAATCATTACACAAGTTCTTCTCATCATCTTTTCACAGCTGAAACAGAGTGAAGTTCTTCTTCTTCGTCTTGAGATATTCTCATATCTTTTCTCTTCGATCTTATCCTTGATCTTCGAGATAACCTAGAAAGCTCTGATCTTTCTAGCCGGAAATCACTTCCGGCAGAAGTTCGACATAATCTCTTACCTTCGGATCACTCCGATAACCTGAGATTTATCGTCATCTTCACACCCCTTTAAGCTCTTTTCGTGGTCATTTCTCTTCAGAAAACGACTCGAAATAGAGAACAACTTACAATCGAACTACGTCCAGCTTGATCCCTAAAACAGGGTACGTAGGCAGCTCGTTACACGAGCGCAGCCACCACCTCATTTCCATCTCTTTTGCTTAGTCGAATCCTAGTGTTTTACATGGTCTTTTAGGCCGGTTTTGTAACCACTTTATTCGATTAGCCTAAGTCCGATTTCGTCAAATATTTGTCTACGAATCATTCGACTTACATCAGAATCTAACCTCTGATTCCACAGGCAATTTCTCCTACAAAATACACATAAATTTTGAGTGTGGTTTTCCGAACCAACAACATGGATCAACAAATTAACCCAATCAGGAAGGGATTAGAGTTTTGTATTAAATTTTTAAGAACACATAAAAAAAAAATTGTATATACCACAAATATGCATAATTTGGTCTGAAATATTGGCAAAATCAAAATTAAAAAAGGCCAGAACAAAAAGTTTCCGCGGTTTAGCGCGGGTCTAATTCTAATCCTTGAAACACAACTATTTGCAATCGAAGAAAGAAAACGATCCTTTCTCTCTTCTTCTTCGCACAAATCTTTTCTAGCTCACTCCAAAATCAATCCTCTCTCTCTCTCTCTCTCTCTCTCTCTCTCTCTCTCTCTCTCTCCATTATCAGTCCTCTTCTCGCTTTCTTCCTCCTCTCTCTCTCTCTCGCCGGAATCGCGTTTTCTCTTCTCATACTCACTCCTCTCGCGTCAAAATCAATCTTTCTTCTTCCCGCTCGGTTTTCCCTCTTCTCTCGTACTCGGCCATGGATGGTAAAAGTAGCAGCCCGGAGTCAGATTCCGATCGCAAATACAGTAATTCCAAGGAATTTTCGTTCTTTGGGCAGAAGAAAACTATCGTTCTCCACAGCGGGAAAGGATCAGACTTGCTTCTACCAATTTGTAAGTTCGTTCTTCTTCAAACAATTGATTAGGTTAGGGTTTAGGGAAACGGCTTGATTGAATTTAGGAATTGAGGATGGTCTCATCTGATTTTATAATTTTGCTAGGCAATGCTCTGTTGTTGAAAGGCGATGTTCTTGAGGATGAGTTTCTAGGGAATTGGGAACTGCTCGAATTTCTAAGGGAGAAGATGGAAAGTGTGTTTCCTGCACCATCAAGGAGAAGCTTGAGTCTTGCACTTTCCAAAACTGGCGATCTTGAGGATTGCCGACCTGAGCCACTATGGAACAAAGTGGATTCGTTCAAGAAAAATGACTGCTTTGAGATTCTTAAAGTCTTGGAGCTTCCAATCTACCATGGATGGATTGTCGATGATCAGGTAGCTTTCTGTTTTTGTTGTTTTAGCCATCTGTTTTGGTGTTTTGGTGCTTCATGGTTAGTGGTACGGTTGCAGAACGCAGAAGAGATTTCTTGTGAGGACTTAGGAGCAAAAGTTGAGCTGAGTGAAATGGAGAAGGAAATGTTTGAATCAAGAGGCAAGGAAACCGATTATGGGCTTTCCATTTTGAAAGAGACTCTGAAAGAGCAGGAAGTCTGTGTCTTTGTGCGTGATAATGTTTTCCACACAGCTACGAAGGTGAGCTATGATACTTAGTTTCGTTTTTAGTGATCGTGAACATTTTTTAATTTGTTGATTTTTTTTTTCCAGCACGAAGACGAGATATATGTTCTTATCACCGAGAGGGGTCTCAATAGAGATGGTTTCTTGTGGAAAAAGGTAGTAGGGGGTGAAATGGTCGGAGAAGACTTCCAAGAAGAGACAGAGGTCGATGAAGATATAGAGCCAGAAGCAGGAGGTACAGAGATGGTGAATGATGATGAAGAAGAGGTGGTGAACGATGAAGATATAGAGGCAGAAGCAGGAGATTTAGATGCAGGAGATTTAGAAATTGCTCAGCAGGAGGAAGAAGCAGAGATGGTGAATGAGGTGTCAACAGAATCCGATTCTTCAATGGAGACCCACGCAGGTGGTATACACTCTCCAAATTCCACCTTAGACGACCCCAATTCATCATCTTCAACCTCAGACTCATAGGAGATTTTGGTTGATTTGGCTGAGTCCAATTTAAAGGGAGGGATTTCAGATTTGGATGACTTCTTTTAGTTTTAGTTTTAGAGATTTTGCTTGATTTGAATCAATCTTTTTTGTTTTTTTTGCTTGTATAAAATTACTCTGAAATGAAATTGTACTCGATACTCTTTGTATTTTTAGTTAGGATTGATTCAATAAGATCATTTAAAGATGAACCCTCAAGCAGGTCAAAACTTAGTGGTTCCTTTGCACATGTAAATTATTACTTCTTCTCTTGTATTCTCGTGATCTTTCCCCTTATTTCCAACTTATATTTTTTTTAAACATAGGTTGAAATTTAATGTTTTCCCACTAGAGGTGTTAAAACAAAATTAAATTCATAAATTGTTTATGCAAACCCAAAACTTATACCCAAACCACAACAAATACACATCTCTTGCGGCTCTCATAACATATACAATAGAGCACACTAGTACTACTCTCTAGTTGATATTGCAAGAATGCAAAAAGACTCATAAGTGAACCACACACGAAAGTGAAACACAATACACAGAGACGAGAATTTCAAAGTGTCCTTGGGGAGGAAAAAAGCACACTAAAATAAAGTGATGAAAAAATAAACACATAGACGTTATTATTATAAAGACGTGGGGAGGAAAAAAGCACACTAATTTAAAAAGTATCACTTTATTTAACTATTTTTTTACACATGAAAAAAGTTCATATTACTTATCTTTATTAAATTTTCAATTCTTTGCTTTTTTTTTTGTCAACAACTTTTATTTTAATTATTACTAGATAATCAACTACATTTTTATTAGTTTATTATAATCTATGCATTTTTAGGCAAAATTTAATCGTCTTTCTCCTTAGACAAATTTCCTAGCATCAGACTCATAAAATTATTCACAATAATTACAGTTACGATTAAAAACGAAATTAAAAAATAGTAGAATTAATAAGATTTTTTTCTCAGATAAATATAAATTTAAAAAAAATAAAGTGGATAAATTTATATTCCCTTTTCAATGTTTTCTTTAAACAAATTTTAATATTTTTAGAACATTATATAAACAACTTTAATCTCATCCCAATACAACCAAATGAAACTTTACAAATTCAAACTTTATAATCTGTGCATTTTTAGGCAAAATTTAATCGTCTTTCTCCTTAGACAAATTTCCTAGCATCAGACTCATAAAATTATTCATAATAATTAGTTTAGCTCCTGGACTTTAATTCCAAATACATATTTCCTACTTTTCTAATTTTCTATCACATTATTTTTGTCCACAAGATTTCTAATTTTCTATCACATAAAAAGAATTAGAAATTTGCCTGCTGGTGGTGATCAACAACGGTGGAGTTTGATTATGAGCGTATTCAGAAGCGTTGTTACGGATGTCAAAGATTGACTCATGAAAAAGAAGTTTGTCCCTTCCTGCTGAAGAAACGTCAAGTTCTTGAAGGAATAAGGCGTCCTTTTCCTTCGATGGAGTCTGTCGTGAAGCCTCTAATCATCAAACCGTCTGACCCTTTATTTGGGGTTCTAAGTGAAGATCAGGTGGGCGTGAATCCAATGACAGGAGAATCAAGATAGCAAAAGTTGTCTTGGAAGGTTTGAGACAATACTTATTAGTGTCTGATGAGGATGAAAGGAACTTAAAAATAGACAAGGTGAAGCTAACAGTTGCAAACGCTGAAAAGGATCCAGTTGCAAGGAAGGCTGTTTTAAGTCTAGAACTAGATCCTATTCTGTCTAAGGATGTGAACAAAGAGAAGGGGCGTGTTTTTTAGTACGAAAGTACAAACTCAACAAACTGGGCAAAGGCGGCTGCTCACAAAGAAAATAAAGTATTGGCTAAGGCAATCAAGGCTACTTCGTGTCCGGTTGAAGGGTTAGCATCGGATTTCAGTGAAGCTCTTGATGCCTCTGTGACTTCAGAGTTGAACTCGGGACCTTTTAAGTTTAATCTGACGGGTTACAGGATAGGCTTCTATGAGGCTGGTCCTTCCGGCGAGAAGAAGAGGTTTGAATGTTTATGTGTCTGAAAAACTGAGAGCTTGTCGGAAATCATTGAGCAGATGGAAAAAGGAAAATACATTAAATGCCCGTGACAAAATAAAGTAGATTGAGGTGGCGCTGGAAAGTGAACAATCTTGTTCCTTTCCAAATGGTGGTATGGTTTCCATGTTCAAGAAAGACCTAGTGAAGGCTTATAGAGATGAAGAACTCTATTGGCAACAAAGAAGCAGAGAGAATTGGTTGAGAGATGGGGATCGTAACACGAAATTTTTTCAGCATTACTGGGATTTAGTGGGTGTTCAAGTAACCGCAGAAGTGCACGGTTTCTTTGAAACAGGGGAATTTCCGGCTGAATGGAATACTACACTCACCTTTGTTTGTTGCCTAAGTATTACTTTATTTTAGTGTTTTTTTTTACACATGAAAAAAGTTCATATTACTTATCTTTATTAAATTTACAATTCTTTGCTTTTTTTTTGTCAACAACTTTTATTTTAATTATTACTAGATAGTCAACTACATACATCATTATTAGTTTACTAGATAAGGCCCCGTGTATACGCGGAGATTATCTTAAAATCTTTGAAAAATCTTATTATATGTTTGGACAAATATTATTACTCTTAAATATAAGTAAAATAATATTGAAAACCCGATAAGAAATATTTGAATAACATAATATACTTTAGTTCCACTATACAATAAAAACAATAAAGAGTAATATTCATGTAATAGTTCTGTAATAAAAATATTTCATCAAGTAATAGAAGCAATATTCTTTAGGATTTTTAGCTTCACACTTTCGAATAATACTATAGTATGACAGATAATTTTGATTTCAATCCAATTGATTTAGAGTCAAATAATCTTCATTGTTTTCTTGAACTTTCGAAAATATTTTTTATTATTCTAAAAAAGGATGGAAGCATACAATTAAATTTTAAAGGTTACACCTTATTATATAGGGTTTGGTGAGACATAAAATATACTTATTTTTTCCTTTTTACGTTAATATATAGAAAATATAATTGTTTCCTTGATTTGCTAAGACATAGAATATACCACCTTTTTTTCTTTAGAATATGGATCATTTTTATTTTAAAATCTAAGGTTTTCAAAAAAAAATCGTTTTTCCATTTTTTTTTCTTTTCATTTTTCATTTTTTATCCTTTTTCCTTTAGAATATATAACTTTTGTATTAAAATATGAGGCATGCAAAAATACTTCTTTTTCTGTTAGAATACAAAACATTTTTCCGTTAATATATAAAATAATTTCCCCCTAAATTACTGTATATGTATCTTATAATAAGATATTTACATCTATGTGTAATAAAATATAGATCAAATATATGTGTTAAAAATATAGGGGTTCACGTAACCTATTTCATGCAATAATAGGTAATTTAGTTTACATAATATAATTTTTCTATTGGGAAGAGCAAGTAGGCCAGCGGTAGTGCATCACCTCAGCATCCATCTCATATGGAGTTTGACTCTACCTTCCTTCATGTGGGGTTCAATTCCTCATTAGCAGGAAATTGGGTCTGTAAACCGGCCTGTTGTGGCCCACAAAAGTTGAACAAAAAAAAAAAAATATATATATATATATATAATTTTTCTATCAAGATATGACAAATAAAATTTTCTTTTAACAATTTTCCTTTTATAACATTTTTTAATTATTTTTTCTAAGACATGTGTCACGATCTTAACGGACATCAGCATAGTCTTTTTATTTTACATCCTTACTAGTAGAGGACCCGGGCAAATGCGCGGTGTGACGTTGCGGTTTTGTGAAGAAAATCTAAATCTTAAACCCGAGCCCGACCCAAAAACCCTGGTAAAAATTTTTAAAACCCAAACCGTTTAAATATGTCTAAACCGAAAATCCAAAATCTAGAAAATCCCGAAATGCCTGAACTGAATAAAAAAAAAAACTCGAAAGTTTTTCATCCGAAACACGAACCCGACCTAAAAACCCTAATAAAATTTAAAAAATACCCAATTTTTTTAATATGTCTAACCCCGAAAATCCAAAATCCAAAAAATCAAGAAAACCCTCAATTAAACCCAAAAAAACTCGAACACAAACCGATCAGAAATTTTCAAAAAAACCCGAAAATAAATCCACAATTTTATTTAAATTAGATATATTTCTATTTCACAATTGGAAATTTTGCAAATATCATTCGATCATATTCTATTGATTTGGTATTATCGATTGATTATCTTAATTATTTTTTTGCATATATTTTTAAGAGCTGGAAAACGGAAGTTTTCTAAACCATTGGGTTGTTTTATGTTATTATTCTGGTATCCAAACAATTTTTTTAATTTATTCTTCTATCCAAATAGATTTTACTCTTATTCTTGTATCCAAACATTAGAATGTACTTCTCAATTAATTATATAAAGATTACAATTTCCATTTAATTCTTATTATAACAAACATTCATTAATATAATAGTTTAGCTAGAATTTGAAAAGAGATAACCTATATAAAAAAATAGTTCATATATTAATGTATACAAACTATAATATAATAAAATTAGATTTATCAAATTGATTACACAACTTTAAAAAATATTTATCTTTCAAATGAATATGTTGAAGTATTAATAACTAGAATGACCACTCCAAAATTTAAAATTGATATACAATAATACATATATTACATATATATATTGTATTAGAAATACCTATAGATGATATAGTACATACATATCCGTAATTGATTTATTATCGGAAAGACACTGATTTTTTAGTTTAAAAATGTTACAATTTTATATGGAACGAGAATTTTAACAAATGGGATGGAATGAGACGAAACATGATGGAAAATAATGTGATGGAAAGGGAAAAGACCGAACGGAACGGGACAAGATATAAAGAAACAGGACGAGATGGAAAAGATCGGGACAAAGCAAGAGAATACAAGAACTATTGCACACTCATAATTTTATTAAATTACTATGTGACATTTTGAAAATACAAAATTAAATTACAAAATTTGATATCCATTGTGGTAAACTAAGTATTTTGATAATTTTATAATTTCTTTTGGAAGGAGAATTCAAAAATGAGAAATTTGGCAAAATGTTCCATAAAAAGAGAAGAGATGTCCTTATATTGTTTTTCTTTTTTGCTAAATCCTGTCCACTTACCCTTTATTAAATTTAAACCCAATTTTAACCCTGAAATCCTGTTTTAATTGAATTTTACATTAAATATTTTAATAAATAAATAAAAATAATTATTAAATAATCAGATAAAATAAATAATTATTAGATAAAATAATTTAAAATAATTACTTGTTGTTTTCTCATTCTTACGAAGGTTCAATTATGTAATTGTTTGCATTTTATTATTTTCTTTATTATTCATGTAACTCTGTATTGAAAATATATAAAAATAGTTGTTTATAAAAAAAAATTAAGCAACTAATCTTGCTTCTTTTTTCTCATTGGCAACAAAATTTTAACCCTTGATTGTACTCTATTTCTATGTACCACTGGTTACATAGATATGCAATATAATAATCAAGACAAAAAAGAAATTGAAACAAATTTATGAGAAAAATAGAGTAAAAGATAAGTAAAAAAAAAAAAAATGTGGAAGGAGAGGAGATTTAGTTAATTATTATTTTTTTCCTGAGAAAAGAGATAAAAGGAAATATTGTGGAAGCCCCTTAGCCTAGTGGTTAATGCCTCTAAACGAGAAGACAAGAGGTATGGGTTTCGAATCCCGGCGAGTGCGATTTTTTAATAATTTATGCAGATTAATGGAGGCAAGCTTACAGAAGGTCTACAGATTGGTGCACGTGGAGCCGTCGGTCGTAAAGTCTTTGAAGATGGTAGAATCGTCCGCTATAGAATTGTCTTGTAACAGTTCTCATAATTTGCATTAGATTAGTCAATCAATGTTAAAAAAAATATATAAAGGAAATATTGTATTTTCAAAAGATTTTTAAATATTTAGTTACCATTTTCTCAGATTTTCGTAGAAGATGATAACTACCATTTCGTAGAAATCTTATATATAATAGGAGAGTTGCTTTCTCCTCCTAGACTATCCACATCAGCAAAAAAAATCATTAATTGTATTTAAGATATTTAATATATGTGTATTAATTTTTTTATATATTCCTATTTTACACATAAACAAAACTAAGAAAAATACACAAACAATTTAATTGATTAATATAAAATATGTGATATCTTAATGTTAAAAGTTAAAAGAAAGTTGTAATATAAAATGGAGATGAAAGAAATAAACATTTAACTTGAAATAGTAGATAGTTAGGTTTTAACTCAAAGAATTTATCATATTTAAAAATGTTATACTGTGCTTACAAGTAAAAAATGTACAATATAAATACTGTGATTTATCCTGAAAAATACACAAACTTAATTATTTTTGGAAGAAAAATACACAAACTTTTTTAAATCCCAGAAAAATACATAAACTAATTTTTATATCCAATTCAATACGCAAACTTGTAAATTTTGAAAGTTTTTAACCAGAATTAATTACTCCGTTAACTCCTTAGACGGATGTTAGCAAACTCGTTTACAATTAAAAGCCTTGGACACTTTCCAGCTCCGTGGCACCTTTTTTTTTTTCCCTCCTAACGCCAAAACGACGTCGTTTTGCGTTGTAACTTTTTTTTTTCGTGTAACACCAAAACGACGTCGTTTAGTATTCCCTTCTTAGACGAAAATTAAAAAAAAAAGTAACGTCGTTTTCCTTTCCAACTTCCGATTCGTTTTCCCCAATTTCGCCGTCTTTCATCATGGTTTCACCACCGCTCTCCCGCTCCTTCGAAGATTTGGTCGTTTACCACCTCTGCCGTCCAGTTTCTCCAATTAACTCCGGCATCACTGTTCATCTCCAGGAATCCCTCATAGAAGCTGTTCTTCCGGGAAGCTGGATCCGAGGACGCCGTCTACGTAGTCGAAGATTTCATGGGTATGTAAACAAGTAAATTTTCAAACCTTTCATCTGTTTCGGCTTTTATATATATCCCATGATTTGATCTTTTTGTTATTGTCATCTGTTTGGTTATGGTCCTATCTCGATATTGTAGAGTTGGAAGACTTTCACTAGGATTATCATTAAAACATGGGGTTTTACTGTTTATAAGCTACTAAAATTTTGATCTTTGCTGTGAATTTGCAGAGCTGCGAGTAAGATTTGAACAGTTTGTGGATCCAAGAGAGCAAAGATGAGATTGAATATTTCAGGCTTAGTGATCTTTGGGACTACAACACACACTTGATCACTCCCTCTGTAGACTTTTGCAATGCCGAAATTTGCATTTTTGTGCTCTGATTGACACTATGTTGGTGATAACAGGTGAAGAGAATGGTGGTAAGTACGTATCAAGCAGCTTAATCATCATTCATAGCTTATGAGTTTCTCTTATGCCTATGATATGGCTTGATTCGTTGTTCTCTGGAATCATCTTTATTTGTATTAATTATGAGGATTGATTCATGTGATGAAATTGATTTGAATATGTTGATGAATCATCTAAAGAACTTCTCTTTTGTTCTGTGTTGTTTATTCCATCACCAGATTCAGTTTCTGGAAAGAAAGTAGCTGACATCAATGGACAAGCTGAGAAATCTGCAAAGAGGAAGAGGAAGAATCAGTACAGAGGGAGGGATCAAGCTCCGATAACTCCTGAGATCTCTTCTGCATTTATCAATAACAACAATAGCACTGGTCTATTCGTGGAGGAAGCTAATCCAGCTAAGAAGCTCAAGTCCTTGGATTTCGAGACACCTTACGACAACACTGAATGGGACCCTTCACTTGCTTTCCTCAGCGGAGATGATGTGGTGGCTCAGGACAATGGTGTAAACCCTATGGATCTGTGGAGCATCGATGAGATTGATTCTAGATTGGACGAGTCTTCTGAAGAGAGATCCATTTTCATGTAAATAAGGCTGCATGTTAGTGAGTGTCCCGCATCATCATCATCATCATCGTCATCATCTCCTTCAAACCTCCAAAAACCCCTTCAAAGTCTGTTACTTTCATCTGATGTTGTCTCTGTTTCTCTCAGGATTTGCTGTTGCGGAATGGTTATAAGGACTTTAACTCTTTTTAAAGTGAATCTTTGAGTTCGCTTGTGTTTTGTTTTGTTACTTTTGTGTCCCATAACTTCTTTAACATTGTCATAGGTCATAACATATGTTGACCGTGCAGGTGCTGCAGCCATGGAAGAGCTTGTGCAGCAGACTCGCGAGGTTTGCTTGCTGCTTATGACTTCACTGTGGCGATTATTGTTTAACGATTGTGATAGAGTTGTGATTCTGCATTGGTGTTGCTTTAGGTTTTAGCGGGTAAGCCTCTGACTTGTAACATCTTCAGTCAGCAGGTAATTGCTCAATTTGTTTATTGTTTATCTTGGAATGGTTCTGATTCAGAATCTTTTTGTACATTTTTCTCATATTGCAAATTTTCGTGATTGTGATGGTTTCTACGAAGAGAACATAACTAATCTCAAAAAACAAATCACAAACTGTATATTGTTAACATGGTCTCGAGATTTGTTTCAATAAGTTTTGAGTCACTGAGTTATTATTTGAAATTAGCTATGATATGGGTATGGAACTAATCTGATTGAGAATAGTTACAGAGTGATTACGCTTTTTGCTGAAAAAGAAGAGCTTCTTTGTTTCGGGTTTTATGAGTGGAAAAAGATTGTGAATCAAGTTTTCTTGGATTACCCTCATGTAACAACAAACAAATGTATCATTGGGGTTTTCATGTTTCCAATTATTTATTTCTTCTGCAAGTTTTGATCTTTCCTATTTTGTGGACTGTTTTATACTACTAACCCCCAATGCGGCATCCTTTTTTCCTTATGTCCATGTATATACTTTGAATTATATCTATCTTGGTTTAGTCACTATAGATATTACGACTGAGACGATGGTTTAAAGTTATCCGAGTAAGCATTAGTTAAGTACCAGCCTGGTTTCGTTGAAGAGCCTTTATGTTTACAGCTTTTAGGAATTGCAATCGGAGAGGAATGCCTGGAAAGACAATGGAACCACAGCAGGCTTCCAGTGTCTAGAAGAAAGAGATTTGTTTGCGACGGCGTCATAGAGCTGAGGGAGAAAAAGAGAATTTCCCAACGGAGTTTGTGCAGGCCGTATCACATCGGAGTTCGGAGTGAGAAACTTCGTCGGTTTATATGGATGTTTGGCGTGGGCTGAATTGGCGAGACATAAAAGGAAGTAAAGAGTCGTTGGGTAAATGTTTTGCGCTGGATAAAGAAAAGAGGTGTGATGAATATGAGGAAGAAGAGAGGAGAATTTCTGTGATGTACCGCGCGCTGTATTTGGTTGATGTCTTTCACTCATCCAAGGAGATTAAGACAAATGGGGAACTTGAAGCAACTAAGTAGCTACGTAGGAAGTTCCTATGCCTCTCCTCTACCTCTGTTGATCAATCTCCTTACAAGAGCTGAAACAACATAATAAGACTTGTAATCAAAATCATGTAAAATCATAATTAGATTCTTATGGTTTTGTATGTTACCAAAAGTTTGGAATTTGACCTCCCACTCTCATCTATGTTTACTCTTTTCCTTTATATATATGAATGTTATGCTTACTTGTGGTTTTCACTCTCGACTTGATTTTACTTAAGTCTACTTTCGGTTACTTTAAACTTTTTTCCTAGGCGATGTCTCTGGGAAATCTCCAAATGACTTATGGACATCTTACAAACTGGGTAATCTTCATTTTAAGTGACAGATATTAGTAGCATATTTGTATAATAATCTTGTGTACAAGCATTAAAATTTTATCTCCTCTGATATTTTAGCATTTTGTTTCTTACGTAGGTTCGGGAAATTTGATCACAAGAGGAGAATTGGAAGAATAGTCTCATCTTAAACCTGGGGACGATTTCAGTCAGTGAGGAAAAGGAAGGCATGCTTATCGTCTCAGACAATCATATCTTCTTTGGTCTCTTTCGGCAACTGCAAGTAAGTACGTCGTTATTCTGTGCCTTACATCCTCAACAACCTTCAAACTCTACCACATGTTATTTTGTCTTATATATGATCTATATTGTGAGTAGCCAATGACAAGTTTCCTCTGTTTAGCTGATAATTTCTATTGCAAAATTAAAACGTGTGTCCTACACAACGTGTACTTGATATTTTTATAACCCGCGCATTGCGCGGGTGCTCTTCTAATTATTTTTTTATCCTTTTAAAAAAAAAAATCCCAAATCAATTTCCCCCAAATCAAATTTAGAACCAATTGAATCGAATTGATTCCAATAACCAATTGAATCGAATTGCAAATCACGAAGAAACGGAGATGCTCACTGTACTTCCAAGGGACATTCAGCAACTTCAGCTTTTAAATCCACAAAAAGCATCACTTCTTCAAGATCCATCAGAGCTCCAATGAATCATCTTTTCCAGGAGGATTAGGATTCTGATTTATTTCTCTTTCATTCTGTTTCATTGTTTAAACTATGCCGTAAAAAAAATATTCTCCATCTTCCCTTGTTTCCTCCTTCTCTCCAACATGTCTCATGAAACATGAGAATCAAGCAACATCAGATTTACCGATCACTACTATGCTTTATAAATAATGGTTGGTTTCTTCAGAGTTTCAATAAAATTGAGAAATTTTCTGGATTCATATGATTAATTATATTGCCAAAGTTGAATTGATTTGGGGAAACTGAATTTAGGGTTCTGGGTGAGAGAAATCTATAATACATTATAGGAACTGTATGGGCCTCTCAAGGCACCCAGCTCAGCTTTTTTTTGCTTCCTTTACAGGCTGTCATGTCAACACTATTTTCACAAAAATATAAACCAATTTAAAAACAAAATTTAACCCCTCTCTTCCCCTGTCTCTTCCCTTCCCGTCGACTCTGTTCGTTTTGCGTTCTGCCTTCTCTCTGTATCTGGTAAGAGCATCTGCATTGGTGATAAAACTAACTTTTTAAGAAAGAAAAAGAAATTTAAAGGAAATTAATAAATGGGCTAATCAAGTGAAAACAAGTGTAGAGTTTCTCTTGAGATAGTCTCTTCCAGTCCTCCAAACAGAGTCTACTTTTCCTTGCCACCTTATTTAATTTCATTTTTTTCTTTTTCTTTTTTGTGTTAGAACCTATAGGAGTATATGCGGGATAGGAGTATATGCAATGCGGGAGAGCTTTTCTTAGAGCTTTTCTTAAGAGGATAATTAATGGGTTCTCTTTACTTCCCCACTTACCCTATAAATACCGAAACCCAGCCCCCGATTTCTTTTCACCCGATTCATACACACCGATACGCTTCATCACCCTCCGTCAATTTCGAAGACTTACCGCTGGCTGCTGCGGCTATTGCTTCATGAATCTCTTAATAAACACCTTTTGCAGTGACCCGTCACAAACCATGGTTAGTATGTTCGGGTAAACTCTTATAAATCCAGTGTCGCCCTGTTCAAATTAAGTCTAAAAGGTGTTCGTTTAGGGCTTCTCTTTGATATTGCTTCACACTGATTGATAATGGCGCTCCTGGGGAGGTTTCAGACAGTTCGTTCATTGTTGCAAACAGCTGGATCAAGAGAATTTTTCCTTCCGTAAGCAGTTTCCTAACTTGATTATTCTTCCTATGATTGAGTTTAAAATTGAAAAAGCAAAACTTCTACATCCAGTATCCATTGCCTTGCTTTGATTTACAAATTTGGGCTGTTGAAATTTTGGATTTTGGAGTAGATTATAACGAAAATTAGCTGAAAAGGATTCAACTTTAGCTTCTTCGTCATTGGTTTTCCAGTGCTCAGAGTGGAAATGAGCTCCCTTGGATTGAAAGTGGAGATGATTTCAGATCCGGGTGTTGTAGGAGCTATCATTCTTTCTCTTTGTCAAGGTAATTTTCTCATTGGTGAATCCAGATCCCATTTCTCCATTGAATTCAACTCTGAATTGAATTTTTTCGAGTAATTTAGTAATGAAATTTACATTTCCAGTTCCTGAAGGTCTTGGAAAGAGCGTGTATTCCCGCTTATATGAGTGCCACAACGCCAACACGCATTTGCTTCGATCTACAATGGTAATCACCAGATTCATCATTGGATGTTGATTCATCTAAGTTTCATTGATCACTGATCTATGGTCTCATCATATACATGATTTGTTTTGTTCCTTCTTGATTTTTTTAGATTGCAGAGTCTATACTATTCAAGAATGAAAAAAGGTCTGCTGCAACGCAAGTAAAGGCTCCTCAGCTACAGAAAACGGTGTGTTAAAGTAACCCAATTTCAAATTGCTCCTTCTTATGATGGCCTTAGATATCGTTAGGATCTTATTTTTTCTTGAATGGTCATTTGAATTTGAATCTCTATGTGTTGGTTTATGCTGCAGGTACTCTCTTTACTCCCTCCATATGAAGGTAAATCGGTGTTGGAGCTTGGAGCCGGTGCGTCGATTCACTTGTGAATTGGCTCAAAAAGCTGGTGAACCCATTGCTCTTGACTTCATTGATAGCGTAATTAAGAAGGTTTTTGCTACTTTATTCACCTTCTTAGTTACAAATGTAATTAGCTTCATTGGTCATGGCCTGTAATCTTTGTCTCTTGAATGTTGTTTATTTTGTTTTGTTTTTGCAGAATGAAAGTGTGAACGGGCATTACAAGAATGTGAAGTTTATGTGTGCTGATGTTACATCCCCTGACCTGAAGAGCACTGATGGATCCATTGACTTGATATTATCCAACTGGCTGCTCATGTATCTTTCTGACAAAGAGGTATAAGATAATCCCTTTGATTAGATACAATAAACAAATATTTGTAAAGAGAAACCAATTTAGTGATAATGTGTTTATTTGGATGCAGGTGGAGCTTTTGGTAGAAAGAATGGTTGGTTGGATCAAAGTTGGAGGATACATATTCTTCAGAGAATCATGCTTCCACCAATCTGGGGACAGCAAGAGGAAATCCAACCCAACTCACTACCATGAACCCTGTTTCTATACCAAGGTTCTTACTCTATTGAAATTCAGTGAGAAGTTTAAATTTTCAATCGTTTAGCTGATGAACAATAGTTAGAATGCCTATGCCTTAAGGACTGGTTGAGATTTACAAAAGTCTGAGAGGGGTTGAAATGGATGATTAAGGATACATTACCAAGATACAAAAAAGGAAGAGACTTTGAGTGAGGGTTTCATCATCTGGTTTGGAAGTTGAGAGTTCTGATGCAGAAGGCGAAGATAAAGGCAAAGAAGACAGTGAAACCAACGAGAACTGCAGCAACTGGTCCCATAAAGTCAGACTGAAACCCATAAGTTTCATCAGTGTACTGCTTCATGGTGATTTCCGGTAGTCCCGGATTGTATCCAAGGACGTTGATATTCGTCTCCACATCACCATACTGCGACACTATCAATCCATACAGTCCAAGCCACAGGGCAGATCCAGAGATCTAAATGTTATCTTATGCCTTGTGTTTGTTAGTCTTGGTTCATCGAACTTTGAAGTAATGCTTTAAAATCTGTCCAAGCAATGTATTCCAATACTTCAGTTGATATGCTTTGAAATAATGCTTCCAAAATGCAGGTCTTTCAAGAATGTCAGACACGTGATGCTGCTGGGAATTCATTTGAGCTCTCTATGATCGGATGCAAGTGCATTGGAGCTTATGTGAAAAGCAAGAAGAATCAGTATCAGCCAAGCCAAAACTCTGTCTATCAATAGTGTCTATTTTCCTGGAAGAACGAATGCCCATTCACACATGATATGAAATGAAGTTATGACAATATATAAAAATAAATTACTATCTTTTGTTAAGTCTATGGACGATGCGATACATAATTTTTTATATTCTGTATATCAAAAATACAAATAGCAGTTTTTTTTTAATACTGTTTCCGAATCTAATCTTAAAGATACGTACTTAACATTACAAAGTAGACTCTAATTCACATGACATGTAACTGGGAAGAAGAATATGAAGGTGGGGAAATAAAGAGGGTTGCTATTCTCAAGTATTTTTGAAGCTTTTTTTACGAGAATAGACATAGTGTCGAATTAAGGCAAACGAAAAGTGGAGTACAAATTGAATAAGTTAAACAAAATAAATTAGAGGAAATGGAATATTTATTTTGGTATTTGTGTCTATAAAGTATAAACTAAAACAAACTCAGAAAATGTGAGATTTAATCAGTGAAATATAAAATTTAGAAGTGTAATAGTAAATAATTTCTAATATTTAAAATACTTTTAACAAAATAAATTTTAATATATATCCGCGCGTAGCGCAGGATACCATCTAGTTGATTTATGATTTTATTAGAAGGACAACTGTGGTCATTTTGTTAGTATTAAACTCACATGCATTTAAATATAAACGACATTTGATAACATTTGTTTGAAGAGTAAACGGAGCAGTTAATTACGGTTCAGAACCTCCAAAATTCAAAAGTTTGGGTATTAAATTAGATAAGAAAATTAGTCTGTGTATTTTTCTGGCATCGAAAAAAGTTTGTGTATTTTTCTTCCAAAAAGAATTAAGTTGATGTATTTTTCAGGGTTTTTCCCATGATTTAACATAGTAAAAAACTAATTAAAAATTAGAGTTAGAGTTTGTTTTATTGAAAAATAGAAGTCGAGTTATTATTTAAATTTCATTGCAACGAAAAGCATGAAAATTTTAAGAATGGTGACATGTTTGTTTCAAAAGTACAATTTATATTTACAAAACTAAGATAATAGAAAATAATCAATTGTCACATGCTACCACAACAAAACATATATGTAAGAAATTATACATATTTTTGTTTTTCATTATATTTTGAGTGCAATTGCGATTCTACACAATGTTTACAAATTTCAACGTTGAGTCAAATGCATATTAAATTTTAGAAATAAAAAACTCGAAATGGAGTAAGATGTTATATCTTAATAAAAAAATGATCATTTGTTAGTGTTAATTGTTGGGTGAACTCAAAATATAACCAAAACATGGAAGTTAACATATAACTATCATAATTCAAAATTTCAAATCAATAAATATAAATAAAATCAAACAGAAAAATTATGGCAAACAACCCCGCGCTTACGCGGGGCTTTAATCCCTAGTAAATGTTAATGGTAGAATGGTGTTTCTACTGATGGTATAATACATTGTTTTGAGTAGAACACATAATCTACGAATAGTAGAAGACTGTATTTTGGGCAGAACATGCAATCTATAAAAAGTAGAAGAGAGTATTTACGGTAGAATACAAATTCTATGGTTGGTAGGTATAACGCCCTGACCGCCCCTCCCGGTGAGTCACCCACGCCCTCTCTCTGGACCCGCAGGTCCATATCGGCCCGTGGGCCTCACCCCTGTCCGACGGCCTGTTCGTTATTTTTGAGAGACTCTAATGACTTGTTTACTATCCCTGCAATCAACACCTAACCTTTCCCCGTGTTTTGGCCTCACTCACACGGTTTCGGAAACCACTTCCCGGAAGGTCACCCATCCTTCAACTACTCCAGCCCAAGCACGCTTAACTCTGGAGTTACTTATAGACCTTTGACCGAAAAGGTAAGTGCACTTTGTTGACATAGGTAGCCAAATCAATTCTCTTAAGCCTCTCCTCATTTATCACAAACCGGGATGTTACAACTCACCCACTCACTATGCGCAACGTCCTCGTTGCGCACCTGGATCGTCACCCCTGACGGTGTGAGTCAAGGCCACTTCAACTTGACTCCACACTCTCGTCTGGGTTTGGCTCTGATACCAAATTATAACGCCCGACCGCCCCTCCCGGTGAGTCACCCATGCCCTCTCTCTGGGCCCGCAGGCCCATCTCGGCCCGTGGGCCTCACCCCTGTCCGACGGCCGGTCCGTTATTTTGGAGAGGCTCTACTGACTTGTTTACTATCCCTGCAATCAACACCCGACCTTTCCCCGTGTTTTGGCCTCACTCACACGGTTTCGGAAACCACTTCCCGGAAGGTCACCCATCCTTCAACTACTCCAGCCCAAGCACGCTTAACTCTGGAGTTACTTATAGACCTTTGACCGAAAAGGTAAGTGCACTTTGTTGACATAGGTAGCCAAATCAATTCTCTTAAGCCTCTCCTCATTTATCACAAACTGGGATGTTACAGTAAGAAACAGTGTCTAAGGTAGAATATACATTCGACCAATGGTAGAAAACCATGCAACACGTAGAACAATTGTCGAACAATTCTACCAACTCGTAGAACGTATGATATTTAGCGGAATGCAAATTCTACGATGGTAGATGACTGAATATATGGTAGAATTCATGTTCACTGTGGATAGATGTTAGAGCATCTAGTAGAAGACGTATTCTACTTTGAAAACCGAACTTGGTAGAACCAAACTTCATTTAATTTTCTGAACTTCAAATTTCAAAAAAACAATTGTGAAACAATCCTGTAAAATCTGCATATAATATCACTGAATTTATTTAAATTTTTAGAAAACAATTGAAGTTATAAAAATATTTATTTCATATTGTTAGCATATGCAAGGGTATTAGAGTCCAAATTTGGGAAATATCAAAAAGGTGTAAGAAGACAAGAATTCTCTGTGGAAGCCCCTTAGCCTAGTGGTTGAAGGGATTTAATGCTTCTACACCAGGAGGTTTGGGTTTCGAATCCCGGTGGATGCGATTTGCTAATGATTTATGCAGATTATTGGAGACAAGCTTACAGGAGGTCTACAGAATGTTGCACGTGGAGCCGTCGGCCGGGGAGCCTTTAAAGATGGTAGAATCGTCCGTTGTAGAATTGTCTTGTAACAGTTCTCATATTTGTATAATAGATTAGTCAATCCAGTGTTAAAAAAAAAAAAAGACAAGAATTCTCTTTTTTTGGGTATATTCACAATTATCCCTTAAAAAATAGGATATGATGAGACGAGGCAAGACGGAAAGGAACGAGATAGAAAGGACAAGAACCGAAAGAAACATGATAGAAATGAACGAAATGAGACACAAAAAAATAGGACAAGATAAAAAAGAAATGGACACTGCAAGACAAGACGATAATTATGCAAACTCCTAATTTTATTTAATTATTATGTGATATTTTGAAAACACAAAATTAAAACTACAATTTGATAGCTATATTAATAATAACAACATAATTTCATATAATTTTTCATTGGAGACTTTAATTCCCCAAACGCCAACAATACCATCTCAGAGAAAAGAGTATTTCCAGGAAAAACCATTTTTTTGGAACACAACCAAAGTAAGAGATAAAAGATCGGAGAATAATCTACAGTTTCTAGAAACAACGACATGCCGTAGCCCTTCAGCCCAAATGACTGAATATTTGAGTTAAATACAGGCGCACTAAGACAATAAGTTCAATAACAGGCGAATGTCTAATAATCGAATAACAGGTCGAAGAAGTGGTGGGCGTTGGAATTGGTTCATTCCAAACACAAACAAACTTAACATAACAAACCAAACACATCACAATTCACAAGGTAGAAGTAGAAATAGTAGACACATCTTAGCATTCATACAAAATAAAAGAAATAATAGACACAAATTTTAACTCTCAGCATTAGACCATATTGTAACCCCTACAACTAATTATCTTTGCGGTCATACAATAATATTAACACAAAATTATAGAACCCCGCCGATCACACCCTAGTAATCTATAAAATAGAACACATCTCTTGCGGCTCTCAGAACATATACAATAGAGCACACTAGTACTACTCTCAGGTTGATATTGCAAGAATGCAAAAAGACTCATAAGTGAACCACACGCGAAAGTGAAACACAATACACAGATATGAGAATTTCAAAGTGTCATGGGGGAGGAAAAAGGAACACTAAAATAAAGTGATGAAAAATAAATTGTTACTGTAAAGACGCAAGACTTTCTATGTGGTCCACTGAGAGAAGAAGTTGACAAACACATTGCTCATCACTTGTATGATTGCACCCAAACTCTTCAAATCCTTCAACTTCAACTCTTCTAATGAAGTCCTTGCCTTTCCTTTCGTGGTAGTAGAAAATGTACAATGGTTCATGTTTTGGAGGCAACTTTAGCGGACCCAAAATGATCTCGCCCTTTTTGCTCGTGCCTAACATGTTCAACTGAATCCCACCTGATAATTCAGGCAACAAAGGGTGAAAACAAATAGTATCCATTATCCATCTACGTTTGTCCAAGTCCTCCTCTAGAACCAACAAATGAAAAATGCGGAGAGGACGACGTGGATCGGGGTAAACCGAGGCTAACTTCCCATTATAGTTGATCAGTGATCCCTGAGTTAAACACGGCCAAAATCTTGCGATACAAACCAACCTCTCACTTCTAACGTCAAACCGTAATATTCTCGCTTTCTTCTCTTCTCCTCGGGTAATCCAACCACCGTAATACACTTTCCCATTGATGCATATTCCTTTCGTTACAACAGTATAACGCAGAGTTTTTCCACCTTGGATGCCTCTCCATGAAAGTTTGCCTCTTCCAAGTGTTAAAACCCAGTGCTGTTGACAACGTTCACCATACAAAACCGTGCTACACAATGCTTTGTGTTCTTTACCAACTGGATCATATCCCAGGAACAGATACGTCTGCTCCCTTCGACCGCTACTAGTAGCTTCGATATCAGGCAATGTTATCATCTCTCTAGTGCTAGGGTTACATATGGTGAACCGACCTGGATACGAAGGATGTAACAAGGCGAACAATCCATGGACGGAAGAGCAATGAACAAGATCCACAGGCAAACCGGACATAGTCATTTCGAGAGTGGTATGCAAACAAGTGTAACCAATAGGGTTCACGAACCAACCGGGTGTTGGCGTAGTAGGTATCTTCGTTTCCTTGTGTGAAGACGACAAGAGGAACACACGATTCTCATCATTACCACGAACTGCGACTAGAAACCGTGACCGAGTTTGGGACATAGAGCTGAACGAATCGATGAATGCTTGGTTTCGGATGGTGGACAACCATTCCTTGGATACACACTGGAACCTTTTAAGAGATTTTGCCGGCAATCTAGTCAGAATCTCAACCGTTAGATCAAGAGGGATATGGTCATGAGCTATGTTACAAAGACCATCCTTGTCTTCATCCTCCGAACCTCTCATAGCAACTTCATCTTGCTTTGAGTGCGATGAAACCCCACTCTCACTGTACGAACATTCCCCAGCTGATAGCACAGCCATTGGAATGGTTTGCAAACCTGAATTCACCAACCTAGACAAAGGCAGAACCAAATATGCATCACTTCACGATAGTAACAGGCATGGTTATAACAAAAAGCATGGTTCTTTGTAATTCTGCAGCAAGACTTTAATGTTGAATGAGAAATTTGGACTCCTGCAAAACTTTTGAAAACACTTGGGTCAAAGAAAGTAGATTTTTGATCGGAAAAATTAGCATTGGGAAATCAAATTGCTTAAGAGAAAAATATCAATTTTGTGGAAACCAGAGAGTCAATTGGGGAAAATCCTCAAGATGGATCATGCAGAAAGAAATTTAACATTCGTAATTGTGAATTGGCGAATTCACAACTTAAAAAGGACAAATTTCAACGCCATGAGCAAATTCGCAGGTAAAAATCCCAACTTTCTTAAGAAAAGGATTCAAACAAAAACTTTTTAAAAAAAACGAAACATACCGACTAAATTATCAACTGGGCAAGCTGATAGAGCACCACCGTGAATTAGATCTTAGTCTCACCTTGCAGAGTGATTGCAGAAAGATTAGCAAACTATGGCGAGGTAAATCCGACGAGGCGAAGGCGGGGATTAAGATTCCACGACCAGTACCGTACAATCATCCGTCACCAGATCCGTTACCCCCTCACCGTATAAACCAACGGAGAAGAAGAGAATCAAAAAGGAAGAAGAGAGAAAGAGAAGCAGAAGTAGGAATTGAAGAAAAAAGAAAGGAAGAAGCGACGATAACCATGTAACATATCTACGATTTTGTGTTTTTCGGTTAACGGTTCGGTCCGATAACTGAGCACAATTTGTAATCATGTCGTTCGGTTCTCTTCTTATAACTGAATCAGAACCGAACTGATCAGAACACGGTTCGGTTTTAAACCCAGAAGAAGTATTTTTGGAACAATTGGTTTTATTTTTTATACTATATTTAGATTAAGACCGACGTATACGCGGGTATATTTTAAGATTTTATAATAAAAACATGAAAAATAATGAAATATTAAAAAAAATTTGATCATTTTTAAACGTAAACAAAATAATATTGAAATCCAATAAAATTTATTTTAACAAAATAAGATTGGTAATACTTTTACATTTTTATTGTAACTGATTTTTATTTTGAATTTATGATATGAAAAAATGAATTAATTTGTTTTACTATTATTTTTATCCAATACAGAAAGACTTACACATGTCTAAATCTGATCAACTGATTAATTAATCAAACTTTTATTATTCCATTCAAGAGATTTTAATTGATGAAATCTTTATTTCAATTTTTTTACCTAACAAAAATTGAAAATCAAACTATTTAAAATTAGAATATCAATTATAATTTTTTAATATTAGTTAATTGCTTGATAATTATTTTGTTAGTTTTCTATTTATATTTTTTCTTTCTCAATTTTGTTTTTGCCTCGGACCATTATAAATACTATATAATGGTATTTTTCCTTTTTCGAAATGGATTTTTTTTCCTTTTCTTAATAGATACTCCCTCCGTTTTTTTTTGATAAATTTTCTGAGATTTTCACACATATTAAGAAAAATCAGATTTTTAATCATTGGTGTATTGATTTTTGCAATAAAACAACTTTCTATAATTTTTAACCAATAAAAATCTAACAAATACAATCATTGTTTCTTGAAAACTGAAAAAGTGTATCAAAAAAGTAAAAAATTTATCTTTGTGAAACAACAACTAATGTCTAGAAAATTCATCTTAAAAAAACGAAGGGGGTATAACAAAAGAATTTAAATTATTTGTTTCCTGTTTTTAATTACTTTTAATGGATGTATTATTTTTTCATTTTAATTATTTGTTATCTATTTTTCTAATTTTTAGTTAGTCTTATACATATTAATTTTTTTTATTATTTCTATTCCATAACACATGTTATGATCTTTATACTTCCAGAATTTGTTTTTTCTAAAACACATGTCGCAATTTTGTCAGTTATAAAAATTCTATGTGTCGCAACTACGTCGTGCGCATAACTTTCAAAAACATGATTTTTAAATTGGAGAAATAGAATCAAAGTGATTTTATGAATTTGTTTTGATGAATTTATGATTGAGAAAATTTGACTCTCTTTTATAGGGGTTCAAGTAACCTATTAGATGCAGTTATAAAAAATTTAGTTTACATAACATATTCTATGTGCAAATAGGATTTTATTTATTACATTATTTTGATTTTATTATTTTTTAGGATAATATTAATTTGATGAATGAGAAACCTTTCTCTATTAGGATATGACAAATATATTTTTATTTCTTTTAACTGTAATGGATTATTTTTTTTAAAATAATTTCCTTTATCTAAATTTTTTATTATTATTATTATTTTTTTTTTCTCTAAGTCATGTGTCACAATCTTATAAATTATAAAAATTCTATGTGTCGCAACCACGTCGTGCACATCCAACTTTATATAATAAAAAAATTTGATGAATGAGAAACCTTTTTCTGTTTGGTTATGGCAAATATTATTTTTCCCTTTTTGATATAATAGATTAAATTAAATTTTGTTTTTTTAATTAACATTTTTTTGGAGTTCTTTTTTTTTAAGTTCTCATTTTTTTTCCTAAGACACGTGTCACGATCTTAACGGAAATAAACTTAAAAGTGACACATGTCGCGATCCTAAATTTTATAAAAATTCTATGTGTCGCAACCACGTCGTGCCCATTAAATTTTATAAAAATAGGTAAATTACTCTTTTTTTTGGTTTTAATGTTAAGAAGGTAAATACTCTTTGTTTTTAAGATTGATTTGATCTTAAATTCTATAGAAAAATACCATGAATGGGATACAACATTGTGCATAGTTATCTCATTGTGGCATAGTCAACTATCATTATCGTATAAAGACAACGAATGTCAATTTTTTTCACATACATATATCTAAAACTGCATTAGTTATCACAAGTCCTAATCAAAAACAAAGCTAATATAAATTTTTATTTCAGTCAACAGTCAAACAATACTTTCTATCTACTTAACAAACTAACATACAAGTTTTTTATTAGCAGTCAACATTTTTACATTAACTACACACATTCATTGTAGAATTTTCAGTCAACAAATTATAATTTGAATTAGTGTTTTTTGTTCTTCTTTGTTAACCAACAAAAAGGAAATATTCCTTTTTACTAAAAGTAACTGTAAAGAAATAACTAAGTACATAATAAGTATTATAAATGACATGACTTAGGATTTTGACCGAGTTATCCTCCAGAATCTGTCGTAATAACTCCAAAAAAATTGCCATTTTAATGCTCCAAAATACAATACATATGTAAATATCTAAACTTATAGAGTTTCAGAAACTTATATCAAAAGATTCAAAACTTATTTACAAACTCTTAACCACGAGCTATGGCGGCATCAAAAACAACTATTTTCATTATCTTCTGTGGGACACAAATCCCACACTCAAGTATTTAGAGTGAATGAAGAGATGAGAAAAAAATAGGTAAAAATCTCACAATGAACCAAACAAGAATAAGACTTAGATCAACCAAATGGATTTATATTGATGAGAAAAGTGTTTACAAATAGAGTTCGTAATGCGATAGCTCGTAAGCGTACAAGAGGATTACGATGAGTAAAAGTGAGTAAAAGATGTCCCTCTCCTTTAGCCCTAGCTGCCTTATATATCCCATCCGACTCCCAACTCCAGCGCATATCTCGCCAGCTCATTCTCCGGATTCGTGATCTTCGTGAACAACTTGGACTTGTTCTCCTGGTTTTTCTCCACGTGTTGCACTCTATCGTTTTGCTGAGAGCCGAGACTGGGCCTTTGGACGAACGGGCTTTCGCCAGACGAACTACGGAACAGGCCCAATAAAACCTTTTTTGTGGACCAGATTTGAGTGTCAAATCTAGCTCCAACATCTTCGTTTTTTATATCTCATGTTAGTCTACTTATTAATTCAATCAGTTTAAAATACCGACTCAAAATGTGAGATATAAACTAATATGGATTGGCAATTTGTAGGTATATTGTTGGTGAACTTCTCTGAAACTCAGGCCATTGAGTCATGCTGGACAGCACTAGACTGTGATAAGCTGTGTCAGGGTCATGGGGGATGTGTAGATGGAAAGTGTGTTTGTGAGCGTCTAAAAGCCAGCCAAGATTCAACCGATCAAGCTGATAAGGTGCAAGACGGACCGTGAGTGTCACGATTCCCCGTGATTGCCCTAAAAACTATATTACGCTTGTTTTCATGGAAAATGTAATTGTATTGCAATATAAACTAATCGATTAAAAAATAAAAAAACAAAAAAATATATAACACTTTATTTCTAATATATATGCATTTCCGATAATGGAATTTGTATGTTTATCACCGTACCAACACCACAATACCACCATCACAAAATAATTAGTGAAACAAGTTTTGTTATTTTCCCGTTACCAAGTAGATCCATCTCGGCTCGGGAGATTAGAGCAGTTCATCAGCAAGGCTAATTTTTGTTGAATTTTACATATACAGTATATAATCGTTTAGGTATAATTTAGTTCGATATATATTCGGCCACTAAAAATTTCCAACGGAAGTTATAAAGACAACGCTAAAACATGAAACCGGAAATCGAAGATTTGGTGAAGTGATGATACATAAATTAGGATTACATTTCAGAAGTGGAAAAATGTAATTATTTTGGGTAAGACATGTATCACTTTGTGGTGTGATGAATGTGATGGAGAGAATTATTCTTCTTTTCATATTGTAGATAGACTATATTGGGAACAAAAGCACTCAAACCTTAATATTGATAATGGTAGGTCTTACATGTATCACATTAAACCATAATTTATTCTTATGAGCTCAGATACTACATTCAAATCCTTTTACACTCAAAATTCGATTTATCTGTATAGCTTAAGATGGCCACCCGTTTGTCCCAGTAAACTCAAGGTTTCTCTTTGAAGACTTGACAGGATTCCTAGAATTGTTGTTCATTGAAGAAGAATCTCCTCTCCCGGCAGATTCATGGTTGCCATATCTAACTAGAAAGCCGTTATATGACGGTCTTGTACCGGTGAAACCTGAGCCGTAGTTAGGCTGAACCACCGTGTAATTAGAGGGGCTTTGTACCGATGGCAGAGTGAGTCTCAATGCATTTGCCGGAGAAGTTGTTTCTGAAAACTGAATCGTGATATTCGGACGACCGTGTTCTGATGCAAAGGCTTGAGGGGTTAAAGAGTTGCTTCCACTGAAACCTGTAAGCTCAGTGTTATATGGACTCGCTAAGTTTGCCTTTTGTGCCTTAAGAGATTTCTTAGAATTCCTTTTTATTGACGGATTTTCTCTTCTTTCCGAATGTTTGTTGTCAAGAGATTTTGGAGTTTGCTCCGATGGAATATCTTGTAGCATTAGCAAGACCTCATGCACAATATCTCCGATGAAATCCTTCTCTGATAAGCTGAGAAAATTAACAGAGGAAATGCGAGATTTTTTTTCAGTTAAATCTTTGGGTTAATTTGCTAGATAACAACATTGGGAAAAAAACTCAACTCTATAGCCATGCTATACACATAATTACGCAATTAGCAAAGAGAAAACTTTTTTTCCTCTTTTCTCCCTAAAGTAAGCAGGAAATTTCCCTCCAATATTTCTCACCCTAATTCTCGTTTTGTCTTTCTACCCAGCCATCCTCATAACTGAATCACATATATTGCAAATAGTATAATTGGTGAGTCCATACTAACAAATAGTATAGTTAATAAACTCAAATAATATGAAACATGCTCTTTTCGTAATTTGCAAAGGTCAAACAAAACAAAAACACGTTTGTGTAATTGCTTGATGTAGAGTGTAAATACAATACATCCAAATGTATATATAGATTTTGATTTAGTTAGACGAGTTTTGCTCGATGTTACCTGCTCAAAGTCAACAATTTTATACTTAAATATGCAATATGAGAATCTTCTTACTATACTATACTCATATTCATTTGTACCATTTACACAATCACACCCAGAAAGAAAATGAGCAAGAACCCTTAATCGATCAATAATCAATTACTAGAGGAAAAATCAAATCAATTTAAATAGTTGATTATTCGATGAACATTGAATTATAGAACTCATGAAAATTCTACAAGGCTTCCACTACAAATTCCGTTTTATGGAAAACTGCATCACTTTCTTATTACATAAACTCATTCAATTCCTTAAACTCAATTAAAAAATATTACAACTTTATTAAGAACTAACAACATTCTTAATCAACATTCTTAATTAAGAACTATGACATGCAAGACTAGTTGGACAAGGGAGCCGCAAATCTGAAGGGGAAGCCGCAGATCTGAAGTGCTGGCGCCGGAGATTCGTCCTTCAAAAATTAAAACCCCGTAGATCTAGTCGGAACCACACCGCCACGGAAGACATCCGCCGAAAACCGCCAAGGAAAAAAAAGCAGAGGCGGAGAGAACACCGGAAACCTCACCGGAGGAGAGCACCAAGATGCCAAACTCCTCCTCGAGTCAAGCCACCACGCAGGAACGCCGGAGAACGACACCACCGAGTTCAAATAGAGACTCAAAAGCTGAATAAGCGACGCCGCTGGAAAGAGAGCCACAGTGGATAACGCAAAGAGCGGAAAGAAGAAAAGATGAAGGAGAAGAAAACGCCTCCTTGATGGAGAGGAGAAGGACGGAGCGGCGAATCTGAAAAAAGTTTGGTTGGTGGCTGGATAAAAGTGAGAGAGAAACAACCATTACGAAAAAGTAACCTATTTTTCAAAAAAAATTAAAATTCTCAGATGAAGGGACAAAATTGGGAATAAGTCAGAATATACAAGGTATATTCTAGCCATGCCTTTGCTATTGTTAGTTAGTTAAGTATACCCCAAAATATTGTTATATACTGCAATTTCCCTAAATCTTTTCACCCAAAAAACAAAAAACTAACAAACATGAAGCAGTATTTTCGGATATTATGAAACCAACAAGAAGATCTCTCATGAGAGAAATTTTGGAAATATACTCTTTGATGAGTTTTTAATTTGAAAACTACCCTTGTTTTTTTTAGTTTTGAAAAATACACTTTTTAATATATGAAATGACTTAATTATCTAATTTGAGGTTTTCAACTAATTTAATAAAAACGAAATTCAAATAAAAAATCTAAAATATTAAGATTTGATTATGATTTTATTCATTTTAAAATACTAAACAATACTAATTATCTGTTTAGATTTTATTAAGAGTATAAGTTTGTTTATATAAAGTTTAAATGAGGGTGAGATTAAAATTGTTTATATAATGTTTCAAAAATATTTAAATATGTATAAAGGTAAACATTAAAAATGGAAGATAAAATTATCCACTATTAAAATTTCAATTAGTTTATAAAGTGTAAAGTTTATATTTATAAATTTTCATTTGGTTGGAATGGGGATGAGATTAAAGTTGTTTATATAAAGTTATAAAAAAATTAAAATTTGTTTACAGAAAACATTAAAAATGGAATATAGATTTATCCACTTTTTAATTTTTAAAATTTATATTTATCTGAAAAAAATCTTATTGATTCTATTATTTTTGAATTTCGTTTTTAATTTTTAGCTGTAATGATTTTTTAATGTTTTGTTTAAATTAGGTCAAAACAGTCTTTTTACATTCAAAAAGTGTATTTTTCAAAGCAGAAATAAATTAGGGTATTTTTCAAAATTTTAAACACAAAGAGGGTATTTTTCAAAGAATCCCCATTTCCGGATTTGATGAATTTCTCGACAAAAAAAACCCAAAAGCTAAACAAAAAAAAGGAAAAAGAGAAGAGGATATAAACTGATTTCATGGTGGAGATCCTATAAATGTTTACATGGTAGAGTATGAAACATTTTAATTTCTACTAACTTGCGGAAGTAGTTTACACTATTAAAGTATCTCAACCTTTCCCCAATAACATTTAGGAGCTTAATTAGAAGATTATTGTTATATTCGCAACATAGACATTATTAAGTTATAGGGATTTCTCATATCGCAATATCGAAACGGGAATTTCGTTTATAGAATGTATATTGACATGAATACTTGAATGTGATGTGATCAAGGTAAAGAATGTTAATTAGTACCTTTTATCATCATGATGGAATGTCAACCCAATCTTACCGGAAACAGACACCAACGCCTCTTTCCATCTATCAATATTATTAGGTTGATTAGATCGGTAGCACTCCTCTTCTAGACTGCTGAAATGGATGCCAAACTCTCCCTTAAGTCGTTTCACATAATCTGTAGTCACATTGTAGTCTTGTAGAAGATGGGAAGCACCTTGTGATAGAAAATACATGCATTCCAAAAGTTAGTATATACCACTAGTTAATAATATTGGTCCATCTCTTAACTCAACATATTTCCCTACTTTTTTTTTTTTTTTTTAAATTATTATATATGGTCATAAATCAAACCTTGAGATGGTCTAGATCTACACATTAATTGATCTTCACAAGCTCATCTAAGCACCATCTTGATTCTGTGTACCTTTTGGATAATACGGCTAGCGCGATCTTCGACTCCTCGATCCTTTTGAAAAGATTGCTTATATTTTCCCCTTTTTTCTCCTGCTTGTCTGTAAAAATGTTTATCCTATTCCTTTGAAAGGCATCCACGAGATGGCTGATGAAGTTGTTGCGAAGCTCATCTCCGCGGAAATTGATGAAAACTTGATGTTGTGGAGGCAAGACCTTGCCGTCCATTGGAGAGTTAGTGAGAGTTCTTTACCAGACAAAATGAGAACTCTCAAGAAGAGAAGTAGGGTTGGCTGAGTGAGGAGCTAAGCTTTTTAAAACCAAAAGATGTTTATAGCCGTCAAATTTGAAAAGACTCAAATTAAAAGAGTCATTAACACTCATATTAGTCTTTCCTTATTATTTGCTGAAATGTTAATATAAACGGGACATACAAATATACATTGCTTAATTAGAACATTTGGTTCTTTCATTCAAATATACCATTGTTATGTGCTTATATATGTACGATAATAGTTTCAGTTTGGATAGAAATCACTCTATACGCTAAGATTGGTAAATAAAACCAAAATATATGAACAGATTAGGGACCAAATAAAAATGGTTCTTGTCCTTTTACTCCTTTTTTTACTTTGGTCATTTTTGGTCAAGATTGCCCTTCAATTTATTTAAAAACTCATAGTAAATGTTTTTTGAAGTGAAAAAAATTTCCATAATCCTAAAAATGATCTCAGAACTGTGTAAAATATTTAAACATTTTTGAAAATGTTTATGATATTAAAAAAAATATTTGAAGTTTCGTTCTACAAATCTATAATATCAAAGTAGAATATTCTACAAGATATTCGGAGGTCTAACCGCGTAGAACATAATATCTACAACTTTTCATACCTCTTCCGGATTTAGAACTTGATATCTACTAAGTACTATAGGCTCTACCGTTTTGTAGAATTTGCACCAAATATATTCTACACAATCAAGTATCTTCTACTACTCGTAGATTTTAAGTTCTACGCGAAACACTGCTATCTACAAAAAGTAGTTTCCGTATCCTACGTGTTTTTGTCTAATCTACATCCCGCATAAAGTAGTGTTCTACTAAAACTATGTTTTCTACGATCGTAGTACTCGTGTTTCTAGTACATGATCTAGCAAAATTAGTGTCGTCTACGGTTTTTAGAATTCGTCTTCTGCGAAGATCGAGAAAATATTGCAACTGAATATTTTTCAAATCTTTCTTTCCTTTTTTTTTCCTCCAACTATCCCAAAATAACCCATGACACGCTCCTTCCCTTCTCTTCTTCCTTCCTCTCTTCCTCTCTCTTCCTCTTTAATCCTCTATCTTTAATATGGTGCAAGTATATGTAGCTTGTGGTTCATGGAAAAGGTGTGCAATATATTTATTAAATTTTAATTTAAAAAACGAAAATGGAAACAAAAGATTATCCAATTAAAAAGAAGGGCAAAAATGAAAACAAAATGCCAAACAAAGGGTAATGAGACAGGACACAAATGTAAAGGAGTACATGGACAAGAACTCTTTCAATTTAGGGTAAATTACCAATTCCCCATAAACTAATGAGAACTGATTTTAAAAGTTCCACTAATAATTTACAAATTTATCACCGACCAACCAGAACACATATTAGTTACTCTCTATGTTTCATTATATAAAGGGTTTTAGGTTTTTGGACAAAAATTAAGAGTCCATTAAATTTTTGTACTTTTTACAATAAAATATATTTGATTATCAATTTCAAAATATATCAACCAATGAAAAAGTATTTTGCACATTATAAATAATCAAAAGTAACAAAAATACATTTAATTTTGCATAGAAATTTGAAAATCTTTTATATTATGAAAAAAAAAAAACTCTAAAACCCCTTATATTGTGAAACAAAGAGAGTAAGTACAAAGAACATTGCTTTTTGCTAATGTGGTGCACATGGTGATAATGTGACATGGTAAGAAATCATTCTTGTCTGGCTGGTTCGTTGCACTTGCATCGTATTTTTGTATTCCAAGGCGCACAATCAGTAAGACACTGGCAGAATTTCGTCCAAATGAACCCAAACTATTTCTTTCTTCTGATTTACTAATAAAAACTTGACCCCACCTTTTTTACTACTTTGAAATTTGAAAGTTAAAACTACTCCTTAAACTAATCTATATTTAACCAAACGAAAAATAGTCTACGTACAATACTACATATTCCCTCCGTTTCTGAAGATAAATTTTCTATTTTTTTCACATATTAAGAAAAAGTTAATTTACGATCATTAATATATAGATTTTTGCAATAAAACAATTTTCTATAAATTTAAATCAATAAAAATCTAATAAATCTAATTAATGTTTCTTGAAAACTGAAAAAGTACATGAAAAAGCTAAAAACATTATTTTTGTAAAACAACAAATAATATCTAGAAAATTCATCTTGAAAAAAAAGAGTAAGTGTAAAATTGTTTATTTTATATATCAGAATAAACCGAATATCAAATTTACGGTACCGAACCAACCGAAATGAGCTAAAATAGAAGATAGCTAAACGGTTAACGGTTGACCCTGTTTAATGACGTAGCAATAAAAACTAGAGCAGATAGATAATGACGTGTGCAGTAGAAGCCAGAAAATTATCCCCAAATCAATTTAGGGTTCATTTCAAATTCATCGTCCCCTGAAACTGAGAAATCGACGGGCATTTCGCGGACCTGCGCCAATCCCGAATAAGTTTTGTCTATGATACATGCCTTTCGTTTTACTTGATTCAACGGCGAGGTGTGTTCCGGAGACTATTCCGATTCAACTCTTTAAACCATATATAATTTAGATCGGAATCGTATCTTTCCGTTAATAGAAAATTTCCGGTGTGGGATCAATGAGTCTGAGAGCTAAAGAGTCAACCTTTGGATCAAAATTGAATAATGGCTACATAATGAATGATTAACACTGCTAAAAGAGACATGTTTCACATCTTTCTCTTTCTCTTTCCCAGCATGAAAGCAGCTCCAGCAGAAATGGAGATCATAAGGCAAATAATCCCTATGGGTTTCATCATCTGCACACTTGCGTTGTCTGTGAAGCTAAACAAACTATCGTTTCCTGAGCTCTGCACATCAGCGCCATAACCGTGATCTTCTGTAGATACGCAAGAGCTTGTTTCACCATTTCGATTGGTAACTTCTATCCTCTGCAATCCATCGCTAAAATCCACTTCACTCTCTTCTGAATCTGAAGGTATCATCATTACGCCATTGATTATGTTATTGCCTTGTTGATTGATCTCTTCCATCTCTGAATCTGCAGGTGAAATCGATAGACCATGGATGTTGGTTGTTTCACAATGTTGAGTGATCTCTTCCATCGTTTGAGACTCAGCTCCAACAATTACTTCAATTTTTCCTGAATCCGCAGGTAACATCGATTCACTATGGATAGTGGGATTAGAGTTTACCTCCCAAGAAACACTTTCGTTTTCATCAGATTCGTAAACCAAACTGAAACCACACTTAACCACCTGACATTTCTCCACCACCTCACCTGTACCATCTGTTACCTCGAACCTAAGCGAAGCCTGATAATGATCATCACTGTAACTGTACCCCTTCTTGTCATCTTCTTGCTGTTTTTGTTTCTTGATCTGCAGCCAGCTCGTGTATCCAATAAACACATGGTCCGATTCGATCTTCTGTGGCTCAGTTCCTCCTACCGTGCAAATAAACCGCCTCAAAGACCCGTCTGCGTTCTTGAACTCGCAGGTGCATTTCACCAAGAAACGGTGGGTTTGATCTGTAAACGAGACAACTGCACACAGAGCTACACCAGTGGTCCCGTTGTTACTCCAGTGTCTTGAGAGTTCTGGTAGGACTATCACTGATCCATAGGCTTGGTGACTTAACCATGCAGGTACTTCACATCCAGGGAAGCAAGCTCCAGCAAAAGATTCAACAACAGAACCCTGCAAAATGTAATACATTAAGAATCAGAAAAGCTGCGCAGTTTTTTTATTTCTTCCAAGAAGTAACTTTTGAGGGAGGGAGAGTGATAAAGAGACCAAATTGTAGCGATCAATTGCATCTGACATCAAATGGCTTTTCTTCTGAATGTAGGAAATGATACTAGTCTTTGCAACTTCGTCCAGTTTGTTGCAGTTTGAGAAAACGAACGTGGAGTGGTTTTGATCTGTGAGAACGAGAAAGGCAAGTGGGTCTCCCAATGTTGTCAGTGACTCGCATCCATGCGCGTTTAAGTGTTGAAGGTTTGGTGGGAGTGTAGGAACAGACATGAGATTCTTGCAATGCTTCAAGTCGATGTACTTTAGATGGTAAAGTTGACCAATATGAGGCTGCAGGGTTTTGATCATATCGTTGCCTCTTAAGCAGAGGTGTCTCAGCAAGGGAAGGCCTTTCACTCCATGGTGTGGCCATTCTGAGAGACCAGGGTCCTGCAGTAGTTTTGGCACCTCCTTTATAGATGTCCCATCGAGCAGAAAAATCCGCAGCCTTCTCATGTTTTCTTGCAGATCAGGAAAACTCTCAAGCCTTGAACAGCCTGAGAGAATTACTTCTTGAAGAGCTTTCATATTTCCAAGACAATCAGGAACGGTTGCTAGCATTTTGCAGTCCTTCATGTTTAGTAAGACTAGTTTCTGGAGCTTGATAATAGATTGAGGAAGTCTCTTTAACGCTGTGCCATCTAAGTACAATGCTTCTAGATGCTCTGAGATTACCTGAAAGTCCTCAAGATTTGAGCAGTCGCTGAGGATTAGGGTTTTAAGAGACTTCATGTTCATCTCTACGAAAGATGTGAGACTTGTGCAGCCTCTCAAGTTCAGGACAACTAGGCTTGTCAAGTTTTGCATCCCGTCATGTAATTCTTTCAATGATGTGCAGCCTTCAAGGTTCAATCTCTGAAGATTCCGAGCTTTAGATAAGCCTGACAAGTCGTGAAGGTCGACTGAGTGATTGAGATCGACCCACTTTAAGTTTGATGTGTCCTGTCATGAAAACAGATTTGACCAACACTCAGAATGAGGAAATGTTTTTTCTTCTTCTTGCAACCCGTTGTTAAAACCGTACCTTAACACCGTCCCAAAGCCGTTTGATCTTGCTGTAAGGCAGCTTGAGGTCAACAAGATTCTTTGGGTTGAAGTGTTGTGGAAGTTCTTCTTCTGGGAATCTTAGCCAGTGAAAGTACCGGATCTCTTGCAACGGTAACTTAAGTCCGTCCGGGAAGTTTAATTTGCAGTCGGCTTCAGAGTCTCGAGGAAAACAAGAATTGTAGAATTTAAGGTACTGGAGATTGTTCATCCCGTCAAAAGCCTCTTTGCCTAATGGTGTTTTGTTCACTACTTCAGACATGTCCAAGAACATACCTCTGATACCACTAATGATGATCTTTCCCTGGTAACCATTTCAAAAAGACAAGTTAGTTGGCATAAAGGTACAAATTTGAATAGTAAGTTTTAAGATTGATTGGTCCTCACCGGCTTCTTCTTTAAGACTCTGATAATGTCTTGATGGTTACACAGCCTCTGTTGAGGTTGGGAAGCCAGTTTCATCCCCAGTCTATACAACAAACCATGCATTTCCACTCTGCCAGCAGAGATATCGATCAGGAACTTGTCCGCTAGGTCTTTGATCTGGCTCCTACCTTTTCCAGACTCGGAATCCACCAAAGCTGTCACAAACTTGTGGCTCTCTGATCGGAAGAAACAAGTGACATCAAGAAACGCTGGTTAAGACCATCGTAACTCACCTTCAAAACATCTTCAATGGTCTTGCTTGGACTCTGTTTGAGTTTACGCAGTTTCGCTTCCCAATGAGCCTCGTCTCTATCATGAAGCTCCACTCCAAGTACCTTGAGAGCTAATGGGTTTCCTCTAGCGTAATCCACAAACTCTCTTGATAGCTTCATCAAGTTTCCTTCATGGACAGAGTTTACTTTGTTGTCACCCAAAGCATGATGACAGAAACACGCTAGCCCTTCCCTCTCGTTCAACCCCGGGACTACATAAGTATCATCGACCAGACCCTCGACCAATGACTTATCACTTGTCACAATAACAATCTTGCTCCCTTGCTTGATCCATTTTCGGTTCCCAAGAAGATATTCTAGTTGTTCCTTGTCGCTCAAGTCATCTAGGACAAGAAAAACTTTGCTTTCAAGTAGCTCTTTCTCCAAGGACTCATGTGTAGTCTCTTTCGATATCGTCAGATTCTTCTTCTTCAAAAACTTTTCTAGGAGTCTAACCCGCAACTCAGTAGACCAGTTTTCCTTTGAGATCTTATGGAGATCTTCGAAAAATATTCTCCGATGAAACTTGCTTTTTCCCTCCTCAAACAACTTCTTGGTAAGTGTGGTTTTGCCAATACCAGCCATCCCAAGAACTCCAATGACACGAATTTCCTTGTAGTTTTCGTACTCCATCCCTAACTTCTCCTGTAGTTTCTGAAGACGTTGCGTGATCCCAAAAAGGTTAACCTTCTGTGTTGTTTCAGGCTTTTCTCCTTCTGTCATCAAAGACATGTCGTGCTTCTTCCCTTCTGCTCTGTCCGAAGTCGTGACAGAAGCCGCATTCATTTTTTCCTCCAGTTTGATACTGGTCAACACTTTCTTTACTTCCTTGACAATATCTTCTATGAACTCAAAGTCATTACTGCAAAACAGTGAGGAAACAAAGAAAATCAGTGAGTTGACGGAAGAATAATTGGAAAAAACATAAAACCCACCATCAATTTGATACACTTAAATTTATAGTATCTTAGATAACAAGGTAGTGGGTCGTTAGATATTTCTAGATAAATTATACCATAAAAATCTTGATAGGAAAAAATATAGATGTAAGAATTAACTTGTTCTGTAACTTTTATCCTTGAGGATTCAACACTACCCTTTTAGCAAATAAACAATTTCACAAATTTCTTCTGTTTTGTTTTCTTCTTCTTTCTATTGGGTATCACATTATTGGACAAGAGTCCTCAGACCATGTCCATCCCTAAAACCAAATATTTGGTTCTAAGCAATTTTTTACTATTAATTTTCACACAAATCAATTTAACTAACTTTTGTGTGGAATCTTTAACTAATTCTTCCTCCATCGCTAAAATCTTTTTTTGGTTCTTAACAAAAACAAGATTAAATTTTACAAAAACAAAATACACAAGATGGTGTATCAGATTCAACCTGATCTTGACACAATTTTCGGTTCTTGACTGCTAACAAGAAGACACTACCTATCCTCGTAAAGGGGTTGATATCCTTTTCCTGTCTTCTCTTAGTGTACCTGTAACTCCTTCTTCCTAAAACGAATAGAACAAGCTAGAGAGACCAACATGAACACGCATGGGATTCCAAAACCGAGTGCCCAGCTTACGGATTCTTGAATGTACACAACGACTACCAACGCCAAGCAGATTCCTGCAGACATACTAAGGTACCACCAGTTGAAGAAAGAGCTTATGTGACTTCTCTCTTAAGGGTCTTTTTCATCAAACTGATCTGCCCCAAAAGCTTGAACACAAGGCTTACGTCCACTTTGTCCAATGGCAAGTATATACAGAGAGAAGAAGAAGAAGTCACTTCTGTGTTCTCGCTAGTGATGGGAACCAAAAACGCAGATAAACTCAAAAGTTTTAAACCCTGACATTGAAATCCGGCTCAAGTCAATTTCAAAGATCTCAACTTTATGATCACTGACCCTAATGCTAATCAATTTCGACCATTCCTTCGTCTAATTTTGAATTGAGATAAAAAAAATCGGGAAAGAGAAGGAGACTAACCAGTATGTAGATAAGAGAAGCGACAATGATTGTACCTGAATGTAAAAGGTAGAGCAATAAGAATACTTTATCAAAAAGAAACTAATCTACAGAGAATGTATCTTTTCAAGTGGAATTAAACGATACATAGCAATATCACAGAGAAACTAATCTAAAGATCTAGTTAGCAACCAAAAGAAAACTAAACATCTTTTTATTTCTCGAGAACTCTAACCAAGCAATGAAACCAAAAAGGCATCGAAATGTAAACACACAATAACATTCAATTACAGGGGACTTCGCAGAAGATAGAGACAATGAGAGAGAAGTACCTGAATGTAAAAGGAGTTACTTTGATCTAGTCCCAACACCCGCCATCACATCCTCAGCCGTTGCTCTAGTTGATGTCACAATTCCATCATTCACCTTGAAAAGAAAAAACATCAAGAAACTTTTAAAATTAGGACTAGATACGATTCCAGAGACAAGACATATACTTTCCTTTTCCGACCGGTGTTGAGAGGGATGCCAAACATACAACAAGCCACCGGCTTTCTCAGTCCGTCGACGCATGGAATCGGAAGAGGTGTGAACCTGAAGAGATGTGAATCAGAAGACGTAGATACTCAAACGGAGAAAGAGACACCTTCCCGAGAATAGATCGGACCAAATCCGATCGACGATTCGATTGTCGAATTTTGTCGCCGCCGGGTGGAGAGTCGAGAGAGAGAGGAAGAGAGAGAGAGATTTTTTAAATTTCTTTTATTTTCTTAAATGTCATTTAACATAAGCTTGACGCGTGTCAGGTTCTAAAATTAGCTAACAAAGCTTATAGTAGACTCGGTTTTAGTTTATTTGTAGATTATATATTTATTTAAATCATCTATTTTCTTTAAAACCGTGTTTAAAACCCTGGATGGACATGCGCTCAGAAGATCGATCACATTAATGGGTAAGACGCTTACCGATACTCAGAAGATCTGATGCCCACATGCCTCGTAAGAGTCCTCAAAGCTTCCTTCACTTTTTTCTCCTTCTCTTCTCCTATCTCTTCTCCTTCTTCTCTTCTTGCTTGTTCGCCGACTTTCCAGTTGTCCTTCACATCTTCGACTCTGACATTATAGAAGAGCGGGATGACCTTACGTCTTGACCCTTTAATATCCTTAGTCGTCTCGAGCAGCTCCTTGATGCACCATCTTGACTCCATGTAGTTTTGGGACAAGATGATCAGTATGACCCGCGATTCTTGGATCCTTTGAAGAAGAATGTCAAGAACCTCACCTTTCATCTCTTGAGTGTCAACATAGTAGTCTACGCAACCCCATTTTAGCCCTTCTTCAAGGAATCTTAGAAAGTTTCTTCGCACGTCTGCTCCTCTGAAACTGATGAAGACTTGGTGGTCTGTTACAGCCATGGCAGATGAGCTGTTTTGCAAATTTGCTGCAATGTTTTTTAGTAGAATATAAGAAAACTAACGCACCAAAAGCTCAAAGATGTGATATGGGGATAATATGTTCCGGTAATATTTTACAAAATTCATTCTTGGGTTTACTTATATCATTGTAAGTCAATCCTGTGAAAGAGAGAAAACATGTGAATATGACTAATCAATAATTGTTTTGTTTTTTTCTTACCTAATCAATAGATTAATATAGGGTAGACAAGATCCGGCACTTGAGAGGATTTTGTGTGCTTTAGTAGACAGCTATCTAGTACATACTCTTCGTAATCAGAATCTTCTGAAATAAATAGAGACATGTATAGATATCACATAACTTACATCATATATCATGAAACTACGTATTTACTATTAAGATAAATGGTCATATCTCAGAAAACTACAAGAACATATCCCCCTCCCCCCCCCAAAATATGTATTTTCTGAAAAATCTTTGGCTTCATTTACAATGAAAAAACAATGTCCTTGGCTTCATGTACCTTAACATTGTAGACTTTGTAGTCATTCATTGCAATCTTTTGGGGTTTATTTCACATCTTGAGAATAGAAACCAGCCTGTCACTATGGTTATAAAATAAATATCTGGATCCCTCTGTGATTAAAAGGAAAAAAGGAAAGAAAGAATAGAAACCAAACCAGCTTCTCACTATGGTTTAAAATAAGCTCAATACACCTTTAGTGTATCTTTTTGTTGCTGTTAATTTTGACGTCCTATATGGTGATTTAGCAATGAAGTTCTGTTTTAATTTAGAAACATGCATCTTTCTATGAAATTTTAGCGTAGTCTTTTTAATATTTTGGTCTGATAGTTTTGGAAAGATCTTCCTTGTTCTCTCTTTTCTTGTTTTCGTAATTTGCCATTTAATTTTGTTTTTTACCTAGTCGTCTCCTAATATAGTCAATGATACCTGTTTGGTCTGATAAATATATATACAATATGTCAGGTAACTACATGGTTCACGTAAATATATGTTTGTCGGGTTCTTCCTCCAGTCTTTCTTTTATAATTTTGTTGACAAAAATTAAGTCTTTCTTTATAATATGCAAATTAAACTTGTCTCTGGCTAGCTACAGTTAAATAATTGTATAACAAAATATCGCGTAAACCGATTCTACGTGTGCAAAGATGAAACTTATCCACAACCATAGCCTTTATATCTTTTAGTCTTTTAGCTAAGGGAGATTCTTAATTATATAGTAACTGTGGTAGTAGCTGGCAACAGTGTCCTAAGAGTTTATCATGATTTATAGGAAATTATATTTTTTTGTAATAACTTTTCGATCTCTTTTGTTTTGAGTGTCCACTAGATACAACCACTACTACTAGTGTCTAGTCTTTTGTTTTGAATGTCCACTAGATACAACCACCACTATAGTGATTACTGATGCGTAAATAAATTATATTTTAATAAGTTAAATCTATTCTAACTAATTAGGTTCACATGAACAAAAATATAACACTAAAACTTTAGTACAGTAAAAGAACAAACTATTTCTTCTTTCTGTAGTTAAAATAAAATTTTACAAAAACACGGATGATGAATTTGATTGGACTTAAGGTTTTTAAGAAGAAATTGACAAACACACACACACACCAAAAAAGTCGTTCAAGTTGAAGAAAGAAATCACAAAATCCAGCATCAAGAAAACTGTAACAGAGCAATCAACAATGTCCTCTTCTTCCAAAGGCGCAAGCCATGACGTCTTTATCAGCTCTAGCTGCGACGGGACGCGCTACTCCTTCGTCAGCCACCTCTCCGCGGCTTTGAAGCGTCTGAACATCACCGTCATCGAGGAAGACACTTTGCCTGAAACCAGACAGTACCTACCCAAGAAGACCAGGTTAGCGATAAAGAGATCCAAGATCTGTGTTATTGTTCTCTCCAAGAACTTCGCATTCTCCGAGCACAGCCTGACTACTCTCGTCGAGGCTATCGAGGGGCGGCATAGCAAAACCGGCGCCTTAGTGGTTCCAGTTTTCTACGGCGTAGATCGCTCGTTGGTGGAGCATCAGATCGGAAAATTCAGCGAGGCATTCTCTAAGCACAAGACATCGGAGCCTGAACATCGTGTAACCGAATGGAGAAACGCTCTAAAGGAAGCGGCACACATAAAGGAAGGTCTCGAATCAAATGACGAATCCAGGTAATGAAATCTCCTTAATCTAATTCAAACAGAACCAACAAGTTAATTAGTTTTGTCTTTTTCTTGTTTGCAGTGACTTGAATCTTGTGGAAGATATTGTCTCATACGTACAGGAGAGGCTCTTCCCCACGGATGATATCGGCGTCAGTTCTAGGGTGTTGGAGATAGAAAACTTGCTCAGCAAGCAATCTTGGGTAGTCAGAAGCGTAGGTATTTGGGGTATGGCTGGTATAGGTAAGACCACAATTGCTAAAGCAGCCTTTAACCAGATGAAACGAAACTACAAATCCCCTCGCTTCATCGCAGACTTCGAGAAAGAATTCGACAAGGAAGGAATGTATCGCTTAAGAATGCAGCACTTGCCACCAAACGTGAAGGAGAAGCTTGATATCAACAGGTGCATTACTAACCAAGGCCAGATTTCAGGAGACGAATCACGAGACGAGAGTGTGTTCTTGGTTCTTGATGATGTGAGGAATCCTATCAACGCAGAGTCTTTTCTTGGAGGGTTTGAGTGGTTTGATCCGGGAAGTGTGATAATCATAACTTCAAGAGATAAACAAGTGCTTGTCCAATGCCGGATGGTTGAGATTTATGAGGTCAAGGGTTTAGATGATGAGGAAAGTCTGAAGCTGTTTTCGCGGTGTGCGCTTGGAGAGTCTCAGCTTGAAGAGGGTCACCTCCAAGTATCAAATATGGTGGTTAAGTATGCTAATGGAAACGCTAAAGCTCTCAGCTACTACGGAAACGAGCTTAAGAACAAGAAACCAAAAGAAATGGAGATATCATTTGAGCAACTCAAGCTAAATCCTCCCGATGAGATTCTTAAACTGTTCAAGAGCAGTTATGATGAACTTAGTGACGACGAGAAGAACATATTAATGGACGTTGCTTGTTTCTTTAAAGGAGATACCGTTGACCGTGTGATGCAAGTTCTCGACGGTTGTGGTTTCTTCCCGTGTATTGGGATCGACTATCTTGTTGAGAAGTCTCTTTTGAAGATTTGTGGAGACAGAGTTGAAATGCATAATCTATTACAAGACCTTGTTAGGGAAATTCTCAATCAAGAAGTAATGTTTGGGATGGGTCGCAGACTCTGCGGCGTTAACAACATTCAACCTCTGCTAGAAGATGAACAAAATGGGAGTATCAAAGGAGATTTGGTCAGTCACTATTCATATATCTTCTTGGATACGTACTCAAGCTCTTGAATCATGATCACTCTGCTTTCTCTTGCGTTTTGTTTTTTTTACAGGGCGTTGAAGACATTGAAAGTATACTACTGGAAGCTTCTTGCTTGAGCTTTGTTGTTGACCCTGACGCGTTTCAGGATATGTATAAGCTTAGACTTCTGAAAATTTACAGCTCGGATCCTGAAAAGCGCCCTGGGCTCGATCTTTCCAAGGGTTTGGTATCTCTGCCTTGTGAGCTACGGCTTCTCCACTGGGAGAGTTACTCTTCGCGAACCTTACCAGAAGATTTTGATCCTGACAACCTTGTGGAACTCAATATGCCTTACAGTCAACTTAAAGAACTTTGGGAAGAATCTAAGGTAATTTCAAACCTTAACAAGCTTTGCCTTACTAAATGAATCTTCCTTAACTCAATCACTTTGGTATTTAGAACCTCAAGTCGCTGAAGACAATCAATCTTCATCATTCTGAGAAACTAGTTGACATCGAAGAGCTTAGAGACGCTCATAATCTTGAGCTGATTGATCTCCAAGGGTGTATAAGCTTGCAGAGCTTTCCAGACACAGAGCATCTAGATCATCTTCAGGTTCTTAATCTCTCTGGCTGCATAGGGATCACAATGTTTCCAGAGGTTCCACCAAACATTAAAGAAATGTGTCTCAAGGGGACTAGCATAAGAGAAGTACCCGCAACAATCGAGTCCCTCTCAGGACTAGTCAAGCTAGACTTAGGAAACTGCAAAAAGCTTCTGAATTTTCTAGTGAAGATCCACAACATGGAGTCTCTTGAATTTCTCAATCTTTCTGGATGCACTGCGCTTGAGAGCTTCCCAGAGATCCCCACACGTGTAGGGAATTTTCAGTATTTTATCTAAGCGGTACAGTGATTGAGGAGTTACACACTTGACTCGGTAACATGATTGGTGCTGGAAGTGAACAAGAACTAAAAGCCTCCTTTCAGGTTGAAGGACTTAAAGGATATGAAGATGATTGGAATAGACCAAGAGATTAACACATACTCTTGAGAATTAACGTGGAGGATCATTAAACTCCTGTGTCACTGTCAAGTATTATATTGTTGTATTTTCTCTGTTTGAAACCAAATTAAGGAAAAATACAGTAGCTAAAATGTATGCAAGAATATAATGTTAGTTAAAACTGGATTAAAATAACTGAAAAGATTGATTATGCAAGATCAACTGTGAGTGATCAAGATCAATTAAAATAGTTTTTCTACCTCTCATGTTCTTTCAAATTTGAGATGAGTGTTCATTGATGAGGGAAGATAATTACAATTGTGATGGGATACATAAAGAATGATTCAGACATATTTGAATAATTTGATGGAGATTTTCATCTCTTTTTCTTGTCCTTTGTTAGCAAGAAAACTGAACCAGCACAAATGGAGATCACAAGACAAATAAGCCGTATAGGTTTCTCCATCCGCTCACATAAGTGTCTTGGCCCGTTATGTGCACTCTCATGATCACCAGGTTTCTCTGCACCTTCCCAAGGTTCACAATAGCATGTTTCAGCTCCTGGATTGGTCTCATCAGTCTGTAGAGATCCATCATCAACAACTTCACTTCCTTGTGAGCTACTCGGTGACATGGATCCCCCACTGGTATCTGGTGCGTTACTTGTAGCTTTGAAAGACTTTACTTTCTCTATGATCTCGTTGCCCATCTCTTCAGCCACCACAGAAACAGAGGTGGCTCCACTTTGGATCTTGAAATAACTTTCTTCACTTGTCATGTTTCCTCCATTATCCGTCGATGAAGCAGACACTATCTCTCCATGGTCACAGTTTTTATCAGTACACAAGCTATGAACAGGTTTAGTGGCTGCATAGATCAGAGTGAAGCCACACTTAAGCACCTCACAGTTTGTGATCTGTTTTGTTCCATCAGTCACTTCAAATTTAAAAGAAGCCTCCGTAGCAACATATCCTGCTCCTCTGTCTTGTTTCTTGATGTCTAACAAACTGTTGTATCCAATGAAAACATGACCAGAAGATTTAATGATGTCTCGGGGTCTGTCGGTGCCATGTTCAGTCCACCCACCAAGAATGCAACTAAACTGGATCAATGGCTCGTCTTCTTCTTTGAACTCGCTCGTGCATCTTACTAAGAGGCGTTTGCTCTGAGCTTGGTAGTCCTTAAATGAGACAACAGCACAAAGAGCCACACCGGTAAGCCCATCTTCATTCCAATGTCGAGGAAGTTTTTGTGTCAACTCTGACCCAGGCGTTCGGTGATTGAACCATACAGGTAGTTGCCAACTAGGATAACATACTCCTATCAACGCATCGATCTTTGAACCCTGCCAATTTGATACCAAAAGAGAATCAGTCAGATGCAATATAACAAGTATGTTACTCTAATGTTATAAGTAAATGCTTACGGCTTATGGAGAAACACCTAATTCTTCCAAATCTAGCACAATATATTTAAAGTTTTCAAAAGTAGCACAATTGTTTTTGTGAAAACACTTGTTTATCTTAAATAAATTCCACATAAAATTAAAAGAACATTATGTTTGAGTTCTTTTTTTTGTTCAGTTTAGAATTTTTCAATTAAAAATGAGTTTGAAATGATTTTGAAGTTGATATATATTGTGTTATTATTGGGAAAAAAAAAATATTATAGGACTACTTTTGGAGCAAGAACTTGACGTTTAAGAATTAATGATGTAATACCTTTTCTTGGTGAGCCACAGCATCTGACATTAATTGGATCTTCCTCCGGAAATGAGATACGATGCCATTCTTCACAACTTGATTAAGTTTGATACAGTTAGTGAAAGTAAACGTGGAGTGTGAATGCTCTGTTTCCGCCAAGATAAGAGCCAAGGGACTCTCGATGTTTTCAAGAGAAATGCAGCCGTGTGCGTCTAACCAGTGAAGATTTGGTGGAAGCATCGGAAGAGACATGAGCTGCTCGCAATACTTTAGGTCGAGCCATTTGAGATTGAATAGATACCTGATGTTGTTTGGCAAGCTTCTGAAGTTGTTTCTGCTTAAACATAAACGTTGAACTGTTGATAACCTGTAGATTTCGTGAGGCCCTTCACGCAGATTGCAATGTGACCAAGAAGAAGTTTGGCCTTGATTGACACTGAAGCGACTCAGAAGGTGAGGCATCTCTTTAATGGCTGTCCCGTCGAGTAGTAATGTCTTCAACTGCTTCATGTCCTCTTTAACCTTTGGGAAAGTGGTAAAGCTTTTACAACCAGAGAGGACTAGTTTCTGAAGAGCTTTTAGATCTCCGATAGAATCTGGGAGAGTCATGAGTCTTTTGCAGTCTTTCAGTATCAACAAGACTAGTCTTTTCAGCTTCCCAATGGTGGAAGGAAGTATCTTTATCGCGGTGCCATCTAAGTACAACTCTTCTAGAGTCTCTGAAATCAAATTAAACTCCTCAAGATTTGAGCAGCCGCTGAGGATGAGTGTTTTCAGAGAGATCAAGTTCATTTGCGGAAGAGACTTGAGGCTTGTGCACCCTCTCAAGTTCAAGAACACAAGAATTTCCATGTTCTTTAGCTCTTCATGAACTGTCTTCAATTCCGTACAACCTTCAAGATTTATACTTTTAAGCTTTCGAGCCTTCGATAACCCCCACAAAGTGCGCAGCTTACTTGAATGATTCAAATCCAACCACATTAATTTGGAGATGTCCTGTTGTCAAAATAACGAAAAAAAATTAAACAAGAAGAATCAAATGTAAACGCAACTATCTAATCAGTAACAATTGATTATAAAAAAACTTATGGACTATACCTTTGGAACAAAATACTTTTAAAATGTGTTACTTTAGAGAATTTCCATATTGTGAAATGTAATATATGTACCTTATCTCCATCCCAAAGTTGTTCAATCCGGCTGTAAGGCAGCTTGAGGTCTATTAGATTCTTGGGGTTAAAATCTTGTGGAAGCATCTTCAGTGGAAATTTCAGCCAGTGGAAATAACGGATCTCTTGCAATGTAAACTTAAGCCCGTTGGGGAAGATCAAGTTGCATTTAGCTTCATTGTCTTTAGGAAAACTTGAGTTGAAGAATCTCAAATATCTGAGATCAGTCATATCTTTGAATGTGTCATTACCTAAACTCATTTTCCTTGGTACCTCAGACATGTCAAGGAATATTCCTCTGACCCTGGTCGCTTCCTAGTCACGTCATAGGTTAAAATGTAAGATTGATTTGAAGATAACTTAAATTGTGTAAATATAAGTAATTAAATCTCACTCACCGGTTTGTTTCGGAGAATAGAAATGATCTCGCCATGGTTGAACAACCTCCGCCCACTTGTTGAATATTCAGAAGATGATTCTAGTCCCATTGCCAATGTGTACATGAGATCAGTTACCTCTACTCGACCGCCACACATGTTTACCAAGAATCTATCTTCAAGATCTTTTATTTCACTCACATTCTCATGAACCGAAGAATCGAGCAGACTCCTCACATGATACTCATCTTCAAACCTGAAGAAAAATGCCACATCCAAGAACAAATTCTTATGGTGTTTGCTGAGATCGTCATATGGAATTCTCAAGACATTTTGAATTGTGTTGCTGATCGGGCTTTTTGCAAGCGCTCCAAGCTTTGATTCCCAGTAGGCCTTGTCCTTCCTAAGAAGCTCACGACCAAGTACTTTGAGAACTAACGGATGTCCCCTAGAGTAATCCACAAATTGTTCAGCAAGGTTCTTGAAACTTGGCTCACAAGAAACAGAGAAGGCGTGTTTTTCAAAGTATCTAAACCCATCCTCGTCGCTCAGCCCCGGGACTAGATAAGTTTCGTCTACCATTTCCTTGACCACGGACATCCTGCTCGTTGTGATGACAACTCTACTTCCTTCTCTTAACCATTCGCGTCCGCCAAGAATCATATCTATCTGACTCTTTTCACTCACATCGTCAAGAACAATAAAAACTTTGCTTTCGCTTAGCTCAGCTTTTAAAGATGCAAGTGGAAAATCAAAATCTTTTTTCTCTTGTACGTCGTGTTTACTCCTCACTAAACCATAGAGGAGGTCTTCATGCAGCCTGTGGAATCCAAGAGACTTTGACTTCTCGCGGACATCATCTAGAAACATCGTGTGCAAGAACTCGGATCCCCAATCTTCTAGCAATTTCTTGGCAAGAGTGGTTTTACCTATTCCAGGTATCCCAACTACTCCAACAAATCGAGTGACCTCTTTTGATTCAAAGTCTAACTTCTCTTCTAACTGCTGTTGGCGTGTGTTGATCCCAAAGACAGGAGACGCGTTTAAGGAAGTGGAGCTCTCAGCCTCTCCTCCTAATTTTTCCTTGGCCAATCCAAATAAATTTCCTCTTGGACTCATTGTTCCTTGATCCGTCCGACTTTCCTCGAGCTTTATCTTTACGTCCTTCACTATTTTCTTGATGATCTGGACTTCATCGCTACCAAATATGTCAGAAAAACCAAGTCAAAACAATGTTGTTCTATTAAAATGTGCAGAAGAAAGTAAAGCTTGAGAGACCATAAGGTTTATTGGGTGTGAAGCAAGACACGATCTCTCTGATATCTTGACGTATTTTACATGGTAAGTGGAGCTTATACACATAACCATATAGTGTAAACTTACAGAATTTCAAATAGATATATGTACGAGTTTTTTTCTTCTTTTTCTTACATCAGATTGATATTTTTATCTCCTAATGTTTTTGTAGAACAAATCTAAGCTAAGCGATATAATATTTTTATAACTTCTTTTATCGTTGTTTACTTGTTTTTTCTTTTGCTCCAATCGAATATGCATCTACTCATCGCTTTCTTACGTAAACAATACTCGCTTTAATGAGTAAGTTGTCAACTCCACCAGTAAGTATCAAATTATTATACCTCCAGGATGGTAATCCAAATACTCAAATGACCCAAAAAAATACAAATAAAATCCATAATCAGCACAAAATTTAATAAATAAAATCTCTCGGTGTGTGCAAATATATATATGGTGGCTGGTTAATGGAGATTAATGTATTACTATTATTTGATTTGTATATACAATAGTTTGTTACCAAATAGACACAGTCTCTCTGATATCTTGATTCTTGACGTATCTTACATTGTAAGTGGAGTTTAGTGTATTAGTATATTAATGTCTACGGAATTTGTTAACCTTCGTAAACCAAATAGTGTAAACGATCCATATTAACTATTTTCATCTGGCCAGTCCAAATAGTATCATATCATATGTTAGATCTTTTAGATATCCGATGAATGACTACTCTACGGATACACCCGAAAAACTAAAACACAAAAACTATCCACAATATATTCGATGATTGGATCCATTATATTGTGGGTGGCTAGTGGTCTAGTGGACTTTAGTATTTTCTTTGATATCTAAAGTAGTTTGTTATAATAAAAAAATTCTAAAAAGACATTTTGAGTATTTACCTGTTTTCATCTACCACCTGACCTTTAATCTCGGTCACGAACCTCAGAGCTTTTCTCCATGGTTTAAATTTGGTAAGATCTTTTTTCACTAATCGATCGAAATTCTGACCGAACTCAGCTTTACGTCTCTTCACCGTGTCAACATTGACCTTGTAGAACACTGGAAATACCTCCAGAGTCTTTTTCTTCACACATTCTCGGATCTTGACCAGCTCGTTTAAGCACCACTTCGATTCCGTGTACAAGCTTGAGATGACTGCGATGGCAATCTTCGATTCTTCAATCCTCTTATAAAATATTTCCAGACGTTTTCCCATCCTCTCGTGATTGTCTGAGAACACATTGATTCCTTCTCTTTCCAGGGCACTCTCTAGATGACTTGCGAAGTTGCCTCGGACCTCCTTTCCCCGGAAATTTATGAACACTTGGTCTTGCGGTGGCCCGTGGACTACGTTGGATGAAGCAGCCTTCGACATGATAATTTTCTTTTCTTTTTTTTTGGTCGGAGGATTTGTTTCAGTTAGATAAGAGAGTAGAAATTTTACTTTTGTCTTAATAGCGCAAAGTCCAATGAAGTATAAGTATATAACCACAATTAATGGTTGCATAGTAACTTTATTTTTTTAATAGACAATATTTTATTATTATTTTTCTTAACCGTGGATCCCAAATACTTTTTGGATCTAGTAGGTCTATGTATTCGGTTCTTCCAGTCTTTGGTTTCGGGTCTTTCAAATCTAAACGTTTAATAAACTATTCATGTATTTTTCATTATTCTGGTCCGGTTCGATTCCGTTTGGGTTCGGTTACAAAATATAAAAATTGATTAATTTAATATAATTGAGTTATATTTTGAAAAAAAAATATTGAATATTAAGGCTCTAACTGGTGACTTTAAAAGGATAAAAAGAATGAGAAGAAATAAAATGAAGAGGAATAAAATATATGGAACTCATTTTTTCCCATATTTTATAAGGAATAATTTAACACTAGGGCTCTAACTGGTGACCTATAAAAGAACAAAAGGAATGGGAAGGAATGGAATTAAGAGGAATAAAATATATGGAACTCATTCCTCCTCATATTTTGTAAGGAATATTTTAACATTATGGGTGCAACTGGATTGCAATTTTTCTGGAATGACATGGAATGGAGCATTCCAAAGAATTCCATAAAATTGGTACCAGTTATCATGAAAGAAAATGGAAAATCATTCCATTTATCCCATTCATTCCACATAAGAAAAAACAAATCAATTTGAAAAATCATTCCACTCCAAAAACGTTCATAAATGAATGGGATACAAATTTTATTCCATTCCATTTTTTTCTATCCCATTCAAATTGATTCCATTAATTCCTTATATTCCATTTTAAAAAAACCAGTTACACCCTATAATTCCCTAATTAATATGGAATGGTAAGGAATAATATGGAATACACATTCCTTATAAATGGTGTAATTTTTAAGGAATGAAGGAGAATTGTCTTATTCGCATTATTCCTTGCTCACCAGTTAGAGCCTAGAATTCTTTAATTAATATGGGATGAAAAGGAATAACATTAGATATGCATTCCTTGTAAATGGTGTTATTTTTAGGGAATAAGAGTGAACTTTATTATTCATCATCATTCCTTAGTTACCAGTTACAGCCTAAAAAGATAATTAAAAATTTTCTGATGTATCATATATTTTAGTTATTGTGTTCTAAATATAACTAATATATTTAGTTTATAATTATAATTGTAGAGAATTTCGGTTATTTTAAATTTAAATATAGCTAACATTTTTGGGTATTTAAAATTTATTCGGTTTGAGGGCTTGATTATAGTTCGATTTGTTTTGGTTTCAGTTCGTTTCAGTTCCATCCAATTCAGTTCACTTGAGGTCTTTTTGTTCCATATACTTTGCCCAGACCCAAGACTTTGTATCTGCGTACGCTTTCGAAAATATTTTTAAGTTTAAAACACGGTTAGACGGTCAAAACGACTCAAATCCAAGACACTCTCATTTGACAACCACATGCATGATTCTAGATCTACATCGGCCATTAAATTAAACATCAATTAGTCATATATTTACATATCTTTAAAAAAAATTCCATTAGTAAAAAAATCGTTAGTACAACTCTTATATGACTCTTACTTTGTTTGTTTTTGTTTGACTTTTTAGATTTTTTGGATACCTAAGCTTTTAGTCACCGGAGATTTTTCTCTACAAATTCAAAGACTTCACGTTCGATTCTCACGCGGTTATACATATAACATTCTAATATTCTATACATTCATGCAAACGTTAACTACAAAATTTATCCCGAAATTGTTTAGAGTTTTCGAACAACAAAAACAGTTAGGAATTATTGTATTTTTTCCATAATATATACTTCAAGAAAATTGACTAAAAACATAAAAGGTAAAGATGAAATATTCAGGAAAGCTTGAATTTTTTTTTGTGTTTCCGATATAGTCGAAACAATATACTCCAAAATATTATATTTGTGCTAACAAAAAAGATTGAAAAAGAAAATAAAAAAATTCATTATAACTAAAACTATAAATTATTTAGATTAGTAATGTTATAATAGACAGACTACAAATTTTATTTTGTGTGTAAAAATACATTAAACATGTGCTAACGTAGATTATTCATCGATCATTAATTTCAATTTACTTCTTGACTGAAAGATTTCTTAGATAAGCACATAAGACAATAAGATAAATCAGTACGTGGTGTTTTCATATTAGACTTTTCAGGAACGACAATCAATGATTATTTGTATATTAGAGAATAGAGAGTCAGTAACTGATCACTACTACTCCTTTACAAGTAAAATATATTTATAACTACGAAATTTTGCATCTTTGATTAAACAGTGACCCGATCGATTGCCAAGAACATATATATAATAATATATAGTATGACCAGATCAATTACCAAAAAAAACAAAGTATATAAAATGACCAGATCGGGCGAGACTTTCAGTTGCTACGATCGAGGTCGTCTGCGACCTGCGCCGCGTGGGACAGGCATGAGAATCAATTATGCACATGTCCTGCATGTTACGTCGAGGATTGTGATTAGTCTATCTAGATTTTGTCTCTGGCATCTTGGCATCTTGCGGCTAAATTACTTCTGTTCACAAAAAAAAAAGTTACTTATATTAAAAAAATAAGTACATATGCTTTTTTTTTCTTCTAATGGTAACTAGATAGATATATAGTATTTAGATATACGATTGTTTAACAATTTTATATTTTTAGTTAGTTAACTATTTTATACTTCCTCCGTTCATTGAAGATAAATTTTCTAAATTTTTCGCACCTATTAAAAAAAATTACTTTTCAATCATAAGTGTATAAATTTTTGCAATTACACTATTTTCTATAACATTAAACCAATAAAATTCTTAAAAACATAGTTATTCTTAATCAATATTTCTTGAAATCTGAAAAGTAGATAAAAACTATAAAATTTATCTTTATGAAACAACAGAAAATTTCTAGAAAATTCATTATAAAGAACGGAAGGAATATATGTTTTCGTTTATTTCAACCGGATAATTATCTTATCCGGCTACTAAATATTCAATTTATATTCATCAAGCTTCGGTATTATCATTTATTTTACTAACTAGTCAGTCATATTATAACAAAATATTATTTAATTCCATCAAATTCTGTATTAAGCAAGATTTCTCATTTACCATTTATAATAATTTGTACTAAAGAAAGAGAAATTGAAATTTGAGACTATTATCATTTGAGAAGCTCCAAAAAAAAAAATATCAAATGGAAACTTCGAGCGTGAATCAGCATGACGTATTCATCGATTTCAGCTCGAAGGATACTCGCTACTCCTTCATCAGTCATCTCTCGGCTGCTTTCCACCGGAGGAACATCACTACGTTCCTCGGAGAAGACAGCATCAGCTCGGTGACTCAATCGGCTATCGAGGGAGCTAAGGTTTTTGTGGTTGTCTTCTCTGAGAACTATGCATCCTCGCCGCTCTGCTTGGAAACGCTCGTGAAGTGTTTGGATCTCCAGCGACGTGATAACGGCCTCGTGGTGATTCCAGTCTTCTATGGTGACGTCACTCCATCGATCGTGAAGGAACAGACGGACAAATACGGAGCTGCTTTTTCCGAGCACCGGAGTTTGTTCACCGAAGACGATAGGGTAGAAAGGTGGCGAAACGGTCTGATTGAAGCGGCGAAGTTACAAGGCCATGAATCAAATGAACAAGAAAAGTAAGTCTGCGATAAAATTAGTCTTTTAATTACCGTTAAATGTTTTATTTGTTTTAAATACTGTTACTTTTGGATGAATGGATGAATATACAAAACCTTAGGGATTCTAAATCATTTAGTGGAGTTGTTAAAGGTAATTTTTATCAACAAATTAATTCATTGAATCCTAATATTGACAGATCAACAAACACTAGTACAAAGAATCACTACAGGTGGCGATGGAGTTGGTGAAATTTTCTTTGCCTAAAATTTTCAACTAATTGTCTTTCCTTTAGTCAGTGATTTTTTTTTGGTTTAGAAATATATAAAAGAGCACACGACTTCAAATCCAGACGAATTTAAACATGTATGTTAATATAGTGATTGATAAATATAGGCTCAGATATTGCTATAGCTTTGAAAAGTGATGATTTTGTTTTGGTGTAATAAAGTGATGGATGATTTACTATAGAAAATTTCAGATAACCAAATTAACCAAGTGTTATCAATTTTCAGTGACTCAGATTTAGTAGAAGAAATTGTTGCGGATGTGCGCGAGAAGCTGTATCCAACGGGTAAGATCGGGTTCTACTTGAGGTTGGTCGGGATTGAAAACTTGCTTTGCAAGCAATCTCATGACTTCTACAGGCTAGGGATTTTGGGTATGCCTGGGATAGGGAAGACTACCATCGCTCAAGCAGTCTCTAACCAAATGTCTCACGACTTTGAAACTCTTTGCTTTCTACAAGACTTCCACGTAAAGTTTCATGAGAAAGGACTACGCGTATTGCGAGAAGAATATCTCGTCGAAAAACTAAGAGAGACAAAAGTACTGCTTGTTCTTGATGATGTGCGAAATCCTATGGAAGCAGAATCTTTCCTTGGAGGATTTGATTGTTTTAGACCCGGAAGTTTAATAATCATAACATCCCGAGATAAACAAGTTCTTTATCAGTGTCAGGTTGATGGTGTTTACGAGGTACCATCCTTAAACAAGAAGGAGGCTCTACAGTTATTCAACCGGTTTGCGTTTCCAACGAAAAAAACAAGTGATGGTGTTCTAGTAGAAGTGTCAAAGAAGGTGGTTGAGTATGCTAATGGAAACCCTTCAGCTCTCTGCTTCTATGGCAGAGAGCTGGAAGAGAGGACGGAACTAGATGAAATGGAGGCGGATTTCGAGAAGCTTAAGCAATATCCTCCGCGGGAGATCATTGATGTGTTCAAGAGCAGCTACGATGTGCTCATTGACAATGAGAGGAGCATATTCCTGGACATTGCTTGTTTTTTCAATGGTGAACAACTGGATCAGATCATGCGGATATTTGAAGGGTGTGGTTTCTTCCCACACGTTGGAATCGAACGCCTCGTTGAGAGGTCTTTACTGGTGATATCAAAGAAAAAAAAGGTTGAGATGCACAATTTGATTCAGGATGTTGCTCGGGAAATCGTCAATGAAGAAAACAATCAAATTATGAGGCGTCGTAGATTGTGGGATCCTTCAAGCATTAGAGTATTACTCGAAGACAATGACCCTGAGGTAATGCTAGTCACATTTTGATATTTACTTATAAAGGTCTATATGGACATTGGAAACTTGGGTTCCGTTCTGCTCGGATGGTTTGTTCCATTTGGAAGAATTGCTAGTTTGCTACTGGCTGAGTTTTCTATAAATTTAGTAACATATGTTTTGATGATTTTGGTTAATTTCATTTAGTTAGTTAGGCTCTTAATTTTGGTTTACTCTGTTAGTAATTCCTTAGACTATAAACCTCTTCAACAGTCTGATTCTCTTGCGTTTATTTTTTTTTCAGGGTACTGAAGTTATTGAAGGAATTTTTTTTGACACGACAAACTTAAACGTTGTTGTTAATCCTATGGCGTTGAATAATATGTATAATCTTAGACTGTTAAAGATATACAGTTCAAACTCTGAAACTGCTCAAGAAGTCAATCTCCCTGACGGACTTGAGTCTCTGCCTTATGAGCTCAGGCTACTTCACTGGGAAAAATATCCGTTGCAATCGTTGCCTGAAGATTTTGATCCGGGCCATCTTGTTGAACTCAATATGCCTTATAGTCAGCTTCAAAGTTTATGGGGAGGAACCGAGGTAAGGCTAAATTCCAAGAAGCACTTGTTTTGTTTTTTCTTTGTTCTTTCATAATTGATTTATTTTGTGTTTTCTTCTTTTTTTTTTTTTTTTTTTTTTTTTTTTTTTTTTTATCTTTTACAGAGTTTCATCTAGTTTTGTTTTTGTTTTACAGAGTTTAGCAAGTTTGAAGATAATAAACCTTAGCCATTCTAAAAAAATAGTTGAAGTTGATGAACTCTCGAAAGCTTGTAGCATTGAGCAAATCCATCTACAAGGTTGCACAAGCTTGAAGAGCATTCCGGAGACTGGTCGGCTAAAGAATCTTCAACATTTGAACCTCTCTGGTTGCACAAGAATTGAGCGTGCAGAGATTACAAAGAAGATAAAAGGACTGGATCTAGAAGGAGGTTTAAGAGAAACAAAATCTGAATCAATGGTGTTCTCCATGTTAGTAGAGCTGGAACCTCAGGATAGCTTTTGAGAAATAAAAATATGCTCAAGAGTCTTATGATGCTCAGATTTTCAACTACTCGGATATGTCTGAAAAAGTGTGGTAATTGATCTGTAATCTAAATAGAGGAAGCCATTGCGGAATGACTTCTAAATAGAGTTTGGAATTCAGATCAGAATGTTGTTGTTTTCCAGAAACTAGATGAAAAAGTTGTTCAAAATTTTATTTATGGTTAGACAAGACAAGTAAGGACCATACTAGGGCTTGTTTAGCTTTGGTCCGTTTGGATTGTGAATTGCGCTGTTTTTCTCTTGCTCTGTTTCGTTTTCGTGAAGGACAAGCTACTGTTACTTGGTTAATAATTTAAAAACCAAAAAATTGCCGGGAATATTGCTTGGCTCTTTACTTTTTTTCTCTAACATTGTCAGATGAACATTAAACAATCATTGGTCCAAAAGCTACTCCTCTGCCTTCATTCCAATCTCAAGTTGGCTATAAATTTAATATTGAACCACACAGGTACCGAGCAAGAAATTGAAAACAAAATCCTGCAAATCAATTAAAACGATTCATAAACTGTGGATTATTGAGGACATATCATAGATAAATGAGAGAGAAAGAAAGAATATTTTTTAAGATACCACACCACATACTTAGATAATTGAGCTGGTCTGTTTCCAAAGTTACATTTTGAATCTTGATCAAGTTACAAGAATATTTTAAGCACGTTTATTCACCTCTCCGGTTATTTGATAAAACATCAGAAGCAAAATATATCAGCAGAGGATATTAACATCAGCTTCAGTTCCATATCTCCATTATTCAATTCCAGTTCTATTCCCGATTCCATAAGTATCTCCTTCCATTTGTAAAACTCCTTGTTCTCAGAGGTGCATGAGAGATGGCTCCACTAAGATTCTCAGCTTCTTCGGGCTCATAAACATAAGTGAAGCCGCACTTCATCACTTTACAGCCTTCAACTCCGCTCGTACCATTTGTCACTTCAAATGTAAGAGAAACTTCGGTACCTGATGTAAACTGTTGACGTTTCTTGCTATTGAACAAAGTGGTGTAACCAACAAAGATATGGTCCGTCTCAATAGTATGGTGCTCATCGCCTGGTTCGGACCAACCACCGATAATGAAGCTTTCCCGGCTAAGTGATACATTAGTGAACTCACTAGTGCATTGTACTTGGAGACCGTTGTTTTGGTCTTTATAGTCCTTGAACGAGACTACACAGCATAGAGCTATACCATTTAATTTTCCTTCATTCCAATCTCGAGGAAAACTCAACTTCAAGACTGACCCAAATGCATGGTGGTTGAACCATGCAGGTACGTCACATCCAGGAAAGCAAGTACCGATCAACGATTTGAAAACAAATTCCTGCAAAATTAAAGTTATTCCAAAGGAAACTTGTAAAACTTGGATGTATAAGAAGAGAGAATAAGAAATGAAAAATAGCATAATAATATAGTTTTTGTTTCAAACATAGCACACCAATTTTAAAATTCCAAACACAAATGATATAAAATACTTGTTCACCTTACACAAATTAGCATTATATATATATTTATGTTGGGATCCCATTTATATTTGTGTTTTTTTTTCCTTTATGAAATATTTTGAGAATCAGTTTAATATTAATTAAATTTGTGCTATTCTTGGTATTTTAAACTAATGATGCTAGATTTGGAACCAAAAAGCAAAGTGTAATATTTTGGTCAATTGCCCTAACTGAGAATTTTTTATTGCTAAATCTAAATGAGAAATTGAGAGGAAAAAGAATTGATACCTGATTATATCGATCATCTGACATCAACTCACTCTTCTTCTGAACGTAAGATATGATACTACTTTTGGAGACTTGTTCAAGTTTGTGACAATTAGTGAAAATGAAGGTGGAATAGTGAATCTGATTTGTTGGCATAAGAAAGGCTAATGGACTCGCAACTGTTCTTAGTGAAACACAACCATATGCATTTAGGCACTGGAGATTTGGTGGAAGCCCCGGAAGCGATGTAAGGTTCTTACAATACTTTACCTCGAGCCACTTGAGATAGAACATTTGGCCCATATCAAACTCTAAGCTGCAGATATTATCATTCCTGCTTAGGCTTAGATGTCGTAGGAAGGACAAGTTGATGATATTGCGTGGCATTTCTTTAATAGCTGTTCCATCCAGAAGTACAAGCTGCAGATTTTCCATCTTCTCCTTAACGTCGGGAAAACTCTCCATCATTGCACAACGAGAGAGTTTGAGTTCTTGAAGAGATTTAAGCTTCCAGAGACAATCAGGAAGAGCCACCAGATTTTGGCAGTCTTTTAGATTTAATATGTTAAGTTTGTGGAGATTACTAATGGCTTGAGGAAGTATAGAAATTGCAGTGCCGTTCAAGTGTAGAGTTTCTAGATTTGTTGAAATCACCTTAAATGTTTGAAGATTTGAGCAGCCACTGAGGATGAGAGTCTTTAAAGAATTGATAGTTACTGTTGGCAGAGACACGAGACTTGTGCATCCTATTAGGTTTAAGAAACTTAGATTTTTCAACTCTTTCATTTCCATAGGTAACTCCTTCAAACTCGTGCAGCCTTCGAGGATTAGTCTCAAAAGATTTGGTGCTTTTGATAAACCCAACAAAGAAGTTAGCTTACTCGAGTGACTCAGATCAACCCACCTGAGTTTTGGTGTAACCTAAGATGATAAAACAGAAGTTTAGGTCACAAAAAAATTATACAAAAGCATATAATTTTATCTAAACTATTAGAGATATACAAACCTTAGCACAGTTCCATAAAGTGGTAATATTGCTATAAGGCAACCGAAGATCAATAAGATTCTTGGGTTCCAAGTTTGATGGAAGTTCCTTTTTCGGGAATTTCACCCAATGGAGATATCTAAGTATGTTATCTTTTGGAAATTCAAGTTCATCTGGTAAGTTCAAGTTGCATTTAGCTTCATTGTGGCCTCCAGGATCGGTAGAACTATAGACTTTCAAGTATTGTAGACTGGTCATATCGACAAACGCTTGGCTGTCTAAGGATTTTTCCTCCATTTCAGACATGTCTAAGACAATTCCTCTAACCTTGTTTCTTCCCTGTTGATCAAGTAAGAACTACAACAAGTTAGCAACCACACACACATAGCACACATACATATATATATATATATATATATATATATATATATATATATATTGCAAATGTATAAAGTTTCAAATTTCTTTTCCTCACCTCTTTCTTCGCCAACGCAGTAGTAAACTCTGGACAATTTGATGGGAATAACCAATATTTCCCACCACTTGTTTCAACAAGTTCCTTGGCCACTGTGCAGAATAGACCATGCATCTCAACTCGACCATCACATATGTCTATCAAGAACTTGTCTGTGAGGTCTCTAAGTTCCGTCCCAGATTCGGCAGATTCATGGACGTTAAAAGAATCAAGTAAAGTTCTAACGTAGTTCTCTTCTTGTGATCTGAAGAAACAGGCTATATCAAGAAACGCATCCTTCTGCTTCTCGTTTAGTTCATCATAACAGATTCTTAGCTTGTCTCCGACCATTGAGTTGGAACATTGAGTCAGTTTCCCAAGTCTTGTTTTCCAGTGATCCTCATCTTTCCCGCAAAGCTCATCACCAAACTCCTTGAGAGCGAATGGGTTCCCTCCAGCATAATCTACGAACTTTCTAGACATGTCCATAATATTTCCTTCAAGAGTAGTGCAGACTTGATCTCTAAAGAGCTCGAGGCTCTCTCTGTCATTCAGTTTGGGGACATGAAAGAGATCACAGGTCAGTTCCTTGAGCAATGACTTGTCTCGTGTGGTGATGAGGATCCTACTCCCCGCCTTAATCCAGTTGCAGTTTCCCAGAAGCGGCTTGATCTGTTTCTTGTCAGTCACGTTGTCGAAAAATATCACTACTTTCTTCTTGACTAGAGTATCCTTCCAAAACTCAAGTGGATTTCCATTACCACAATCTATAGATTTATCCAGTAGACCTTCCACAAGTGTCTTCTGCAACCAATCCAGTTTCTGGTCATTCCACTTCTCACTATCGAGCTTGATAAAAACGTGACTGTTGACCTTCTTCTTCAGCTTTTTGAACAGTGTCTCGGCCAGATAGGTTTTTCCGATTCCAGCCATCCCGACAATTCCAACAATACGAGATTCGTTGTCTTCGCAGTCCATAATCAATTTTTCTTCCAATTGCTTCAGGCGTTGTTCTCCTGGTTTGATATTGTTAACTGCTGGATTAGATCTCTCTTCAGGTTTAGGGTTTTCTTCTCCTCTTCCTTGGGGTTTAGGGTTTTCTTCTCTCAGCGCTAGATCTTCGCTTAGGAAGTCCTGAACATGTGCTGCGATCAGATTTATGAATGCGGCTTCGTTACTGCAGTAAAACAGAGAGGGAAACCCCAATGGATTTCTTGCATTATATGCAGTAAAAGGGTGGAATGTGTAAGCAAAGTCAAACAATAATCTGTTTTTTTTCTAGACATTTCCAGTTCCAGCAAATGTTATTTGTATTTTAAGAATTTTAAAACTAAAGAGAATAATTGTGTCCGCAATTTAAAAATCTTTAATTGCGATTTGTATATGTCGATACTCAAAATTGTAAATCTAAACATTTAAAAATAAAAAGAATCTTAAATGCTAATAGCCTAATATCAAAAACTAAAAGGATCCTTGAACTAAGCTCTAAATCTCTAGTTTTACCCTCCGGCTTTTGACTCTGAGATTGTAGTCGATCAATCGCCGGTTTTGTATCAGTTTTCCGTGAATCAATAAAAATTCAGTGAAAAGAATGCATTTACGTGAGAAAAAAAAAGCTTCTCTGGATTATCCTCCAGAAGAATGTACTACAAGTCTACAATAGTTCCTTATAACTTCTTACAACAAAAGTCGTTTTCACTGTTCAATATATACTTAAATAATCAAAAGAGTTTATCCACTAATTTCTCAACAGAAAAAGGTATTAATCCATTATTGAATAGTACTTTCTAATCCAGTAATACCTTAGTTCTTTCTAATCCGTTTTAACACCTGTAGTTCTTTCTAATCTGTTAATACCGTTAAATCCTATAAAAATAAAGAACACTGGATAATGTATTAAGTGAAATCTAACCCTAATATATGCATGAGAATATGTCATTAATCTGAAGTAATATATAGGTCAATTACTTACGTGTGCTCTTCTAGGATCAATGCTTTCTTGCTCCTAACACCCTGCAAAGCAGCGTCCCACTTTAGAATCCGGTCGTCACGACCTTTCTTCTTCCACAAATCCCATAGCTGGAGACCGAAATTTCCGTCAAGCTGTTTCACCGTGTCTGGCTTCAAATTGTAGAAGATTGGAATAACCCTTAAAGTGCGGAGATCCACACACTCCTTTATCTTCACCAGCTCGTCTAAACACCAATGTGACTCTGTGTACTTACTCGACAAGATCGCCAGTGCGACCGTGGACTTCTCAATCCTTGAAAAAAGTTCTTTAAGATCCACACCCGGTTTCTCTTTACTGTCTATAAAAGAGTTGATTCCCTGACGTTCCAAGGCTGCATGGAGATGGGAGACAAAGTTGCTACGCAGCTCTCCTCGGAAGTTGATGAAAACTTGTGGGCCTGTGGAAGATGAGGATGTCGCCATCTCGATTTCCTTTCTTGTTTTTTTTTTTTTGTTTCTTTTTTTTTCTTTTTGGGAGTGGAGTTTACAATTGATTGTTTGGAGAAGCAAATGATAGGTTTGCACTTTCCAATACAATATCGTGTCATTGAGGTCCTCTTAAATATATCTTAGCTGACCGCGTTAATCGTCAAGATTACAACATATGTAAGTACTTAAGTGATGGTAATTTATTGGTTTTTGTTCTAATAATCGTTCTAGACTAAAAATTAAACTTTAATAGAGACACTTTCTTTAGAGGATGCATACTTTAATTGTGAGCTAAAAAGTACGTAGCTTGGAATTGGATGTCAATAATCCGTGATTAGTCATAAAACACAAAACAATAAACAACATAAGTAGTTCTTTTTTATAAGAACATTTTACTATTCAAGGCCTTAATTATTGATGAACTAAATATATTTATTTTACTAACAATTGAACTCGTCCAAAGCCGATATTAATAAGCTTTACCACGAAGACATTCGATAATTAAGCACATATGAACAGTACTCAGTTGTATCTTATTCTTGTATGGGAAACTCTAACCTTTTGATGAGTAATTTCTACAAAATAATTTATTTATTATATGATGGTCTAGCTAGTCATTTACTAAAACTTACTAGATAACACTACTTGGTTTAATTGAAAAGAAAAGTTGACCCGATCAACTACCGGTTTTGGTCCGGTTTTCTAATGATTACCATGAACAGGCATGTGTAAAATGTTAATTATATCAAATATTCTGGAAAATTAAAATTATAAATTGTCTAATTGTGAAAATTTGACTATATTACGCCAAAATATAACAGTTTTCTCGTTCACACTATTGCGACCAGTTTGTACAATTAGATTATGTAAATCGACCGTAATCATCCATGTACACATAAATATAATATTTTCCGGGGCTTAAAGTACGAAATTTAAATTGACGAAATACAAAGTTTATATAAGCTCATCGTTGCAAACCTTTACCATGAAACTGACTTGAAGTTTCGAAGAAACTCTGAATATATGGCAACAATCATATTGTTTAAGATTAGCTAACCGTTGTAATGGCGTAATGCTATATTTTATGAACCATTGAACATTTCAATTGAGTATCTTCTATACTAGTCACCAATTTGCATTTGTTACACGCAAGCGTATCAATTCAACCACATATAAGTATATAACCAACGATTGGGCTGTTATTTTTAAACATATAGTGTGTTGTGCTGTCGTTGTTAGGCTAAACATTTTTATGTTTTCTATGGACTTATTCCATTTGCTTCGGTGGAGAATGATTTGACTTTAGAAGACAACGGGAAAGATAGTATTTGGCATTTTCTAATGTACATAAAAAAAAATTATATAGAGAAGCGAGAAGCTTGCATGCATGGATCATATATATTGAAATGGTAGTATATATATATATATATATATATATATAAATTCCCTACGCGTTCGTCGATTTTTGTTTTGTTAGTCAAATTTTACTCGATTTGAAAGTACTAACTACCAGAAACTACCTCTATAAAGTAATACTCGATAAAGTAATACCTCGATAAATAAATATAATTTTCAAGTCCCAAATTCAGTTTTTGGTCTAATTATCCCTCAGTAAATTAATAATCTCGATAAAGTAATAAAATATTGTGGTCCCAACGTTGCCTAGTCTATACTAATTTTAAGAAAAAAATATAGTAGATATTTTTATTACTCATGTGATAAAATATTACAAAGCCTTAAGAACTATTTATATAGACCACTAATTTTAAGAAAAAAATATAAAAGACTAAAGCAACGATGTCCCATCATTCAGAAAGATTTAAAAGAACTGATTTTTTAGTTTATATCACCAAAATGTATTTGTGTTTTGACTACGACCTATAAGATATCTGAAGAAATCAAAGCCCGATCAAGGGTAAAAAAAGATTACTGAATGATGGGACATCGTCACTTTAGTCTTTACAGAGTTCCTATAGCAGAAAAATATCTAACTGTTACGATTTCAAATGAATAAAACAAAAGAGAAGAGAGATTAAGGCAATATATCCTGTTAAAATTTTCTTATTACTCGTGTGATAAAATATTACAAAGCCTTATGAACTATTTATATAGACCACAAAGAAAAAATCCGATAAATCTAGGAATCCCAATAAACCTAGGAATACCGTACCCATGAGAACTGACTCTTTTACCACTATGTACTAATTATAAATCACTTTGAATAATAAACTCCACCTTGACGAATGACGAATAATTACACTTGACTCCAACTACTTCAAAATTTTGGGGAAACCTTTCTCTTCCTTAGCATTGGAAGACATGGAGCAGCTCCAAGCAATGCTTGAACTTTTCCGCAGTGACTACCTTGGTCAACATATCAGCTGCATTCTCTGACGTATGCACCTTCTCCAGAATGATCTCACCAGAAGCCACCAACTCCCTGATCTTGTGAAACCTCATATGAATATGCTTCGTCCTTGAATGATACACTTGATTCTTAGCCAAAAATATTGCATCCTGACTATCACAATGTAGCTGAACTCCACCTTGCTCAACACCCAATTCTGTCACAAGTCCTTGAACCCATAATGCCTCCTTTGCAGCATCTCCTAATGCCATGTATTCAGCTTCCATGGTAGACAATGCAACAACATATTGTAGCACAGATCTCCAACATATAGGTCCTCCAGCCAATGTAAAAACATACCCTGTGGTAGACCTTCTGTTGTCCAAATCTTCAGCATAATCTGAATCCACATACGCCACAACTGAACCACATTTCTGGCCTCTAAACATAAGTCCATATTCAGTTGTACCCTTCAAATACCTGAGAACCAATTTCACAGCATTCCAATGTTCTCTCCCAAGATTCGCCATGTACTTGCTGATCTGAATAACAGCTTGAGCCAAATCTGGTCTTGTACAAACCATAGCATACATAAGACAACCGACTGCACTAGCATAAGGAACTTGTTCCATACCTCTGATTTTGACCTCACACTTAGGAGACTGATAGAGATTGAAGTGATTCGCCAAAAGTATAGAAACCGGTTTTGCATTTGCCATGTCAAACCTTTCTAAGACCTTCTTTATGTAGCCTTTCCGAGACAGCCATAATTTCCTAGAGCTCCTCTTCCTGCGAATCTCCATCCCAAGAATCTTTTTTGCAGCACCTAAATCCTTCATCTCAAACTCTTTTCCCAGTAACCTTTTCAACTCAACAATATCATCCATATTTCTCCCAACAATGAAGCATATCATCAACATAAAGCAACAAGAGTATAGGAGGACGACCATCACGGCTAAGTATATAAACACAACAGTCATACTCACATCTTTGGTAGTCAATCTTCTGCATGTAGGAGTCAAACCGCTTGTACCATTGTCTTGGAGCCTTCTTCAACCCATACAGAGACTTTCTCAATCTGCATACAAGCTTCTCCTCACCTGGTTTCACAAACCCTTCTAGCTGCTCCATGTATATCTCTTCCTCCAAATCTCCATGGAGTTTAGCTGTCTTCACATCCATCTGTTCAAAATGAATATCCCAACTAGCTACCAAACTAAGCACAATTCGAATTGAAGTGTGTCTAATAACATGAGAGAAAATCTCATCATAATCTACTCCCTTCCTCTGTGAATACCCCTTTGCAACCAACCTTGCCTTGAACTTCAGAAACTCCTTCTCAGACATTCCTGGTTTTCTAATGAAAACCAACTTGCATCCAATCGCCTTCTTGCCCTTTGGTAAAAGAACAAGATCCCAAATATGATTCTTGCTAAGACTCATGTTTTTCCATCATAGCTCCCGTCCATACCTCCTTATCCAGACTAACAATAGACTCCTTATAAGTCAATGGAACATCTGATTCAACTAAAAGAGCACAACCGACCATGTCTTCAAAATCATATTTCACTTTTTTGACCCTCTTGGGTCTGCCTGCAACATCTTCCTCTTTTGCTTCCTCCTGCTCGTCCTGCTGATCAATCTGCACTTATATTGCAGATTTCTCTTCGTTTTCTGCTGCTGGCCTAGTCTCACTAGATCCCTCTTGAGTCTCTTTAGATTCAACTTCAGTCTTTTAGGTAACAAGCACCTTTTCTGACCTTGCCTGCTCCACCATGTACTGTTCATCGAACACCACATCTCTACTGAAAATCCTCTTCTTAGCCTCATAATCCCATAACTTGAAGCCCTTCACACCTTTCTCAAAGCATAGAAAGATGTTCTTCTTGGATTTCGAATACAGCTTTGACCTCTCATCGCTTGGTATAAGCATGTAAGCTGAACACCCAAAAATCCTGAAGTTAGATAGATCAATATCTACCTCAGTCCAAACCTCTTGAGCAACCATCCCCTCAAGAGTCTTCCTTGGCGGTATATTGATGAGGTAGACCGCCATGTTTACTGCCTCTGCCCAGAACTGCTTTGGAAGCCCTACATTCAACCTCAAATACCTAACCTTCTTAGCGATAGTTCGGTTCATCCTCTCTCTGATCCCGTTTTGTTGTGGTGTTTTTCTCACTGTTTAGTGCCTTTGAATACCATGCTCCTCACAGAACTTGACAAACTTCCCATCAGTATACTTTGTGTCATTATCTGATCTCAGATACTTAACCTTCCTCCCTATCTGGTTCTCCACTTCTGCCTTCCAAATCTTGAATTTTTCAAATACCTCAGACTTCTGCCGCAAGAAGTATACCCATACATTCTTTGAATAATCATCAATGAAGAGAACAAAGTATCTAGACCTTCCCAATGACTGCTCCCTAATTGGTCCCCGCACATCATAATGGACATAGTCTAGAAGACCCTTTGTCGTGTGTAGACCTGTCTTGAAAGACATCTTGGACTGTTTTCTCATCATACAGAACTTGCAAAAATCCATATTGCAATTCTTCATACCTCCCAGCAGACCCGTCTTGTAGAGCTCATTCAACTCATGCCCACCAATATGCCCCATGCGCATGTGCCAAAGGGCCGTGCTGTCTGATTCAGAGACCTCCGCTACAGCACCACCTACAACCACACTTCCTACCAAACGATAGGTGCTACCTCCTGTCATCACTCCCTTCATCATTACCATCGATCCCTTTCACACCTTCAGAACGTCTTCTCCTTCAACTGCATGATACCTAAATCCGTTTCTGTGAAGAGTACCCAAAGATATCAGATTCTTCTTGACAGCAGGAACATGTCTAACATCAGCAAGTGTCCTGATGACCCCGTCATGCATCCGGAACTTGATAGAATTACTACCAACAATGCTACAGACTCTGTCATCCACCAACTGAACTGCTCCCATATTTCCCTCCTTGTACGTCTCGAACCACTCCCGGTTAGAAGTCATATGAAACGATGCACATGTATCCATCACCCAAGAATCCGCAAGATGACCTAACATGACAGCATATTGATTGCTATTCCCTGAATCAGAATCCCGCTGCGCAACATTCGCAGACTTTCCTTCTTTGTTCTTGCCCTTGTTTGGACAATCACGCTTGTAGTGACCTTTAACATCACAAAGATAATAAGTAGTCTTAGCCCGGTTCTTAGACTTTGACCTGCTGGTTCTACTTCCATCTTGCTTGTTCATATGCCTACCCTTGTCCTGATTGTTGGCATACAATCCATCACCATGAGAACCATCTGCTCCCGTCTTCTGTCTTCGCTCATAATGAGATTGGAGCGAAACCGCCACCGTCTCCAAGGATATTGTCTCCTTGTTTCACGTAAGTGCTGTTAGGAGAGTCTCATATGAAGGAGGCAATGACCACAATAGGATCATGGCTTTATCTTCGTCCTCAATCTTCACCCCCACACGAGCCAGGTCCCCCACGATTTGATTGAACGCATGTACATGCTGCATCAGATCGGATCCTTCTGACATCTTCATCCCGTACAAACGCTGCTTCAGATACAACTTGCTAGACAATGACTGACATATATAGATTCTCCAGTTTCTCCCAGATCTCCTTACACGTAGTAAGATCTTCCACCTGAAGCATCACCTCGTCTGACAAATACAAACGAATCATCGAAACAGCCTGCTTCTGCATCTCTTGCCATTCATCATCGTCAATTTGGGCCGGTTATTTCTTCTCTAACGCTTTCCTGATTTTCTGCTGTGTCAGAAGATCCTTCATACGCCCTTACCAAAGACCAAAATTTCCCTTCTCGTCGAATCGCGGAATCTCAAACTTAAGGGATCCTCCAGGCATTGAAAACCAAAAGCTTTGATATTAGTTGTTGTGATTTCGAGCGAATAAAACAAGAGAGGAGAGAGATTGATCAGACAATCCTATTAGGGTTTTCTTATTACTCGTGTGATAAAGTATTACAAACCCTTATAAACTATATATATAGACTTCAAAGAAAAACCAGATAAACCTAGAAATCTCAATAAACCTAGAAATACAATACCTATGAGAGCTAGCCCTTTTGCTATTATGTACTAATTATAAGTCACTTGAATAACATTAATTTCCTAAACTTACACAATCAGAGTTAACTTACAGTAAATAAAAACCCAGTTTAATTAGATTACATTGAACAAAGATCACGTAAAACTGTCTTAATTCTTCAATATGTGGTCCGCGTGTTAGTTAACTTATAAATCAAATAATCAATACTCCTACAAGATACATATAAATTTCAGTCTCATGAAACGACCAAATTAAGTTGGTACGGTTTAATTGCTTGGGCTTTTATATGTGATTGTCGCACCTGCCGACCGCTTTTATCCACACCAATACGGTAGCTATTCTCATCATTATTGTTTTGCATAAATTTATATTCGGAACTACAAAGTGTATGGTATGTTGTCATTGTTAAACACAAACACAAGCTAATAATTATGGTTTTGTCAAATGTCAAATATATTAGTTTTACTTTGTGTATTGACTTTTTCATTTGTGATGTGGTGTTAACGGAAATATGGCATGACAGATGATAATGAGAAAACCGGAATCATTTATCAAAACACTATACATAATATTCCAAGTTGGAATTCAACTATGAAAAAGATACTCAACGGAAAAAAGTCTTGCTGTGTATTTTTTGTTTTAAATAAATTATGAATTATATCAGCCGCTAACCATCGCAGTTAAAAACATGCACGTTTTACCAATGATCATCTGAGCTTGTAGTATAGTACAGTAGTTTATAATAGTACGTACTACATGTAAGTATGTAACTAAGACGACGCTTCCGTAATTAATACAAACTTTACCCTAGATCAATAATCAGTGAGACAACTTTCATATACTTGTCCCTGTCAAACTAATCTTTTTTTTTACCAGAAAAAAAAAACAAATCGTTTTGACTAATTACATATTAATTGTTTATCTTGTTACAAATGAAATTTCGAAAATTATCGTTCCCAAGCTACCACATGAGACAAATATCGAGAACGGAAAGGGGGAAATAAAATATTGCCAACGCAACCCAATTTCTTAAGTCCCACGTTAGATTAGCTATGTAAATTTCTTAAGCCTATCAGTGTGATTTGTCGACATTTTAATGGTTTTGTGGTTCCACCAATAAAATACAGACCAATCTACCGGTTACACAACATACAGACTTGAAAATTAATTCGATAAACAAAACGCAGGGCCATCTGCGTTTTGTTTATCGAATTTGGAGGAGCCTTCATCACCTTCTTCGGAGTCCTCGACTACGTCGTCGTCATGATAGGAACCGAGGTGTATCGGAGGAGTGTTGTCGGAGTCGTGGCTGGGAGACTTGCTCTTACCCTTTGTCAGCTGCTTGATGCGCTTCCCCATCTTCTTCACGGTCTTGAGGAGGGACTTGATCGCTTTGTCCTGGAACTGGTTCCAGGCCTTTAGCGTGTTGATGCTCTCAAGTGCGGTGTTAGCCGCTGACTTCCTCCCTTTGATCTCGTGGTTCTTGAAGTGGAACTCTCCGGTTTTGTAGTCCATGAGATTCTCCACGTCGCCTGAACTCTCACCTTCGCCAGCTGCTCCAGAGTGAGCGTAGTCTTCCTCCTCTTGGCCTTGCTCAAGAATAGTTTCGATGGGAGGCTCAAAGTCGATGTTCTCCATGACCGTGATGTAGGTCAACGGTGGGTTTGGCAAGAAGAAACTCGCCAGCCCGTACTCAAACTGCCTATAGGCAAACTGATAGTTGTGTCATCCGCTGACGAGTTGGCCGCGAAGGTAGGTGCTCTTGCGTAGATACTGGAAAGAGGGAAATAAAATATTGCCAACGCAACCCAATTTCTTAAGTCCCACGTTAGATTAGCTATGTAAATTTCTTAAGCCTATCAGTGTGATTTGTCGACATTTTAATGGTTTTGTGGTTCCACCAATAAAAAACAGACCAATCTACCGGTTACACAACATACAGACTTGAAAATTAATTCGATAAACAAAACGCAGGGCCATCTGCGTTTTGCGTTTGGAGGCAAGTTTCATGTCTCCAAATCATTTTTTCTATTTTCTTTTTGAATATCACATAAAATACTTTTTACGTCAACAACATGCATTTTACTGGTTTTGAATTTCAACAAATCTTGTACAATGACGTATATTTACTGATGTAATTTTTTTAAGATTTACATCTTGACTAGTAACGTTTGTTATACCAATATTAAATCCGTCTTGTTTGTTTTTATGTGAAAATCAATGTTCAGAAATTCCTTACACGCTGATTGGACGGTCGGAGAAGACTTAATTCATTAATATAATTAAGAACTAAAAAGAGATTTATTTTATAATATTAACCTAAATGTGAGTCTAATTTTATATGTGTGGTATAATGTTGATGAAACAGTGTGGTTTGGTGGTAAAAGTTTGATCAACTAGTCATGTTTTAGCTATCTCAGGTAACGTTAAAATAAAAGTAAAATAAAAAAGTAACAAAAATAAATGTGAGTGTTTTTGCATAAATGTGGTAATGACGCACCGACATTTGTATTTTTTTTATTATGTATTATTTTGCTTCTCTCTCTCATGAGTTATCTTTCACTATATCTATCTATAACTATGGTATTTCTTTTTTTTTTTTACTAAAGGCTTTCTTATAAGTTATAACTATGGTATTTTTTGTTTGTTACTATAACTTTGGCTTAATCTAGTGAAAGCTTTTAGATCATAACTAAAAACAGAATGCATGATGACAAAAAGAGAGGCTAAAACTCAGTTTTTGGAACGAACACGGCCGGCCACGACCCCGTCTTTGTGACCGTTTCATTTCTTGCATCTTTTGGGAAGGTTTGTTACTATAACAATGAAATACTGTTACGTTTCTACAAAATGTTAAAATGACTAATCTAAAAAGCCATAAACTTTGTTCAAAAAAAATTAAAAAATTAAAAAGCCATAAACTTTTTTTTATTTTTAAAACAGATCCAAAAAGCCATAAACTTAATATGTTGCTTACGATTTTAGTGGATGGAAGTTTCTAAGAAATGTCAAGGTTTGTTTAAATATACGATTTCAATGTATAAATATCGTCCAACAATATCTTTATATATATAATCCCCGAGTATAAAGACCTATTCATACTCAAATGACAAAGACAAAAAACACCAATTGGTCATTTCAAAACCGACAAGAAACAAAAGGTTTCTCTCGTCTTTTGATGCTCTCAAAATAATTGTATGGACAACAACAAAAACGATGAGGTTTTTCTCAGTTTTGACCACAGGGATTCATCAGTCTCCTCTTTCATCAGCTACCTCATCGCTGCTTTTAACCGGCAAGGGATATCTGCGGTCTTTGATGGTAAAAGCAGCCATGTTGAAGCTGTTGAAAGGGAGGAGGAGGAACGATTCTCCAAATTAAAGGTCTTTGTGGTGGTTTTTTCCGATAACTATGTGTCTCATGTGCCACGCTTGGAAAAACATTTATACTCATGCCGTAATAACGACGACTTTGTGGTGGTTCCGGTATTCTATCGCGTCAGTACATGGTCCGTGAAGCAACATATCGAAAACTCTTGTGATGTGTATGAGGCGGTCCAAATATCGATGCCTAAATTGCGACGAGGCCATGAATATGATGGTACAAAAACGTAAGTCAAAATAATTTATATATATTTTTTAAAAAATGGTTAAGCTCATTTATAATTAAGAAACTATAATTTTATTTTTACGTACGCGAGTTATATTTTCACTATAGATAGTAAAACAAATATTTCCCGTTTGCAAATTGTTTACTATTTGTATTAACTTATAGATAGTTCATTTTTTTTTTGTTGAAATGTTAAATTTATTAATCAACAAAAAGAAAAATTATATACACAGTTTGGTCCATGAGAGAACAGCAGAGCTAAAGTAGAACAAAACCAATAAAGATAGTTCATTCGGAGAACAACAACACAAACTTCTAGATATTTAAGTTTTATGTAGGTTAACAAAGAGATTTCAATCTTTAATAACTATGTAATAATTTCAGGTTATTAGCTCACTAAAAAACCAATCATATATAGTCAATTATAATATATTTTAAAAGATATATGAATTTTAAAACAGTATATACTCTGGAAATACATATAGAACTTCCTTACAATAATATTTAGATTATGTATAGTCTACATAACTATGATAGACATCCAATCCAAATCATTTATGTTCAAAAATTTGCATGTTATATTTTTTTATTATCATATAAGAAGAGCGCAGAAGCTTTACTTAAAACGTGTAATTAAAAAATTTGCATTTGCAGTGAATGTGAATTTCTAGAAGAGATCGCAAGAGATGTATTTGAGGAACTCTATCCAACAGAAGAGATTGGGATCCAATCATCAGTACTAAAGATAGAAAGATTGCTGTGCAAACAACCATGGGGCGTTCGCAGCATAGGACTTTTTGGTGAGGCTGGCATTGGGAAGACAACTCTGGCTAGAGCCGTCTTTCGCCGAATGTCTGGTGGCTATGATGATTCTTGCTTCATCAAAGATTTTCAAACAGAATATTCTGAGAAGAGACTTGAGTATTTGCCTACTGAATACTTCGGTAAGACTCCAATGGAAAAGTTTGACCTAAATAGTTCTGGCTCAGTACCAAGCTACCGCAAGAAAAGGGTTCTTGTTGCTCTGGACGATGTGGGAAAATCTCGAGACGCAAAGTCATTTCTTGGTGGATTTGATAGATTTAGTCCAGGGAGTCTGATCATCATAACCTCCAGATCTAAAAAAGTTCTTCAGGAGTGCCATATGAATGAGATTTATGAGGTAAAAGGTCTAAGCGATAAAGATGCTCTGAAGCTATTCACAAGGTGTGCCTTTGGGAAAGATGATACAGAAGAAAATCTTTCGGACCATTCATCAATGAAAGCAATTAAATGTTGTGATGGGAATCCTTCTGCTCTTCGCTCATATGCCAAGGAGTTTATGGTCAAGGCAACAACAAAAATGGAACCAGCGTTGCCTGATGCTTGCGAAGTAGTTATAACCGGCCACATAGTATCTTGTGACATTGTGAAGAACACATATGTGTGCACAATCCCCTGTAAAGAAGATGATGAAATGCAAGAAAAGAAGGAGTCCCCATCAGATCACAATGATGTTTTGGTATGTCACACTACTCTAATACATATATATTTCATTTTAAAAAGATTTACAAGCTAAAAAGGTCTAAATTAGTATTGTAACTAATATTTTGAGTAAACAACACATGATTTCATCTTAACTCTTTAATTTTTTTTTTTTTTTAACTCTTTAAATCATTGATTGATTAACAACTCAAGATTGTGATAGATCCAAATTAGTCAATCCAATAAACTATCATAAGATTTTGAGATTTGACAGTGTTTCTTGATCATCTCTCATCTTACAATTTTATCTCTTTGTGTTTTTTTTAGGCTACAACGGATACTATAGTTCTTACCGGCCTCATCACGAGAGATACTAGCGACCGATGGTTTTACCGATTGGATTATGACTCCGTGAAATCCTTGTTTAAACACTTATGTCGAAAGCGCCATATTTTACACCAAAGATTGGCTAGACAACTTCAGAAGTTCTTGCAACGGTTCTCGAACACAAGTGACCACGATCTGCCAGAACTTCTCCTAAATTTCTCTGATGGTGATATAAAAGTTGTACGAAAGAAAAATATAATTGAATCGTACGCGGCATTAGTGCCGTAGGAGAAATAAGATCGAAACTACAGCTAATGGCATGGGTTAATATTTCTCGAATTTCAGTTAATCTGGTTTCTTTAATATTAAAAATAATAAAGCAATCACTCATTGTAAAATTTATATGGATTGTTATATATCAGCAAGTTGTATTGTATGTAAAAATCATTATGGCCCTAACTGGTACCAGCTGAATTGAGGAATTCAGCTGAATTATAGCTGAAAAAAAAAAACTATACACCAGTTGATAGTTGTGGAATATGGAATGAGGAATTGTGGAATTCATCTTAAAACACCACTGTTCAGTTGGGTCCCACCACAACTCTCTCTCGGCCTCCGTTTATTTATGTCACGTAAATGATTTTCAAATGTAAAATTGAGACACATGGCATTTTAAAATAGTAACTTAATAATTTTAAAATGAGTTACTATTAGTTAAACTAAAACCAATCAAAGAAAATCAAACGCTACATCATGCAGCAAATCTTTTAAACTTTTATTTTCAAAAATATTATTTTAGTTAATCTCTAATAAAATAGTTGTTGTACTAAAATACTATAAAACAAACTTAAAATATTATTGATTAAATTGAGTATAATATTAAATATAATTTATCCGCATTCAATCCGATCAAAAAATTTCCCAAAATTGAATCTTAATAATAAAATTAGGTAGATCCATATAATAAATTTAGTTTATTAATTCAACTAGGTAAATATTTTTGTATTCTAACTGGGTAAAATTAGCTCTAACTGATACCTGAAGAATACTACAGAATTGAAGAATGTTGTAGAATATTTTAAAAATGTTACTAGTTAACTATGCAGAATTGTGAAGAGTTGAGGAATGTGAAATTGAAGAATCTATCACTAAAAGACAAAAACAAGTGATTTTTTTTATGAATTGATAAAATAAAATTGAAATTTGTTTTTTAACTTTGGTGTTTAATAAATAAATTATTATAAATTATGATTCTTAAATCCTATATTTTAAAAATTATTTGAGTTTACTAATATTTAATTGTTTTACAAGTAAATTTTTATATTTATTTTATTAATTAAATTGATGAATATTCTGTTACACAAATAATTTGTTAGATTTATTCCGCATTCAGCAACATTCAGCAGTTACCATTCACAATACTAACTATTCAGCCAGATTCTGCAAAAAGTTACAATTTAATTCAGTCAGATTCCGCATTCAGCAACATTCCGCAGTTACCATTTAGACCCTATGTATAGTTGATGTTTATCTATATACTAGATTAGCTAGGTCTCGCGTATACGCGAGTTTATTATAATATTTTTAAAATAAATAATGGAAAATATTAAACTAAATATGATCACTTTTTAAAGTAAGTAGAATAATATTTAAAACCCGATAAAATCTCTAAATAAATGAAATTGGTAATACTTTTACATTTTTGTTTTGAATTCGTGTTTTCAAAAAAAAAAATTAAATTATTTTCTTTTTATTTTAATCTAAAATAGAAAAATTACATATGTCTAAATATGAACGATTGATTAATTCGTGAAATTTTTATTATTCCATTCAAAGTATTTTATCTGCGAAATTTTTTTTTTGAAACAATGTTTTTCCTAACAATAAAATTAAAATTTAATTATTTAAAATTAGAATATCGATTCATTATAAAATTTTCTTTTTAATATTAGATAGTTGCTTGATAATTATTTTGTTAGTTTTCTATGTATATTGTATCTTTTTCAAGTTTATTTTTTCCTCAGACCATTATAAATTTTCTTTTTCATTAGTTAGTTATTTTATATTTATTTTGTTAGTTCTTTTATTTCTTTTATTGCATTTTTCCATTTTTCATAGATTAACACATATCATTACCAAATCAAATACTAAACCGATATTAATTTTGATTTCGGTTCAACTGATCTAGAGTTAAATATTCTTCATTGATATCTTTAACTTTCAAAAATATAATTTTTCATTTCTTAATGGGAGCGAAGTTTTAACAAAAAATGGAAGCACACAATTAAATCATGACGGCTATAACTTATTATATATTAGGTTTTTTTCCTTTTTCGTAATGGGAATACGTTTTTTCCTTTTCTTAGTGGATTAACAATTTTTTTTAGTTAAATTTATCTCTTTTTCTGTTTTTCTGTTTTTTTTTTCCTTTTCGTAATGGAATTATGTTTTTTATTTCCTTTTCCTAATGGATATAAATTTTTAAATAATTATTTGTTTCCTGTTTTCTAATTTTTCATTGGTCATATATATATAAATTTTTTTTCTTATTCCATGACACATGTCACGATCTTAAGTACTTTTAGAATAAATAAAAAACACATGTTACGATCTTGTAAATTATAAAAATCTTACGTGTTGAAACCACGTACATCCAACTTTATATAATAAGATTCTTTAATAAACCACCCATATATCAATGACTTTGGTTTGAATTCGTATTCGGATTTTTTTTTTTTTTTTTTCTAGAGCTTTTAAATATCACCTATCAAAATCACATTACATCGTGTCATAATTTGGTCGAGTTGCATTGCGGTTACGCTCATGAGCTCTCTTTTTACGCTCTTCTAAGATATTTGAGTAAACTATCAATCCGGTTATACTTGGCAGTGGTTGGACTAGCATCGGCGTTGGTGTCATTTGGATAATCATCAGCATCTTCTGTATAAGAGCTTCTTTTCTCCATTCTTGAAGTTGCCTCCCAAGATGTGTTCTCAACTTCATCAGGCTCATAGACCAATGAGAAGCCACACTTCATCACCTTGCATTCCGCAACAACACTTGTACCATTTGTCACCTCAAATCTAAGGGACACTTCATTAACTGATGATAACTGTGGAAGTTTCTTGGTATTGAACCTAGTGGTGTAGCCAATGAATACATGATCCGACTCAACCCTATGTGGTGCATCGCCTGGTTCGGACCAACCACCAACAATGAAATTTTCCGGGGTGAAGGATACATTATCAAACTCACACGTGCACTTCACTTGGAGACAATTGGTTTTGTCTTTGTACTCTTTGAAAGAGACTACAACACATAAAGCTATCCCAATATGTCTACCTTCATCCCAATCTTGAGGAAGCTCCACATTTATGATTTCTCCCAATGCTTGGTGCTTGAACAATGCCGGTATTTCACATCCAGGAAAGCATGTGCAAATCAAGGATTTGAAAATAAAATCCTGCAAAATTTTAAGTAACACCAAAGGAAAATAAAAAATGTGGATGCTTAATGATAGATAATAAAGAACTTGAGAAGATAAAATAGAAGCAGATTAGTACCTGATTATATCGATCATGTGACATCGACTCTGTTTTCTTCTGAACGTAAGAAATGATAGCATTCTTCGACACTTGTTCCAATTCATGACAGTTAGTGAAAGTTAAAATGGAATGAATCTGCTCGGTCGGCAAAACAAGGGCTAGTGGACTTGTGACTGTTCTTAGTGAAGTACAACCATGTGCATCTAAGCATTGAAGATTCGGTGGAAGACTCGGAAGAGATGTGAGATTCTTGCAGTACTTCAACTCTAGCCACTTCAGATGCAACATTCGACCCATGTCGAATTCTAGGCTGCATATTTTATCATTCCTGCTTAGGCATAGACGTCGCAGAGATGACAAGTCGAAAATATTTCTTGGCATCTCTTTTATCGATGTTCCATCAAGCAGCAAAACCCGAAACTTTTCCATGATCTGCTCAACATCGGGGAACATCTTGAGCTTTGAACAACCAGAGAGCTTGAGTTCTTGCAGAGATTTCAGCTTCCCGAGATAATCAGGAAGGGTCTCCAGTTTTTTGCAGTCTTTCAGATTCAAGAAGTTAAGTCTTTGTAGATCACCAATGGCTTGAGGAAGTTCAGCTATCGCAGTGCCGTTTAAGTAAAGAGTTTCTAGATTTTCAGAAATCACCTTGAATGTATGAAGTTTTGAACAGCCGCTGAGAATGAGAGTCTTGAGGGAGTCCATAGTGATACTTGGCAGAGACATGAGACTTGTGCATCCTCTTAAGTTTAAGAAAGCAAGACTCTTCATCTTTTGCATCTCCTCAGGTAGCTCTGTCAAACTCGTGCACCATTTTAGGTCTAACCTCAAAAGATTTGGGGCATTTGATAGACCTAAAATATCTCTTAACTTAATCGAGTAACTTAGATCAACCCACTTCAGTTTTGGTGCAACCTGTGACGACCAACAAGCAGAATTCCATATATACCATCAGTAAAAAAAACATGCAAACCTAATTTAGTATACTACTAAGTACTAACTGTAGATGTACACACCTTAGCACAGTTCCATATACTGATAATCTTGCTGTAAGGCAACCTAAGATCGATGAGATTTTTCGGTTCGAAATCTGCTGGAAGTTCCTTCCCAGGGAATTTAATCCAGTCAAGATATTGCACAACATTATCTTTTGGGAACTCAATTCCATCTGGTAAGTTTAACTTGCACTCAGGTTCTCCCTGGGAATAGTAGACTTTCAGGTAACGTAGACTTCTCATACCAATAAAAGCTTGGTTGTCTAACGGTCTTTTCTCCATTTTAGACATGTCTAAGATAATACCTCTGACCTTTTCTTTTCCCTGTTGATCAAGTAATGAATAAAAGTTATGTCAAGTACATAATGAAACTCTTGTAACGAGTAAAGTCTCACACTTTATTTTTATCTCACCTCTTTGTTTTTGAGCGCATCAGAAGACCATCCTGCTACATTTGACGGAAATAACCAATGTTTCTCTCCACTTGTTTCAACAAGTTCCATGGCCATTGTAAATAGTAGATCATGCATCTCGACTCGGCCATCAGATACACTTATCAAGAACTTATCTAGAAGATCTCTAAATACATTTACAGCTTCGGCTTCAGCAGACTCAGGGTCAAAAGAATCAAGTAAACCTCTAACGTGGCTCTCATCTTGTGATCTGAAGAAACATGCTATATCAAGAAACGCATCTTTCTGCTTCTGGTTTAGTTCATCAAACCAAATTCTCAAGACCTTCCTAATCTTTTCATTTGAAACTTTTGTCAGTGTTCCAAGTCTTTCTTCCCAAAGATCTTCGTCTTTCCCACGAAGCTCCTCACCAAATGCCTCGAGAGCTAATGGGTTGCCTCCTGCATAGTCCAAGAACTTTCTTGACAGTTCTATGAAATTTCCCTCGAGATTACTAGAGAACTGAGCTTTAAAGAGCTCTAAAGCCTCTCTCTCATTCAACCCAAGGACCTCGTAAAGACCACAGTCTAATAATCCCTCGGTCAATGACTTGTCACGTGTCGTGATAATGATCCTGCTCCCTTTCTTAATCCAGTCACAGTTCCCCAAAAGCGACTCGATCTGTTTCTTGTCGCTCACGTTATCGAAAACAACCACGACTTTCTTCTCGATTAGAAGATTCTTCCAAACTTCACGTGTATCCCCATAGGCGAAGCTCAGATTAGGATAATCTTTCTTCAGTAAACCCTCAACAAGTGTCTTCTGCAACGAACCCAATTCTTGTTCCTTCGTTTTCTCATCGCCGAACGTAATAAACAGGCCACGACCGATCTCCGTCTTAAGCTTAACGAAGAGTTTATCGGCGAGATAGGTTTTGCCGATTCCAGCCATCCCGACGAGTCCAAGAATACGAGTTTTGTCGTCATTGCACTCCACATCCAACTTCTCTTCCAATTGCTTCAAGCGTTGTTGACCAGATTCAGCACTACTTGATGCTCTGTTAAGAAACTTTGGGGGCTTAGAGATTTCTTCTCCTCCAACCTCTGGGGATTTAGGGTTTTCTTGACTTGGGGACAAAGTTTGGGTTAATGCATCCTGAACCTTTGTGACGATCTTAGCCACGAAAGCCTTCTCCTCACTGTTAAACAAAAATATAATAACGGTGAGGTTATTTTCAATATTGTATAATCCCTTATTATTTTTACTAATAAGTTCATAAGGTATGCATGATGTATCTATTATGTATCTCTAAACATGCATGTGGTACGTACACATATTACCAGTTTACGTAATATTTTTACGTTATGTACAAAAAAAAAGTGCTATCCGAAAAAAAACAGTTAAACAGATTCGCGCGCATATATATAGTAGTCCAAAGAGTGATAGCTACTGTTATTTTTAAAACTTACGCCTAATGTTTTCATGCTTGATAGCTGATACAGTACTGTTGCACAAAAAAGGTTGATACACTAAAAATGTGTTTCTTTTCGTAAACCCAATATTTCTTTTTTTCTAAAAACACAATAGTTTAGTTTTTTTTTTTTAAACCAAATACCTTAACATTGAAAAGAAATAACACACGTAAAAAATATCTAACTTATAGGATAGCTAGCCATTTGTTATCTTTCGTGTTTACTATACAACATTTGAGGTCATTGTAATATAATATCATAGAAGTTTGAATTACATAGTTCTTCGGTTTGTTCTTTAACAAAATGTAGCTCCTAAACTTGTAGTTGATTAATGAACGTTATAATATATTTTTTTGGGGTAAAAGATCAATAACATTAATTACTCATCATACTGAAATGTTTCTAATGATTAGTCATAATATAATATATAGTTTCAAGCTACTCTAACGCCAAATATTTCCACCTATTCTAAGTGATCAGCATATGTTCCATAAACCCTAAGAATATTTCTGTTAATAGGACTAGCTAGCTTGTTCGGTTTCCTCATAGCCATTTTACTAAAGATTAAATACTTAAAGCTAGAAGAATATATCATCACCTTGTAAAAGTAAAATGATATATATTTAAAAGTATTAGTCGCTTATATATACGTACCTGCTTTCTTGGAATACCAAAGCCGCTCTGCTCAGGACATCCTGCAAAGCCGCGTCCCACTTAAGAATCCGGTCGTCTCGAACACCACCTGGCGTCCTCCACAGATTCAGTAGGTTAACACCGAAATCACCTTCAAGCCCTCTCACGATAGATGTGTCAAGCTTGTAGAAGATTGGAATGACAATTAGATTTTCGCATCCTTCCCCTTTTGTACTACATTCCTTAATCTTCACCAGCTCATCCATGCACCATTGTGAATCCGTGTAACTCTTCGATAAAATCGCCAAAGCAATCTTCGACTCCTCAATTCTTTTGAAAAGGTTTCCGAGTTTTTGGCCCCGAGGCATATCAGTGTCCATATAAGAATTGATCCCGCTCCCTTTCAATGCCTTACGGAGTTGGGGGATGAAGTTGCTACGCACATCTTTTCCTCGGAAATTGATGAACACTTGTGGTCCTACGTTGACGTTGGAACAGGAAGATGTTGTCACCATTGAACTTTTTTTTCTTTTAGGAAGTTGTTGGACTTCGATTGATTTATTTTTATTTTTTGCTTTTTCGACATATCATATGGTTGACGTTCTGGTATTTATATGTCTATCCAGTTCGAAAGACCGCGTTCTTCCACAAGACTAAGACAACCGTTATACGTAGTTTATTCTTAAAGAAAAATTCTTACCACAACGCTAATAAACTATTCTTGAAGACAAATTCTAACTCAAGAACTTGGTTTACTCTTTGTTTCAAGTTGAGAATTTATTTTTGCTTATGCCCGTAGGATTGGATGTCAATAAGCAAGTAGCAACGTGACTCAACATATCGAATGTCAAACACAACTTGGCCGTCTTCAAATGTATATAATAGACTATTGAAATAGTAAATTGGTATGTTAAAATCCGTTATTACGTACTCACTATAAGAGTTTTGCAATAGTCATATAACTTGCGAAAGTTTACGATAAATTTTCTAGTAAATTAGTCAACAAAATTTCGCAATTTAGAATACTTTTTTTGACTTTCATAAACTTGTATTTTACTTTTGATAAAATTAAATTTTGTAATAATTTATTTTCTTATCTTAATATCATTTGAAATCTATGATGAATATAATATATTCATATCAGTTACTTCAATGAGTAATTTATAGTTGTTTTGACATGATTTACAAAAACAACTATTAGTAAAATATATTTTCTTAAAAGATATATCGTATTATTACAATTTCTTTTTATATTTGAAAGATAAATCGTATTATTACAATTTCTTTTTATGTTTGAATTGTTTTTAATTGTATTTTTCGTTTTGTTACATTTTAAATAATTCAAGCAACAATTATTTCTAAATTAACTGAAAATGAAAATATAACTCGGAAGTATACGACTGGATCAAACTTTTATTAACATGTTCTAAAAATAGAGATTTAAATTTAAGAGATGACCGGATCACATTCAAGAACAATTATATAGTGGTTTTATTAAGTTAGGAGATCGTGTAGATTTCGCACAACGGCCGGATGCTATGGACATTTTTAAAATAGGCCTATGAGAAAAAGTTGCAGTTAAAAAAAAACATTCCAGTTGGAGGAGCCCTTACATATATGGCACTAAGTTTGAATTAGCATGAACTCTGAAGTAAAAAAACAAAACTAAAGAAAATCTATATAATTATAATTGAATCGAATCGGTTCATCAATAGTACAGGTTGGGTAGAAATGTAGTTAGTAGTAGAGGTTTTAGATTTAAATTTTTAGGATTTAGAGTGTTTTTTATCCAGTGAAAAGGTCTAGTTTTGAAAGTGAACACATTAGAGATGTAGTTTTAGAAATATATACACCTTAAAATGTGTATTTTTGAAATTTTCTTGAAAATTGATTATCGAGTTTATTAGTTCATATTAATTTATAGAGTTTCTACTTTCTACTGTATTTCTATCTACCTTTTTTTGTTTCTTGGTTTCCAAGAAAGTAAGTCCATACATCATATGATTCATTTCGTGTGGTTGCTGATTACTGATTAGTGCAATTTATATAGTTTCCCCGAACCAAACTTCGTTCAAGCATTGCAAATTTGCAACACTGAAAGAAATATATATATTATGAAGTTGCATTCGTTACCTTAGCTCATCAGAATACATGGAAAAAAACTTAAAGAATACTAAAATGAAGCGAAAATACACCCATTTAATAATATCAAAGTAGGTAAACCAGTAGACCATGAGCTAACTTATCCATATAAATACTATCCTATATTTTCATAGCCAGAAGCTGGTGACCATGTCGAACCTGCCTGAATATACAGAGAAAGAAACCCATATGATGTAAACCAAATAATAGGACAGCTAAAAAATTGTTTGTGATACAACAACTTGTTTGATGATCATACAACAAATAGTATTCGATGAAGAATATGATACAAAGCCATATTTGGCCCAATGGCTAAGTAGCCAACACAAATAAAATCTGATCTTAATCAATTTGAAGACCCCAACTTCCTCCTCTCGAAATAAATAAACCAAACTGATTCGGTCAAATAAAAAGATATCTCCACTCGACCATCGGAGTTTGGATTGGGTTACACGTCTATTACGTTAGAATTTGTTTTATTTATATACTGAAATGTCCCCACTGGCCCTTTTTAAAAACCATGCGAAGTTGAAAATGATTAAGAAAACCTCTGGTTGCTTATATAATTAGCTAGCCAGCATTCATTTTTGCAACTCCCGTTTAAATAAGATATCAGAAACTATATCTGAGTAGAGTCATACAAGACTTGGTAGTCTACTTGTCGTGGGAACAGAGTATTTGTTGGAAACTTCAAGGAATGTTCCCGTTGTTCTATATACTAGTAGTATTTACTAATTAATACATAGCTTGTAAATATTTACCTAAAAAGTAATTAACTTATAAATATCGACACTTTTGTCTTTTCCCTTAATGTTCCAAAATCTTTACAAATGAGTAACAACCACGAAATCAAGCAAACTGTTTACATTAGCTTCAACAATGATGACCCACACGTCCCTTCTTTCATCAGCTACCTCGACGCGGCTTTATACCGCGAAGGGATCGATGTGGTACTTGACAAAACCGGCCACGAGCTAGAGAAGGATCGGTTTTCCGATGTCAAGCTTTTTCTGGTGGTTTTCTCGAACCTTTATGCGTTTTCCGTGGCATGCCTTGAGAACCTCGTGAGGCTTCTTGAGTTCCTGCAACAAAAAGGCCATGTGATAGTTCCGGTATTTTACGACGCAAAGGTGAAAAACCCAATGGAGGTATTGGGTGACAAGTTTGCCGTGCTCGAGAAGTCGCATTCTGCGGATCAGGTGACTAAGTGGTGGCGAGTGCTAGAGGAAACCATGAAGTTACAAGGCCATGATCAGTATTCTGATGAGCCAAGGTATGCGAATGCAACTTCATGATACATTTTTTCTTCCAATGTTAGCAATGCTTGAACGAAGTTTCTTTGCTATATGAAATCTTGTCAAATCCTATAGAATATAATATTGTTAGGAGATCGAGTTTGAAAAAAAAAGTGGAACATTTGTATTTAAATTGTTAAATAGATTTCCTATTATCAAATATGTAAGAACGCTAATGAATAATGATGAGAGAAACTATTACACTATTTCTGCTTCCATCAGTACCCCATCTTTGCAATTGCCTCTAACTCATGGTCTGAAATCTGCGGTGGTGGTAACATGAGCTTTGACCTCTTCCTAAAAGCTTCCGTATCATTCATCTTGTTTGCTTGCAATATAGCTGCTGGAGCATCCAGTCTCTGAGAAATTCTGTTCCTTGCAACATCTTGTTTGCGTAACTGTGCTTCTACATCAGCCCTTCTTCTTCCTTCAAGTTCTTCAATGGTAGTCGGGAATTTCACCTGGCCAGCAGGAAGACGATCTTCATCTGAAGCATCATAGAATCCCGCAGGTGCCCTCTTTTCAAAAGGAATCTCTGCGTTATAGTCTATTCCCTTTCCCTTTCTATTCCTATCCCTTCCATCATAAATTCCAGCAGCCTTTAGCTCTCTCCTCTTCTGCAGAGAAGCAAGACTTCTAGCTTCCTCAAGTTGCTTTTCTCTTGCTTTTCTTTTGGCCTTCTTTCCCCTAGTGTTAGCCAATCTAGCCCTAGCTTCAGAAAGCATCTCTTTCTCTTCCTCGTCCATGTCTACTGGATCAGGACGAGCGGGCTTTGATTCCGGGTTGGGATCAATCTCACCAGGACGTAGTCTCCGTGGATCATCCGCTGGTTCGTAGTTTCCGTACTTCGCACATGCTGCATCAAGAAGCTTTTCGTATCTCTCAAGGCATTGAGACGATGTACGGCCCACGATAGGAGCAATAGTTCTCCACTGAGTCGGCATGATTTTTGCAAGATGTAGAAGCTTCTCATCTTCTTCTCTGGTCCATTCGATCTTCTTGATAGAAGGCTCGAGCCACTCGTACCAGCGAGCTTTACACTGATTGGGCGACTTACGAACGAGAAGAGACGAGATCCGATCCCATTGGTTCTTACCATACTTCATCACAGCGGCCTTGAGAATCTCATCTTCGGTGTTCTTCCACACACCTCCCTTGATCATCATCCTCATCTTCGCTCAGCTTTTTTCTCCCAAACGCACTCAAATTCAATGACTCTGTTAACCTAACGCTCGCGGCAGAACAACGAACAAGAGGAAGCAAGAGAGTAAAATCTTAGATTAGGGTGGGAACCAACTAGGCTTATTTATAGCGTAATAGTTTACCTCATCCTTTATTCATTAGCAATAGGCTTATTTATACTGTACAAGATTTCCTATTTGATACTAGGAAAAGGAAATCTACCTATTTAACAATAACTAATTAGAAATATATCCAAAAAGTGTTATTAAAACAAAATCAAATAGAAATTTAAATAATTCGCTTTAAAAGATTTTTAAAAGTTTAACCTAATACTCGCTCGGTCACGCCTAAACGTTTGATTACTGGAGAAACTCTAGAAGCTAGCACTGAGTTTTTTTGTTTCTATAGATAAAAATATGAATTTCCTACAGGACGACGAATTAAATTTTGTATAACGTTTTTGCAGGGACGAATGCAAATTTATAGATGATATTGCCAAAGATGTATTTGAGAAGCTTTACCCAACGGAACACATTGGGATCCAAAAGCGGTTAACAGAGCTAGAAAACTTGCAATGCAAGCAAGCATGGGGCTTCCGTTCTATAGGCATTCTAGGTAAGCGTGGCATAGGCAAAACAACATTGGCTAAAGCTGCCTTTCGCAGAATGTCCGATTGTTATGATAATGTTTCTCGCATCATACCATGCAATGACAAGATCATTGAGCTTTTCACTGATGATCACTTTCAAGAGATTCCAGTGGAAAAGTTTGACCTAAACAATCAAGATGCCGAGATATGCCTTCGTCGAAAAAGAGTGCTCCTTGTTCTAGATGATGTGCGAAATGTTCAAGACATGGAGTCTTTTCTTTGTGGGTTTAAACGATTTGGTCCAGGGAGCTTACTCATCATAACCTCAAGAGAGAGAAAGGTTCTTGAGGAATGCCAAGTCAATGAGATTTATGAGCTTAAAGGTCTAAGTAAAGAAGATTCCATGAAGCTATTCACAAGGTGTCTCTTTGGGAAAGATGTTATAGATGAAAAGCTTCGGAAAGCTTCAGCGAGAGCGATTGAACGTTTTCATGGAAACCCATCTGCACTTCGCTTATTTGCTGAGAAGATAAAGATAAAAAGAACGAGAAGAATGGAGTTGGCTTTAGGCAGGATTTGCCACGATCCGTTTATTTACACTAACATGAACATACTTTTTCTTTGTTTTCAGGGAACTACAAATAGTTGTTTCCAAAAAACTTTCAAGCAGTCTTTCTTGTTTACCACGTCACATTATCAAACTGATTTTGAGAAGCTCCAAAGATTCGACCTAGCCAATCGTTTCTTGGTGTTTACGTTTAGTGACCTAAAAGCTCCCTACTTGTATCATGATTCTGTGAAACAGCGTTTCTTTTGTGCTACCTCACACAACTATCTATTTGATCTTAAGGATCTCTGGCGACTCAGCTTTCCTAGCCGTGCCCTTGAGTCACTGCCTATTGACCTAAGGATTCTCCATTTGGGTAAAAAATATGTTCTTGTTTGTCAGCTTAACAAACCTTGGGAAGGATATAAGGTAAGAGATCACTACAAAACTCATCATTTTCTTTACTTTTTTCCTCACAAAACTTTTCACCGCGCAAACATATTAAGAACCTTACATGAAATAGATGATCTAACAAAAATCTATAAAATCATCTAATTTGTCTTGTTTACCTTTTCCAATTTTGTTTTTCTCAGAGCTTTTCAATCTTGATGATAATCAAGCTTCACCACTCGAAGAAACTAGTTAAAGTTAAAGAAATATCGAAAGCACATGACATTAAGCGAATCGATCTTCAAGATTGCACAAGCACACCAATCACTGATCAGCTAGAGCCTCTCAAAGTTCTAAATCTCTCTGGTTGCAATGAAAGCCAGACTCTCCAAACAGAAACCTTATGTCTTCTTTGCAATTCAGCAACCAAAACAAACTCTCATCTCTACTTTGATTGCACTTTCTGTCTGTCCATTTGGACTGAAATAAGCAATCGAATACATATCTCTCCTCTGCAGATATGGGAGGATGTGATGGTAAACTTTAAAGAATCCAAAGCCAAGAAAATCCTGTCTCGAATGGTATGGTGCTCAACTATCTGCGGTCTCTTGGCTGAGAGAAACCGTCGTCTTTATAGACAAAGTTACAGATCAGTGGATGCAATAATGGTTCAGATCGACAGAAACCTCAGAAGCATGGTTTCACGTTTGAGAAAGAAACACCCGAGAATAGCTTCTATAATCCTTCAACTCTGGCATGGAACTTCTTAATATCACTGATCATGCCTTAAACTTCTGGCTCGGATCATATATGCAGACTCGTTTCCTCCTTGGCTTTTCCTTCTTCATCGTTCCACCTTCACTAAACTATCTGGTTCAGGTTAATCCAAAACCATATATGTCTTTTCAATATTTTGAAGTAAACTTGATTACAACTAAAATCAAGTTTATTTCAGTGTCTTTTTATTTTTAAAAAATTTGCTGACAAAACCTTTAAAAAAAAAAAATTGAAATCTGATTTCTAAGTGTGAAAAAAAAAAGTAAGTTTGAGTGTTTGACCAATAAGAAGCTATATAACATGGATGATGTATCTGTGAATGTTATGTGATGTTGTAACTCAATGTTTATATGTGAACCTTTGTTTTTTTTTACTTTGGTCCTATTCTTCCATAGCCTCTCGCTTTGCTCAAAGAAAGTTCTTTCTGTCTAAGAATTTTCACTGCTCTGGCTCTATGACTCAAATGAAATCCAAGAAACCAATTATCAAAGTGCGATTAGTGGTCCTAAGCGTTACATTCAAGTGCCTTTTGGCTAGAATTATCATTATAGCTTTTTAAAGTAAGGCACTTCAATGGAGATTATCCAGAGCAGGGGAACAAGAATTGCACTCAAGAACGGGGTCATCTAGTAACAGACGAAAACCTTTTGAACCCTTACCTGGTGATGGTCAAACTAGACATCTAACGACAATGTCAGGTCTTAACAGAAACAAGAGCGAGTAGCACAATCCTCGTGCGTGAAAGATTACCATTTCAGAATATTAATGCTAAAGACGGCTGTGAAAAATATGTTCTTCATTCACCCGGAAGAAGAGAGTCTTACAGTGTACAGAGAGCTTAAATACTAGAGTCATACCCGAAAGATAACCAAAGAAGACTTTGACATTAACTTGAAACAGAAACAAAAAATTAGGCCTCTAATAAGAGATTACCTTTCTGCTCTGTAATTTGACAGGGCCTCGCATGAACATTCAAAATTTCAAATAAAATCAAATGATGGCAAAAGGGAAGCTTTTGTAAACAAAACCACTCGGCCAAATCCTTTGGCTTGATGGTAAAGAGTGGCTCTTAACTGAAACAGATGCTTCAGCTTTAACACAGAGAGCAAAAAAGGAACAAAAACTTCTCCAGAGCGATTTGCTCCACCAATGACATGTGTATCCTTTTTTACTTCTCTAAAGATACACCACCACGAACCACATTTTTACTTGTGCACAGTCGTCTTTAGTACTAATTGAATTTCTGTGTAAGAATATGGTTCACCTGATTCACATTCATCCCTCCTTGGAGATCTACAACCATTTGCCTGACCACTCAGTTTATCTTCCATTCTTGGAGTTGCACTCGGCCCACAAGCTTGAGTGACACTAGATATTAACAGCCCTCCTGGTTTCTCGCTTCTTCTTTGGGCGGCCGTCATCTTTTCTTCTATCTTTATTTTGCTTTGCTCCTCCATCATCCCTTGTTGAGATTCTTGAAAGCTCCCTTCAACAGGCAAATCATATTTTGCCTCCTGAAAACTGTTTTTGTTTTTATCTTTTGCATACACCAAACTCAAACCACACCTCAACACCTCGACTTTTTCCATCTCACTTCTTCCACCTGTCACAGTAAACTCAAGGGAGGCTTCAGTAAAATCGCATTTATCAGAGTTTTTGTCTTTGAGAGACCTTATAGTACGTGGGCAACTGATGTAGGCTATAAAAACATGATCTGAGTCAATCTTGTCTTTCTCCTCTCCCTCTCTATTCCAACTTCCTACTGGGCAAGTAAAGGGGATCCACGACTTGTCTTCAACTTGCACTTTGAAGGTACATGTCACTGAGAAGCAGCTGATTTGATCTTGGTCGTCAGGAAATGAGACTACAGCACACAGAGCTATTCCAGAAAGCCTCTTGTCATGCCAATGTGGGAGGAGTTTGCGTTGCAACAGAGATCCAGTTGCTTCATGAAAACACCAGGAAGGCACCTCACATCCAGGAAAGCAAGTGCTGAACAAAGCCTCTGAAACAAGACCCTGCAAAGTTTCAAAATAAAAAAGAAACTCATCAATTGTGGAGTTTCCTTGAAAATTGTGAATCAGAGAGAGGGATACAGAGAGCCACAGGAAGATACCCTATTGTAGTGTTTACGAGCATCTGATGGTAACTGGCATTTCCTTTGAGCATACGATGTGATTTCCTCCTTTGCAGCTTCCTCCAGGTTACCACAGTTGGTGAAGTTGAAAGTGCAATGGCTCTGCACGGTCGGCATGATACGAGCCAGCGGTTTTGCAACTGTCTTCAGTGAGCTACAACCGTGTACATCAAAGTACTGAAGATTTGGTGGCAGCTCTGGAACAGCTGTAAGACTCGTGCAATACTTCAAATCCAGCCATGTTAATTGAGAAAGTCGACTGATGCTAGCTGGAAGGCAGCGAATCTGACCATTTCTGCTTAAGCATAAATACTGCACTGAAGGTATATGAGGCATCGTGCTTATGGATGTCCCATCCAGAAGTAAAATGCATAAAGAGCTTTTGTTGGTATCTGGAAATTCTTTGAGCTTCAAACAACCGGAGAGAACCAGTTTTTTAAGAGATTTTAGCTCACCAACAGAGGTTGAGATATTCTCCAGCATTTTGCAGTCCTTCATATTCAATAAGACAAGTCTCTCGAGTTTCACCATGTTATCAGGAAGTTGACTTATTGCTGTTCCGTCCAAGAATAACGCTTCTATATTTTCTGGAACCGATGGAAATTCCTTGAAGTTTGAGCAGTTGCTGAGGGTGAGAGTTTTCAGAGATGTCAAATTTACATCTGGAAGAGATTCGAGACTCGTGCACCCTTCAAGGTTAAGGCTTTGAAGCTTTGGAGCCTTTGATAGTCCTGACAAGGTGCTCAACTTACTTGAGTGACTGAGATCGAGCCATTTTAGGACAGGTGTATCCTGTGACAACAAAACATTAAGGCGCCCAGTAAGAAAAAAAATCCCCATGTACGTTTAACGTAGAAAGGCTACAAAACTGTTTATTAAGAGGCACACCTTAACACCATCCCAAAGTCGTTCAATCTCGCTGTAGGGTAGCTTAAGGTCTGCGAGGTTATTCGGAATAAAATCGTTTGGAAGTTCCTCTAGTGGGAATTTCAACCAGTGGAGACATCGGACCTCTTTCAATGGTAGCTTAAGTCCATCAGGAATGTTGATCTTATTGTTGGTTTTACATTCCTGAGGACAATGAGAATTGTAGAACTTGAGATACCTGAGATTCCGCATATTTCTGAAGTGGTCACTGTCTAAGCTCGTTTCGCCATTCACTTCAGACAAATCTAGGAAAATACCTCTGACATTGGAAGCTATCTGGAGAATGAATAACAACAATAACCAACACGATATTAGCTAAGAGAAAGATTAAAAATTTATGCTTTGATAAAAAAAAACAAAAAATATGAAGACGAAATTCTAGTCTTACCACTGTTTTCTGCAGGACATTAACTACGCCTTCCTTGATTATGTCTTGATGGAGCCACAGCCTCCGATGTCCGCTACCAACACGAGTAGGTGTTTTAGGATCAAGTTCCCTAGAAAATGTATAGAGTAGATCATGCATCTCCACTCGGCCGTCACAAGTATTAATCAAGAACTTGTTAGTGAGTGCTTTTACTGCACTCGTTGTTTCAGCCAACAAACTTTCTACATAATCCACATCCTCGGATCTGAAACAAGCTATGTCGAGAAATGCATCTTTGTGCTCTGGAGTCAATTCATCATAACTTACTTGCACGACGTCTCCAATATAAGTTATGGGTTTTTGAGCGAGTATTTTCAGTTTTGATTTCCAATGCGGCATGCTTTTCTCAAAAAGCTCCTTACCCAATATTTTGAGAGCCAGTGGATGGCCTCTGGCATAATGCACAAACTCATCCGACAGCTTCAAGAAATCTACCTTAGGAGGAACGGCTTGATCACCTTCAAAGGCATGATAGCAAAAGAGTTGTAAGCCGTCTCTGTAGTTCAGTTGCCGGACCACATAGGTGTCATGAACCAAACCCTTTAACAAGGACATGTCGTTTGTTGCAATGACAATCCTGCTTCCATCTGCAATCCACTCTGGTGTCTTGAGAATATCATACCTCCCAAGAAGAGCATATATTTGTTCCCTTGAACTAACATCATCAAGAAGGACAAGAACTTTGCGTTTGTCTATTAGACCCTTGTGAGTTTTGTATGGCTCTTCGAGATCATCTATTTGGGGATTCTTCAAGTCCGGTACTAGCTTTTCTAAGAGCGATGCAGGCAAGCAATGTAACCCAAAGATTGACTTTTCACGGACTTGGTCGATCAACGCTTTCTTCGTAAACTTGGGGCGCCAACTTTCAAAAAGCTCTTTGAGCAGTGTTGTTTTGCCAATTCCAGGCATGCCAACAACTCCAACGATACGAGTTCCCTTGTATTTCTTTTGGTCCAGCTTCTCTTCCAACTCCTTCAAGCGTTGTTTCATTCCAAAAGTCTTAAGCTTTTCGCCTCTTGAAGAAGTTCCAGTGTCGCTGTCATCTGAAGGATCCACAGAGGCATTTTGGCTTCCCTCCGGTGGAACTTTGATCAGCACTTTCTTAACCGCCTTGACAATTTCGTTGAGTTTTTCGCTCTCGACGCTGCAATACGAGTAAGGAAAATAACTAAGGCTATGAGATCACGAACTTGCTGAAATCAAGGTCGAGCTTTTTTTGGCAAATTCTCAACCAAAAGGAGTTACCTTTTATCGTCCACAGTGATGCCCATCAACTCTGGAATCGCCTTTAAAGCTTCTTTCCACTTCTTCTTACTCTCATTACCCCTCGCGAGATCCCTGAATGCATCACCGAACTCTCCCCTGACGCCTTTCACGGTGGATGCGGCCAGTTTGTAGAAGATGGGAATAGCCACGAGTTTGCCTCCCTCCACACACTCCTTGATCTTGGTCAGCTCTTTCAAGCACCAAATCGACTCGGTGTACCTCCCGGAGAAGATAGCCAGAGCGATTCTCGACTCCCCTATTCTCTTCAAAAGAGAAGTTAGAGGCTCGCCTTTGTCTTCGTAGTTGTCGATGAACACGTTAATGTTGTGATTTTCCAAGGCTGTGACGAGATGGCTGACGAATCCAGTGCGTAAGTCCGCCCCACGAAAATTGATGAACACTTGATGTTGCGGTGGTGGATCTTCCACCGTGGAAGATGAGTAGGAGGAGAATGATGCCGCCATAGCGAGAAACTTTCAGGCCTTGTTTGGAGAAAAGTTCTGAGAAACAAGACAAGATTGTATAAGTTGAATCTTTTTTTTTTCTTCAAATGTAATTTGAATCGTCTAATGACTGTGAGTCTGTGACACCAAAACTGGGTGTTACTGGGTTAGTGGGGAATTTGGAAAACAAGAGTGGAAAAACCACCATCTGCAAGTCCCAGTCCCAACGTTTTTTTTCATATTAATTTCAATTTGTTTTTTTTTTTTAAATCGTTGGCGTTTGTAAATTACTGGGTAGTGGGAAAACAAGAAATATTGGTTTGAGTGGACCTGTGGGTAGTAATGACTGTGACACAACCAGCAAGCTGTAGTTCAGGGAAAAATTGAACAGAAACTTGGACGATAAAGTCTTTAATAGACGGACGACAAATGTGATTAGCAGAGTTTGTGGAAAAGAATAATTCGTTTTTATCATAAGAAATACAGAGTATTGACTCCAAAGTCCAAACTGTTTTTAAAAATTATCATAATCTTATGGTTCAATTAAAATTTCAAATCCAGTTTTAAAATCCAATGTCATTCGATATCTAATACCTGATTTATAATATTTCATTAATAGAGTTTTAAATTTCACTGTTATTATTATTTTTTTCACTGTTATTCAATCAAGATTTCAAATCCAGATTTAAAATCTACTATTATTTAAAACTAAATGACTTTTAAAATCATTTGTTTATTGAGTCATTTGAAATGAATTTCAATAGATTTTTATGAATAAACTATTAAAAATAGAATACATGAGATATTGCAGAGATTTTAGAATCAACTGAAATAGATTCTTAAAATAACACGAAATTTTAAAATCTAATAGATTATAAAACATATTTCAATTTGTTTCAAATACAACATCCAAATATCCAATATAACCCCGGAGAAATTGTTATACTCAAGCAAATTTCTTTTTTTAGTTTTGTGCAAAGAGCAGACTTTTAAAATAGATGCATAGACCGATGCCAAAAAAAAAAGAGTAATTGCACTAGATATACACCAATAACCCCATAATTAAATGGCCATTTCTGTCAGAGTTTTCGGACACTGTTCAATCACTGCTCATCTAAGAAAGACATAATCAACCCTACACATAGACGTCTAATAGTGTTGTGTACAAGGAAGGATTTCTCTCAGGCTGAATATATCTTGGGCCCACACAGAGATTGGCGGTGCCTTTGATGTTAAATTCATACTAATAGAATTTTGCTAACATGTAGTTGCATATATAATTTATCGACGAAAGACTTATGCTCTCTGGTAATGTTTTATTGTCCTTAACTTTGCTATTTACCATGCTAATCGGATTTTGCTAACATATAATTGCTTGTTATCATGATAATCTTACGATAACAGATGTAAATTATCGACGAAAGACTTACTCTCTGGTGGTGTTTTATTGGTCTTTATCTTTGCTATTTACCATGCTAGTCGGACTTTGTTAACATGTAGTTGATAACTACATGATAATTATTGTAGCTTACGAGTAATGGACAAACTGAGTAGTTAGCATGATAACAACAAACTAAATGTTAATAAATGTGGTTTACTATTTATTATGCTAATCGGATTTTGCTAACACGCTCTTGTTATCATGTAGTTGGTTGTTATCACGATAACCTGACATTAGTGTATTAGCTATACAATATTAGTTTAATATTTGTCATGCTAAAGAGATTTTGTTAACATGATAACACGCAACTACATGTTAATAAATGTAGTTACTTGTTATCATACTAAATTCTACCATAACAGATGTAATTTATCAACAAAAGACTTAGATTCTTTGGTGGTGTTTTATTGGTCATTCGCACAACCAATACATGTTAAAAACATCCAGTTAGCATGATAACTACTTTAGCTTACGAGTAATTTCAAACATGCGTTGTTAGCATGATAACAACCAACTATTGTAGTTTACTATTTATCATGCTAATTGGATCTTGCTAACATGTAGTTGATTGTTATCATGATAATCCTACGATAACATATGTAATTTATCGACGAAAGATTTAGACGCTCTAGTCCTTAGTTTTGCTATTTACCATGATAATCGGATTTTGCTAACATGTAGTTGTTTGGGCTTAGGGTTCAGGGTTTATTGCGGGGGATTAGGGTTTGGGCTTAGAGTTTAAGGTTTAGGCTTTGTGGACAGAGCTTAGAGGGATTAGGGTTTAGGGTTTCTTGTATAGGGTTGAGAGTTTTGGGGTTAGGGTTTAGGGTTTCCTGTATAGGGTTTAGTGTTCTGAGGTTAGGTTTTAGTGTTTAGAGTTTAGGGTTTTGTGTTTAGGGGTTAAAGGTTAGGGTTTAGTGTTTATTGTGGGAGTTTAGGGTTTATAATTCTATGTTTTAGAGATTTAACATAGAACTCAGTAGCGGTAATTTGTGTGTTACCAAAGTTAGCAACATCCAATTAGCATGATAACTACATGATAACTACTGTAGCTTACGAGTAATGGACAACTTGCATTGTTAGCATGATAACAAGCAACTACATGTTAATGACCGTAGTTTACTATTTATCATGCTACTCGGATCTTGCTAACATGTAGTTACTTGTTATCATGATAATCCTACGATGACAGGTGTAATTTATGGACAAAAAACTTAGGCACTCTGGTGATGTTTTATTTATAGTTATCGGTTTACTATTTATCATGTAGTTATCATGCTAATCAAATTTTGCTAACATTTAGTTGCTTGTTAGCATGATAACAAACAACTACATAACAACTATTGTAGCTTACGAGTAATGACCAACCTGCATTGTAAACAACTACATGTTAATATCCAATTAGCTTGACAATAGCAAAGCAAAGCACCAAAAATAACCACTACTCAGATCTTGCTAACATGTAATTGCTTGTTATCATGATAATTTTACGATGACAGAAGTAATTTATCGACGAAAGATAACGTTTGTGATAACAGCTTTTCAGAATTTCGTTTACGGTGGCGTTGGATTTGCGTTGGGAAGATAACCGCATTTAATACTTTGTCTCCTGGAACAAAACATGTCCAACCCACATGCTTATACATATAGGGGCAGATCCGGTAAAATTGTCATCTGACATATGTATACATCTAAATACAAAAGATTACCGTTGTATTCTTTGATTACGATTTATCCAACGATATTCACTCAATTTACCCAAAAAAAATGCATAGACCTTAACGAATCAACTTGCCCCAATTGTAAATTGTAATGCGTAGTGATTTGACTCGTAGAATACAAATGGCCTCCTATCTATCAGTGTGGGACTGGATAAGACCTGTGTTCTAAAAGTCGGCCGAGTTGCCGAGTACTCGGTCATAAAACCGCCAGAAGGAGGTTGCCGTTCCGACTTTTTAAAAACCGAGTAAAGATATGGTCAACCGTTGACCGTACTTTGACATTCACATTATTATAAAAATCAGTAAGTAAATGTTAAAATCTGGTAGGCTAAAGTTTGATTTTTGTTCACAATTAGCCACAATTCGCCCATAGTGTGTAAAGGCACTTTTCATTCAATATGAAACCTTAAAAATGTAATATATGACTTTTATATTGATGTATTATATATAAGGGAAATTGCAATATATATACACCAATAGTTCTGAAATTAAATGGTTGTTTCTGACCACTTTTAGGTGCACTATTCATATAGTTGAAGACACTAAAACCCCTACTAAAATCACAACATTTTTGTTAACAATTAGTAATAAATCTCCTTCACAGATATTACACCATTTGCTAATAAGTTTTTAGTTACTTTGCTAACAAAAAATATGTCATTTCGCTAACAAATACCATGTTCTTTGCTAACAAACATCACATTATCTTGTTAACAAAGACTATGTTACATTGTTAACACAGATTATGACAAATTGTTTACATATTGTTGTTAATAAATTTGTTAGCAAGTAATAATTTGAACATTAACATGTAATGATTTGAATGTTAGCGTCTAATGATTCAAATGTTAACATGATTTTACTAAATTGGTTAATAAGTAATGTTAGCAAGTAATGGTTTAGATGTTAACACGTAATAGTTTGAATGTTATATCATTTGTTAGTATTTGTTAACACGAAATCTTACAATATGTCATTTCTTATATTTTGTCTCATAGGGGTAAATATGTATGATTTTCCTATATGTATTTATATTGATCTAATTAACAACTATTCTAGTGAGATATTTAATTGTCAGTTTATCTATGTATATTGACTAAATTTACCCTATATATAAAAAGGAATGTTATTTGGTAATAATGTAGTATATGATTTTTAGGTTGATGTATTATATATAAAAAATTAAAAATGTTGGAAATATATAAAAATATACTTAAAATTAATTTCCGAGTACTCTCCGATTTATTTCCGACTTTTAAGAAAATCACTAGAAGGAGACAGAGCGCCCTAGTACCGCCTATCGAGTTTTAGAACACAGGATAAGACGAGAAGAAAATCAGACTGATTCAATTTCGTTTTCCAAGAAGAAGAAGGGGACCTTACAAGGGTTGACAATGGAGTACCAAATCCAAAAGCCAACTCTTCCAAAACCCAGAGATACGACCATGAAAGCTCTCTGGGACCACAATCGTTTGATTTCGTGTTCGACCCAGACACATCGTCACAAACTGATTGGATTCCAGCAAAATCGAAGGTTTTTTTTCAAACCGTAGAGGCACGGAATCATGACGGATGATGAAAAGGCTAAGCAAATCGTCTACATCAGCTGCTTAGAGGAGGTGCGATGCTCCTTCGTCAGCCACCTCTCCGAAGCTCTTCGTCGCAAAGGCATAAACGATCTGTTCGTGGATTCCAACGATCTGCTTTCCAAGGAGGCCGAGGCAGTAGTGGAGAGAGCTAGGGTTTCTGTGATGGTTTTACCCAGAAGCCACTACCCCACCACCACGGCGTGCCTTGTCAAGCTCGGGAAGGTCCTCGATTGCCAGAGGAACGACGACCAGGTTGTGGTTCCGGTGTTGTACGGCAATGGCGTCACATCAGTAGAGGACGAATGGCGTCGCGCGCTGCAGGATTTGAGCTGCTTATCACCATCTCACCATTCCAGGTATTTGGCATTATTTCGCTGTCTTCTTTTCTAAATTAAGAATAGAGTCAAACAAATTTCTTTCTACTGTTTGAATTTGAATTTTGAAGATCGTTCTGAAAATTGGATATGTATTTGGATAAATATGGGAACTTTAACTTGAGCAAATATGGCACAGGAAAGAATGCAGTGACTCTGGACTTGTTAAAGAGATAGTCAGAGATGGATATGAGAAGCTCTTTAATGCGGGACGAATTGGAATCTACTCGAAGCTGCTGGATATAGAAAACATGGTTAACAAGCAACCATTGGGCATCCGTAGTGTTGGAATCTGGGGTATGCCTGGTATAGGCAAGACAACGCTTGCTAAAGCAGTCTTTGATCAAATGTCCGGGGAATTTGATGCTTGTTGTTTTATCGAAGACTATGACAGAGTTATTCATGAGAAGGGTCTTTATCGTGTATTGGAGGAACAATTTTTGAAAGAGAAGCCTGCTGCTGGCTGTACCATTTCGAAACTGAGCTTGCTTAGAGATAAATTAAACAGTAAGAGAGTTCTTGCTGTTCTTGATGATGTGCGTAATCCTCTGGTTGCAGAGTCTTTTCTTGGAGGTTTTGACTGGTTTGGTCCCGGAAGCCTGATCATCATAACCTCTAGAGATAAACAGGTGTTTCGCCTATGCCGAGTCAATCAAGTATATGAGGTTCAGGGTTTAAATGAGAAAGAGTCTCTTCAGCTCTTCTCTGTTTGTGCGTCTATAAAGGATATGTCAGAGAAGAATCTCCGCAAGCTGTCAATGAAAGTGATTAGATACGCTTATGGGAACCCATTAGCTCTCACTATTTATGGTAAGAAAAAACTGTCAGAAGTGCAGAATCTATTCCTCAAACTCAAGGGACGTCCTCCTTCTGCGATTTTTGATGTAGTTAAGAGCAGCTATGACACACTCAGTGACAGCGAAAAGAACATATTTCTGGACATAGCTTGTTTCTTTAGGGGAGACAAAGTGGACTACGTAATGCCACTGCTAGAGGGTTGTGATTTCTTTCCTCATGTTGGAGTCGACGTTCTTGTTGACAAGTGTCTGGTGACTATTTCAGAAAACCATTTGCAAATGCATAATTTGATCCAGGATGTTGGCCGAGAAATAATTAATGGAGAAACAATACATGTTGAGAGGCGCCGCAGATTGTGGGAAACTTGGAGCATCAAATACTTATTAGAAGATCACAAAACAACTCTCAAAAGCGCTCAGGTCTGTTATATTTCGATACTGTCGTATTAAACTTACTCTTTTGAATATGCGTCAACCTCTTGATATTTCGACTTTCAATATTCTTTCAGGGCACTGAAGATATAGAAGGCATATTCCTTGACACATTAAACTTAGGTTTTGATGTCAAGCCTGCTGCCTTTGAGAATATGTTGAACCTTAGATTGCTGAAAATTTACAGTTCCAATTCTGAGATCCATCCTGTATTCAGTTTTTCCAAGGGCTTCCTCCAGTCTCTTCCTAGGGAGCTAAGACTCCTCCACTGGGAGAACTATCCTCTGCAATTTTTGCCTCAGAATTTTGATCCTATGCACCTAGTTGAAATCAACATGCCGTACAGCCAACTTCATAAACTTTGGGGCGTGACCAAGGTAAGCAAACTCTGATATGCGTCTTTCACCCATTTTCGATACTTATTAGAATTTTTGTAATTTCTTTGGCATTTTTTTTTTATCAGAACATGGAGATGTTGAGGACGATCAGGCTTTGTCATTCACAGGAACTAGTTGATATTGACGATATTTTAAAAGCTCAAAATCTTGAGGTAATTGATCTCCAAGGTTGTACAAGACTGCAGAGTTTCCCAGCCACAGGTCAATTGCTGCATCTACGGGCTGTAAATCTTTCAGGTTGTACAGAAATCAAAATTTTCCCTGAGGTTCCACCAAATATTGAGACACTGCATCTGCAGGGAACTGGGATAAGAGGACTACCACTTTCCATTGTTAAGCCGAATGGCGGGGAGCTTGAGAGTCTTCTAGCAGAATTCCAGGGTCTTTCAGATGCCTTGAAACTTCAGCGTGTAACAAGTTTGGTGAAATCTAGCTCATATTGTCAAGATCTTGGCAAGCTAATTTTCTTGGATCTGAAAGATTGTTCTCGTTTGCAAAGTCTGCCTGACATGAGTAATTTAGAATTTCTCAAAGTTCTTGATCTGTCTAGCTGCTCAAAGATCGAGACTATTCAGGGTTTCCCACCAAACCTGAAAGAGTTATATATTGCTGGCACTGCGGTAAGAGAAGTGCCACAACTTCCTCAAAGTCTAGAACTCTTGTATGCACATGGTTGTGTCTCTCTGACATCTATTTGCTTGGACTGTGATCAGTTTCCTATGCATTACACATTCAGTAATTGTTTCGATCTATCTCCACAAATGGTCAACGATTTTTTAGTGAAAGCATTGGCTAATGTAAAACACATACTAATGAAAGAGCATCCAAAGGTAATTTTCTCTCTCTGCTTCCGTCTCTCTGTCTCTTTATATAACTGCTTGATATGTACACCCAGCCTCATCATCATATCGTATTTGACTTATTTCCTTTATTGGAACAGAAACTCAACAAAGCTCTGGCTTTCAGCTTCTGCGTGCCCTCTCATGTGAATCAAAATTCCAATCTTGATCTGCAACTAGGATCTTCTGTAATGACACGACTAAATCCTTCTTGGAAGAGTACGCTTGTGGGCTTTACTATGCTGGTGGAAGTTGCATTTTCAGAGGACTATCATGATGCTACTGGTTTTGGCATTTGTTGTGTTTGCAGATGGAAAAACAAGGAAGGCCACCCTCAGAGGATACAAAGAAATTTTCATTGTTGGGCTGCAGGGAAAGATACTCCAAAAGTCCAGAAGGACCACATGTTTGTCTTCTCTGATGTCAAAATGCATCCAAGCACTAGCGAAGGAAACAACCCCAATATCTTAGTTGATTTAGTTGTATTTGAATTCTTTCCTATCAGCAAGCAGATGAAGCTTCTAGATGATACTTGCACAGTGACAAGATGTGGAGTCCGTGTAATTACTACTCCAACTGGTAATACAAGTCTTGAGCATATTTCAGCAGGTTTGTCCTTGGATCCAGTGCAGTTTTCTGGTGATGAAGTTGAAGAAGTATTGAGAGTCAGCTATGATCCAACTGGCAATGCAAATCCTAAGAATATTTCATCACTTTTTTCCTCGGATACAGTAGAGTTTCCTGGTAATGAAGTATTGAGAGTCAGCTATGATCCAACTGGCAATACAAGCCTTGAGGATTTTTCATTGCCTTTGTCCTCAGATCCAATGGAGTTTTCTGATGATGAAGTATTTAGAGTCAGGTATGATCCAACTGGCAATGCTAGTCTTGAGATTATTTCATCACTTTATCCCTCGGATCCAATGGAGTTTTCTGATGGTGAAGCTGAAAAAGTATTGAGAGTCAGCTATGATCCAGCTGGCAATACAAGTCTTGAGGATTTTTCATTGCCTTTGTCCTCAGATCCAATGGAGTTTTCTGATGATGAAGTACTTGGAGTCAGCTATGATCCAACTGGCAATGCAAATCTTGAGAATATTTCATCACTTTATCCCTCGGATCCATTGGAGTTTTCTGGTAATGATGTATTGAGATTCAACTATGATCCAACTGGCAATGCAAGTATTGGGATTATTTCACCAGTTTTGTCCTCGGATCCAATGGCGTTTTCTGATAATGAAGTTGAAAAAGTATTTAGAGTCAGCTATGATGGTTTACACCAAAGAGATAAAGCTTTATTTCTTTACATAGCGTGTTTGTTCAATGACGAGGACGTTGATTTGGTGGCACCACATATTGCTAGCATTGACGTCAACATAAGTTTTGGGCTTAAGGTCTTAGCCGATAAGTCTCTCATATGTCTATCTTCCAATGGGGAAATAGTGTTGCATTGTTTGCTACGACAAATGGGTAAAGAAATCCTCCATAGATTGTCCATGCTGCATTATAGCTCGGAATATTTAACCAGAGGTTTTAAAGAGGTCTCTATGGCTTCTTCTTCGTCTCACAATTGGAAATATGATGTTTTTCCGAGCTTCAGTGGGCAAGATGTCCTCAGAAACTTCCTAAGCCACTTGATTGTAGTTCTCGAATTCAGATTAATCACTACATTTAAAGATGTTGAGATAGAAAGAGACCAGCCAACTAACCTTCACCTTTCACAAGTTATGCGAGAGTCAAGGATCTTGATCATAGTGTTCTCAGAAAACTACGCTTCTTCAAGCTGGATCCTGAACGTGCTGGTGGAGATTGCCGAGAGCAAGGAAGAGTTGGGTCAAATGGTGATACCGATTTTCTACTATGTGGATCCTTCGGATGTTATGAAACAGACGGGGGAATTTGGAAGGCTATTGGAACAAACTTGCATGAACAAAACGGAGGATGAGAAACAACGATGGTGCCAAGCTTTGATCAACATAGCAAGAATACCTGGATACCACTATCGTGGCTGGTACGTTATATTTTGTCATTATTAGTTGCTTTATCTTGAATTCTACAAATAGTTTGCATGAGTTGTGAATGCTAATGAAAACATTTAAACCAAAAATATTTCGTACACCTAGATGAATCTTGGCTACGTTGAAACTAAGTATTGCCAAGACAATATAAATCTCAAAAAAGATTTGTTATGCACTGGTGGTGTGTGATTTAATAAGCAATACAATTGCTTTAAATATAACTAATTTTTCTCATTTGTTAGGAATGACGACGCAGTCATGGTGGAAAAAATTGTCAGTGATGTGACTCCTATCCTCTACGAGTACAAGAGGAAAAAGAGAGCCCAAGAGGAGGCCGTAAGCATTTTGGACACACTAGCAAGTATTAGGGACTTGCTAGGTGGGCTTCAGCTTGGGTAACTTCTTGAATTCGCCATCTATCTACTATCTATATTCCAGAATAAACACAGTAATTTTTGAAGTTACTGTGTCTTGGTCACATGACTCACATGAGTGCTGGCTTTGGTAACGATTAGGAGTGTGGGTGGGGGTTTGTAGTTTGAGTAGGGTTTGTGAGAGAGGCATCAGACTCAACAAAACCTTTCTTTCAAATTTGTATGTATCTTTATATCGATAAAAAAAGAAAGCTTTCATGTTATAAAACAAACTGAAAATTACAGTAGATAGCGACTTGAGTGTTGTGTGTAGGCTGTTACAATACAAGCCTAGCTGAGAAGTCTGTCATACATACATCAGAACTCAGAAACATTACAATGCACCATTTGCCATAAATCTTGGCCAGAGAAATCATCCGTAATGAGTCCAGTGATGAGCCTGGAAAACGTTGATTCTTTGGTGGATTCTCGGAACACTGTAAGTTTTAGAGATTTGGTTGCTTTGTATACTGTATTCTATGTTAAGATAAACAACTTTTTCCGGATGTCAGAAGCCGATGATGAGCTTTTCAAAAGTGAGAGAGGGTTCAGGTGGGATGAAAAATCTCAGGTTCTTGAAATTTTATACAAACTTGAGGAATAAAGAAGTGAAGAAAGAAGGCAATGTGCACCTACCTCACATCATTGATTATGCATGCCTTCTAACTTTTGCCCAAATAAATCGTGGTGAACTCACAGTGAAGGCTAGCAAGCTTGAGAAGCTGTGTGATGGAGCTCAGGTACTGCTATGGAGAAGAGCTCAGTTATTATTTTCTGCTATAAAGAACACATGATGAATTTCAAAGAGTGAACCACAGGAGAAGATAACGCCAATGCATGACACAGATCAGAGGCTATCATGGATCTATGTGCAGTTATTGAATGTTTATTTTTGCTTAAACAAGACAATGTAGGAAGATAGTATTGCTAGTTTTGCTTTGGTCCGATTTGAATTACGACTCGTAAAATGAATCTTAGAATTCTGGAAACTCTCACATCCCTTTTTATTCTTGTACGTGCTTGTGACCTGTAAAACTCGAACAAACCTACAGTGTCTAACCACTGACCATGGTCCTCTGCTACATTGCACACATGAAAGAGAAACTGACTAATGAAGTAAAGATGAGAAGTTTTTAGTCGCTCTAAAAACTGGCCAGCGAACTAGCGTTTGCACAATATCTAATACCCAACTAGTGATGCACATTGTCGTGTTGGTAACAGTCAAAAGTTGGTGCATTTTTCTTGTGTCTGACATCTCCCGGTTACAACATTCTGAAAAGTTCCATCTTTATTCTTGCTCCTTTGATACGTTTGTAAAGGGTACTGCTTGAGCATCACATGTGTATGTGCTTAGAGTGATATGGGTGAATACCCATGGATACTTTCAAAATTAAGTAAGTACCAATACATAGTTGTAAATTAGTTTTTGGTGGAGAGAGAACAAAAATTAAACCAAATTTGACCTTTTTATTTTTTATAATTACAGAAAATGCCATTGCCATAAAAACTTATTTTCTGATATAGCAAATCGGAAACACTATTTGTCTCACCTCAAAAATACTGTTCATATTTTATTCAGAACTACTATTCAATCGATATTAAAATGTTAACATAATTATCATATCAAATATTATCGAGCTAATCAAGTTAATATATAAACTAAGAGAATTATCTTGTTAACTCAATTAACAGAATTAGCATATTTTAATCAAATTATCATGCTAAAAAAAAAAAAATCTGTTAACTTACACATTAATTTTCATGTTAACATAGTTATCATTTCAAAATAATACTGTGTTAATCAAATTATCATGCTACAAAAATATAAACCTGTTAATTTACACATTAATTTTTATGTTAACATAGTTATCATATCAAAAATTATCAAGCTAATCAAGTTGTCAAAATTTAGGAAATATGAAATATAAAATAAGATAATTAACTTGCTAACTCTTAACTAGTTAACTTGCTAATAAGAGAATTAGCTTATTATTCACCTCGATATTATTATCGCAGATACGCCACCCCCTTCGCCGACGCTATCCTGCGCACCACCTCCTTTGTCCTCCTCCTCCTCCACCATGGATCTTCCTCAGCTTCACCATCATCGTCGTACATCCTCGACAAGAAGATGTACAATTGGCCATTCCCGATCACTCTCACCATGATCCACATGGCCTTTTGCTCCTCCCTCACCGTCCTCCTTATCAAGGTCTTCAAATTCGTCGAGCTAGTTTCAGTGTCCCGTGAGGTTTATTCCTGTCGTCCCGATCGGTGCCTTGTACTCCCTACTCCACTTACATTTACCTCTTCGTCTCCTTTATCCAGATGCTCAAAGCCCTAATGCCGGTCGCCGTCTACTCAATCGGAGTCCTCCTCAATAAGGAATCCTTCAAATCGGAGACGATGACCAACATGCTCTCGATCTCCTTCGCGGCGAGGCTAAATTCGACACATGGGGAGTGATGCTTCAGCTTGGCGCCGTCACTTCGATAATAAGAAAAGAGAGAGAAATCTCTAACCCTCGGCTCATCTTCTGTTTCTCCTTCTCCTTTTCTCTTTTTTTTTTCTATCTCATCAATTTCTTCGTGATTTTATCCGCCGTCGCCGCCGCAGCTTTGCAAAAAAAATAAACAGAAACAATTTTGATGAATAAGCAGAGAAGGGTATTTCTATAATTTTAGCAATAAACATGTGGGGCCAAACAGTACATAAATGTCAGTTAATTTTGGAAGTTTTGATGGGTATTTTGTGCTATTACTCATGTGCTTATTTGTCAGCTTAACAAACCTTGGGAAGGATATAAGGTAAGAGATCACTACAGAACTCATCGCTTTCTTTAATTTTTTCCTCGCAAACTTTTCACCGCACAAACATATTAAGAACCTCACATGAAATAGATGATCTAACAAAAATCATCTGATTTGTCTGGTTACCCTTTCCAATTTTTTTTTGTTTTCTCAGAGCTAGTTTTCAATCTTGATGATAACCAAGCTTAGCCACTTGAAGAAACTAGTTAAAATTGAAGAAATGTCGAAAGCACATGAAATTAAGCGAATCGATCTTCAAGATTGCACAAGCTTGAAAAGGACACCAATCACTGAACAGCTAGAGCCTCTCCAAGTTCTAAATCTCTCTGGTTGCAATGAAAACCAGAATCTCCAGAAAGAAACCTTATGTCTTCTTTGCAATTCAGCAACCAAAACCAAATCTCATCTCTACTTTGATTGGACTTTCCGTCTGTCCATTTGGACTTCAATAAGCAATCGAACACATATCTCTCCTCTGCAAATATGGGAGGATGTGATGGTAAACCTCAGAGAATCCAAAGCAAAGAAAATCCATCCTATCTCGAATGGTATGGTGCTCAACCAACTACGGTCTCTTGGCTGAGAGAAACCGTCGTCTTTATAGACAAAGTTACAGATCAGCGGATGCAATACTGGTCCAGATCGACAAAAACTTCAGAAGCAGGGCTTCACGTCTGAGAAAGAGTAAGTTTGAGTGTTTGACCAATAAGAACACAGTAAACTTGGATGATGGATCTGTGAATGTGATGTTGTAACTCAATGTTTATATGTGAACCTTTGTTTTTACTTTGGTCCTATTCTTCCACAGCCTCTCGCTTAGCTCTAAGAAAGTTGTTTTTGGTTTTGTCTAAAAATTTTTACACCTCTGGCCTAACTACTCAAAAGAAATACAAGAAACGCCAACTATCAAAAAGCTTCGGAGAGGGATTGGTCTTTTTTTTTTTATTATGTTTTGAAGGAACGAATCTACATTGTTACGTCTTTATTACGGTTGTAGAATTGTGTGTTCTGTTTGAAAGTATATAAATTTCTAATGAAAAACTATGAGCATTCTCAGGAAGGTACTTCAATGGAGATTTCCCTCTAAATCAAGAGCAGGAGCAACTGCACTTAAGAACGGATTCCTCTTGTAACAACATAAACCCCTCTGAAGCTTTAACAGAAACGATGAATCATTTATCTGACACACAAAAGCCAACTCCAGATTCTCTCCAAATAACTAAAAACAGAGGAATCATCCTTACCTGGTACAGCGACTTGAGAGCTGAAATGTGATAGTCAAGCTAGACCTCAAAAGCAAACAGCAGGGCTCGAAAGATAGTCATTTCAGGTTATTAATGGAGAGAGAATTGTGAAAGATATTTTATTCGTCCCACCGTAAAAAAAGAGTCTTACAGAGAGCTTAAAAAAGAGTCTTACAGATGTGGGTAAGAGACGCCAATAATGATGCTCTAAGGGTCACACCCTAAAGATAAACGAAACGATAACCGAAAATTAACTTGAACTAGACACAACAACATAAGGATTTTATTAAAAGATTACCTTACTACTCTGTAACTTGACAGGGTCTCGTGAACACCAACTCCAAAGCAGAACAATATGATGGCTGATAGGTCACTGAGACACTGGAATCTAGGTACGCTCTCATTTAATCTTGAGTGTCCCTTATCTCACTTGAATTCCTGCTTACTATGAAGATGCAACAGGTTCAGTGAACGAGTTGAATCACCAAATGTCATATGTATCTCGCTGAAGTTGCCAGTTGAGTCAAATCACATCTTTACTCATGCTGGGTTTTCTTCATCAAGTCGTGGAGTTGCACTTGCATCACCGTTTGATTGACACGGGATAGTATCATCCACTCTTAATTTTTGCTTCTTCTTTGGCCGTCCATCATCACCTCTTGTTTTCTTCTTTTTCTTTGCTCCTCCCTCAACCCCGTTTGAAATTTCTTGAAAATTCACTTCGATGGGCATATCATATTTTGCTTCATGAGAACTGTTTTTGTTTTTATCCTTTGCATACACCAAGCCTAAACCGCACTTCAACACCTTGAGATTTCCTTTCTCATCTGTACCGCCTGTCACGGTAAACTCAAGTGAGGCTTCAGTAGAATTGCATTTATCAGAACTCTCGTCTTCAGGGCACTTTATAGTATATGGGCAACTGGTGTAGCCAATAAAGACATGGTCTGATTTACTCTTGTATTCTCCGTCTCCCTGTCTGATCCAACTTCCTACTGGGCAAGTAAATGAGACCCAAGACTTGTCTTCAACTTTTACTTTAAAGGTGCATGTCACTGATAAGCGGCTGATCTGATCTTGGCAGTCAAGAAATGGCACTACAGCACATAGAGCTATTCCGGCAAGCCTCTTGTCATGCCAATGTGGGAGGAGTTTTACTTCTAGCTTTGATCCAACAGTTTCATGGCTAAACCATGAAGGCACTTCACATCCAGGAAAGCAAGTGCTGAACAAAGCCTCTGAAACAAGACCCTGCAGAGTACAAATAAGAACATCATAAAAAATCCATAGTTTCTTTGAATCTGGGAGATCAGAGAGCGACAAAGAGATAGAGACAAGTATAGAGAGAGAGAGACCCCATTGTAGCGTTTACGAGCATATGACAGCAGCTGGCATTTTCTTTGAGCATACGAGGCAATTTCCTCCTTTGCAGCTTGTTCGAGGTTCTCACAATTGGTGAAAATGAAAGTGGAGTGGTTCTGCTCAGTTGGCATGATACGTGCCAGAGGCTTCGAAACTGTCTTCAGCGAACTACAACCGTGTGCATCTAAGCACTGAAGATTTGGTGGAAGCTCTGGCACAGATGTAAGATTCTTACAAAACTTCAAGTCCAGCCATTTTAGTTGAGAGAGCTGACTGATGCCAGCAGGAAGGGAGCGGATCTGATCATTTCCGCTTAAGCACAAATACTGCAGCGAAGGTAATTGTGGCATCACTTCTATGGCTGTCCCATCCAAAAGTAAAATGTTTAAAGAGCTCATGTTGATTTCTGGAAAATACATGAGATTTAAACAATCAGAAAGTATAAGTTCTTGAAGAGCTTTGAGCTCACCAACCCGGTCTGGGATTTCCACCAGCATTTTGCAGTTTTTCATATTCAGTATGACAAGTCTCTGGAGCTTCTCCATGTTTGTAGGAAGCTCACTTATTGCTGTACCATCTAAGTGTAGAGTTTCTATATTCTCCGAGATCAACGGAAATTCCTTCAACTTTGAGCAGCCGCTGAGAGTAAGAGTTTTCAGAAATGTTAAAGTCATCTTTGGCAGAGATTCAAGACTCGTGCACCCCTTCAGATTCAGGAAAGCAAGCCTTTTCATTTTCTTCATACGACGTGGCAACGTTTTCAGTGCTGTGCAGCCTTCAAGGTTCAGTCTTTGAAGATTTTTAGCCTTTGATAACCCTGACAAGCTGCAGAGCTTACTTGAGTGACTGAGATCAACCCACTTTAAAAATAACAAGCTATTCTGTGACAATGAAGAAAAAAACGTTTAGCCACCAGCAAAGAAAAGGCTATCAAGAGATTATTCAGATACACACCTTGTCACCCTCCCAAAGATGTATAATCTCACTGTAGGGCAGCTTAAGGTCAACAAGATTAATCGGGTTGAAATCGTTTGGAAGTTTCTTCAATGGGAATTTCAGCCAGTGGAGGCATCGAACCTCTTCCAATGGTAGCTTAAGTTCATCAGGAATGTTGATCTTATTGTTGGTTTTACATTCCTGAGGACAATGGGAATTGTAGAACTTGAGATACCGGAGATTACCCATTTTTATGAAGTGGTCGCAGTCCAAGCACGTCTCATCTTTTACTTCAGACAAGTCTAGCAATATACCTCTGACATTGGCAGGTTTCTAATAACCAATAAAAAAAACGACATGAGCAAAGTGAAAAAAAAAAGAAAACAAAAAGAAAATGAAAGCAGTTACTAATAAAGTGTAGAGGAGCTTATTGTCTCACCATTTTATTTTGCAGTACATTAATTTTACCTCCCTTGATTATGTCTTGACGGAGCCACAGCCTCCGTTTTCTGTTACCACCTTGAGTGGATTCTTTAAGATCAAGTTCCCTTGAAAAACTATACAGTAGATCATGCATCTCCACTCGGCCGTCACAAGTATTAATCAAGAATTTATCCGTGAGAGCTTTTACTGCACTCAATGCTTCAGCAGATCCGGGTTCAGGTGAAGGTGAAGCCAGTAAACTTTCCACATAATCCTTGTCCTGGGATCTGAAACAGGCTATGTCGAGAAATGCATCTTTCAGCTCTGAACTCAGTTCATCATAACTCACTTGGAAGACACTTCTAATACCAGAGCTCTGACTCTGTGCGAGTGTCTTCAGTTTCGATTTCCAATGATTTAAGTCTTTCTTGTTAAGCTCTACACCCAACATCTTGAGAGCTAGTGGATGGCCTCTGGCGTAGTGTAGAACTTCTTCTGACAGCTTCATTAACTCTCCCTTTAGAGGGTTTTCTTGATCATCACTGAAGGCATGATAGTGAAAGAGTTGTAAGCTGTCTATACGGTCCAAACTTTGGACAATGTAAGTATCGTCAACCACACCATTTGTTAATGACATGTCACTTGTTGCAATGACAATCCTGCTTCCTTTACAAATCCAGTCACGTCTACCGAGAAGAGCATCGATATGTTCCTTTTTACTAACCTCATCCAGAATGACAAAGACCTTGCGTTGGAGCAGTTGATTCTTGTACAGTTCGAGTGGCTCCTCACCATTATCTGTGTGTTTATTCTGATCTTCAGATGGAAGTAATTCTTCAACAAGAAATGTGGGCAAGGAAAACTCCGGGTCCTTTGACTTTTCCCGGATTTTATCGACTAGCGCGTGCCTCCAAAACTTACGCTTCCAAATCGCATAGAGCTCTTTCATGAGAGTGGTTTTGCCGATTCCGGGCATACCAACCACTCCAATGATACGAGTTCCTTCTTTGTGTTTATCACAATCCAACTTATCTCCCAATTCCTCCAGGCGTTGTTTCGTTCCAAAAGTCTGATGCTTTTCGCCTCCTGAGAAAGTTTTAGAATCGCTATCTTCTAAAGAATCAACTAACACATTTTGGCTACCCACCACCATAGATGAGATCTTGAACAGGACTCTCTCAACCGCCTTTACAGTGTCATTAATTTTTTGGCATTCGTCGCTGAAATATGAGTGAGGAAAACAACTTTTTAAGATCATGAATTTCCTCAAAGGCTCCCATGGGGAAAGGTTGCGAAAAAGTACCTTTTATCGTCGACAGTGATGCCGAATAGATTAGGAATCGAATTCAAAACTTCAGCCCATCTCTTCTTCTTCTCATCATCTTTAGCCAGAACCAACAATTTCTCACCGAAATCTCCTTTGAGATTTCTAACGGTGGATGGGTCCACCTTGTAGAAGATGGGAATCACCACCAGAATGCCTTCGTCCATGCGCTTCTTCATCTGGTCTAACTCTTTCAAGCACCACTCTGAATCGGTGTAGTTCTTGGAGAAGATAGCCAGAGCGATCCTCGACATTTCTATCCTCTTAAAAAGTTTTACTAAAGGTTCGCCTCTGTCTTCTAATTCGTCGAAGAAGATATTGATCTGACTCCTTTTCAAGGCAGCGACGAGATGGCTGACGAATCCATGGCGTATATCTTCTCCCCGGAAATTGATGAAGACTTGATGTTGCGGTGGTACTGTGGAAGAGGAGGAAGCCGCCATGGAAACCAATTTTCGTTTTCTTTGAACGACTGCTCTGCTTGACCAGCGAGTTGGATAATGGATTAGTGTGGATCAAGTGGGAGAAACAGTATTTACTCAACATTTGTGGACAGCAGAAAATGTTGAATAAGCCAAACTTAAAATTTGGAAGCGAGCGCAGGACCTTTGAATTATTGACTATGGAGATCCGAGAGCCAACAACTCTGCCCGTGAAAGAAGATATCGGGGACCATAATCATACGCGACAGTTAATTTCGAGGCCTCCAGTAGAATCCCAAGTGATCAGATAAGGTTTTCCGTTTTCGGAGGTAGGAATCCATGACGGATTGGAAAAATCCAGAGCAATTCGTCTACATCAGCTGTGTAGAGGAAGTACGGTACTCTTTTGTCAGCCACCTCTCCGACGCTCTCCGGCGAAATGGCATATCTGTATTCATCGATACCGACGATCTGCTTTCCAAGGAGGCGCAGGAAAAGGTCGGGAGAGCTAGGGTTTCTGTGATGGTTTTTCCCGGAAACCGTAAGGTGTACCTTGAAAAGCTCGCGGAGGTTCTCAAGTGCCAGAAGGAGGACGGCCAGGTGGTTGTTCCAGTTTTGTACGGCGACGGTCCATTTCATACCGAATGGCTAAGCGCGGTGGATTTGAGAGGCTTATCACCAGTCTATCAGTCCAGGTATTGATCTTATTTTGCTCTCTTCGTCTCTTTCGCAATTCATTTTTTTTTTTTTTTTTCTGTCTATTTTAGGCTTTCACTTATGAGAAAGAGATATCAAGTTATGTTCATTGAATGAAACGAATTGCCCCTGACTTATACAAGCTCTAACTCTGAATCCATGTCACTGTGTAATGTTCCTATGAAGTACATTTCTTTTTGATTGTTTGAGCAAATATGGCGCAGGAAGGAATGCAGTGACTCCGAACTCGTAGCTGAGATTGTAAGAAATGTGAATGAGAAGCTTCTGTTTATGGGACGAATGGGAATCTACTCGAAGCTTCTGGAGATAGAAAACATGATTAACAAGCAACCCTTGGGCATCCGCTCTGTTGGAATCTTGGGTATGCCTGGCATAGGCAAGACAACACTTGCTAAAGCGGTCTTTGATCAAGTGTCTGGTGGATTCGATGCTTGTTGTTTCATCCAAGACTATGATCAAGCTACTCATGAGAACAGAGTACATCGTATTTTGGTGGAACAGTTAATGAAAGACCAGCCTGGAAGTAGCGGTACCAGTACGAGACTGAGGCTGCGTAGAGACAAATTGAACAATAAGAGAGTTCTTGTTGTTCTTGATGACGTGCGCAATCCTCTGGTTGCAGAGTCTTTTCTCGAAGAGTATGGCTGGTTCGGTCCCGAAAGCCTGATCGTCATAACCTCCAGAGATAAACAGGTGTTTCGCCTTTGCAGAATCAATCAGATATACGAGGTTCAAGGTTTAAATGAGGACGATGCTCTTCAACTCTTCATGCTGTGTGCATCTATAAACGACACGGGAGAACATAATCTCCATGAGCTGGTAATGGAAGTTATAAAATATGCTAATGGAAACCCGTTAGCTCTCAGCATTTATGGCGAAGAGCTGAAGGGTAAGAAAACACTGGTGGAGATGGAGACTGCATTCCTCAAACTCAAGGAACGTCCTCCACTGAAGTTTGTTGATGCAGTCGAGAGCAGCTATGACACACTCAATGGCAGCGAAAAGAACATATTTCTGGACATAGCTTGTTTCTTCCAGGGAGAAAATGTCGACTATGTGATGCAACTACTTGAGGGTTGTGGTTTCTTTCCACGAGTTGGAATCGATGTTCTTGTTGAGAAGTGTTTGGTTACTATTTCAGAAAACCAAGTCCGAATGCATAGTTTGATCCAGGATGTTGTAAGAGAAGTAATAATAAAAGGAGAAACAGTACAAACTGAGACACGCAGCAGACTATGGGAACCTCGGACCATCAGATTTTTATTAGAAGATAATGAACACACAGAAAATGGGGAACCCAAAACAACTGTCAAATGTGTTCAGGTCTGTTATATTTTATAGTTTTATATTTAACCTATGTTATGAACCAGCATCCTAATATATCTTATTTCAAAAACATTTCAGGGCACTGAAGAGATCGAAGGCATATATCTGGACACATCAAACTTAAATTTTGATGTCAACCCTGCTGCCTTTGAAAATATGTTGAACCTTAGGTTGCTGAAGATATACTGTTCCAGTCCTGAAATCCATCCTGTAATCAGTTTCCCCAAAGGCTTTCTCAAATCACTTCCTAATGAGCTAAGACTCCTCCATTGGGAGAACTATCCTCTGCAATATGTTCCTCCAAATTTTGATCCTAGGCACCTTGTTGAAATCAACATGCCGTACAGTCAACTTAAGAAACTTTGGGGTGGAACCAAGGTAAGCAAACTCTGATATGCCTTTTTGACCCTTATCAATACCTGACTGAATTGTTTTCTTAATTTCTTTGGCATTTTGTTTTCTCAGAACCTGGAGATGCTAAAAACGATCAGGCTTTGTCATTCCACGCAGCTGGTTGATATTGATGATCTTATAAAAGCTCCAAATCTTGATAGAATCGATCTCCAAGGTTGTACAAAACTGCAGACTTTCCCACCCACTGGTCAGTTGCTGCATCTCCGAGTTGTAAATCTCTCAGGCTGCACAGAGATCCAAAGTTTCCCTGAGGTTCCACCAAGTATTGAGACATTGCATCTCCAGGGAACAGGCATAAGAAAATTGTCATTTTCCACTGTTAAGACCAACGGCAGAGACGGCGGAGAGTTTGTCAACTTTCTAGCAGAATTATCGGGTCTTTCAGATGCCTTAAAACTTGAGCGTTTAACAAGTCTGTTGAAATCGAGCTCATCTAGCCCAGATGTTAACAAACTTATTTGCTTGGAGCTGAAAGGTTGTTATCGTTTGCAAAGCCTGCCAAACATGTCTAGTTTAGAATTTCTCAAAGTTCTTGATCTCTCTGGTTGCTCAGAGCTCGAGACTATCCAGGGTTTTCCTAGGAACTTGAAAGAGTTATATCTTGCTGGCACTGCGGTAAAAGAAGTGCCACAACTTCCTCAAAGTCTAGAACTATTAAATGCACATGGTTGTGTCTCTCTGAAATCGATTAGTGTGGACTCCAAGCAGCTTCCCATGCATTACACGTTGAGTAATTGTTTTGATTTATCTCCACAAGTGGTCAATGATTTTATAGTGAAAGCGGTGGCTAATGTAAAACACATGCCAAGAGAGCGTCAGCAGGTAATACACTCTATCTCTCTCTCTCTCTCTCTCTCTCTCTATATATATATATATATATATATATATATATATATATATAATATAAGTGCCTAATGTGTGCACCCAGCTACATCCTTCTCATATCATATCTGACTTAATTTGCATTGCTGGGACAGGAACTGAACAAAGCAGTGGCTTTCAGCTTCTGTGCGCCCTCACATGCGAATCATAATTCCACTCTTGATCTGCAACCAGGATCTTCCGTAATGACACGACTAACTTCTACTCTTAGGAGCACGCTTGTGGGCTTTACTATTCTAGTGGAGGTTGCATTTTCAGAGAATTTCTATGATGCCAACGGTTTTGGCATTAGTTGTGTTTGCAGATGGAAAAACAAGAAAGGTCACTCTCATAGGGTAGAAAAAACTTTTCAATATTGGGGTCCTGGAGAAGCTATTGAAAAACTTCAAAAGGATCATATATTTGTCTTCTGTGATGTCAAAATGCGTCCAAGTACTGCTGATGGAAATGACCCCGATATCTTGGCTGATTTAGTTGTATTTGAATTCTTTCCTGTCAGCAAGCCGAAGAAGCGTCTAGATGATAGTTGCACAGTGAAAAGATGTGGAGTCTATGTAATTGCTGCTGCAACTACCAATACAAGCCCTGAAATAAGTTCACCAGTTTTACCCTCGGATCCACTGATTTTTTCTGGTAATGAAGTCCAAGAAGTATTGAAATCCAGGTATGATGGTTTACACGAGATTGATAAAGCTTTATTTCTGTACATAGCGTGTTTGTTCAATGATGAGGAGGTTGATTTGGTGGCACCACTTACTGCTAGTATTGACTTCGGCGTTAGTTCAGGAATCAAGGTCTTAGCCAATAGGTCTCTCATTCATCTATCATCCAACGGGGAAATAGTGATGCATTCTTTGCTACGGAAATTAGGTAAAGAAATTCTGGATAGACGATCCATGCAATCATATATCTCGAAAGAATCGGTCGAAGACGCTGAAGAGGTCTATGTGGCTTCTTCTTCGTCACCCAATTGGACATATGATGTTTTCCCAAGCTTCTGTGGGCAAGACGTCCGCAGGAATTTCCTCAGCCACTTTCTTGTGGCACTCAAACGTAAATCAATCAATGTATTCAAAGACACTGAGATAGACCGTGGCCAGGAGATTGGCTCTTCAATTCTACAGGCGATAAGAGGGTCGAGGATCTCAGTCGTTGTGCTCTCAAAGAACTATTCTTCTTCGACTTGGCTCCTAGACGAGTTGGTGGAGATCATGAGCTGCAGGGAAAATATGGGCCAAAGAGTGATACCGATTTTCTACGATGTGGGTTCTTCGGATGTAGGGAATCAGACTGGAGAATTTGGATTGGCATTCCAAAAAGTTTGTGAGGACAAAACAGAGGATGTGAAACAGCGATATTGCCAAGCGTTGTACGACATATCAACAATTTCTGGATACTGTTATCTAATCAGGTACGCCATTTTGAGTCATTATTAGTTGCTTTAAACTTAATCTCACATATAGTTTACCTAAGTTGTGATTTCTAATGAAAAAACTATACAGCTACAAATTTTTCTCACGCCTGAATGAATCAAGGCTATGTTAAAATTAACAACTAACAAAACAATATGCATGGTGGTGTGTGATAATTTGGAAACGTGATTATTTATAATGTTCTTTTCAAGCATGTGCAGTGATCTTTCTCCTATCTGGGGTACCGAAGCAGACATGATAGAAACAGTCGCCGATGCTATATCAGAGGAACTAAATATCACCATATCAAAGGACTTTGGCGACTTCGTGGGAATCGAAGATCATATCTCAAAAATGAAGTCACTGTTGTGCTTGGAGTCGGAGGAAGTAAGAATGGTTGGGATTTGGGGTCCTACAGGAATTGGTAAGAGTACCATCGCAAGAGCTCTATTTAACCGGCTGGCTCGTCAGTTCCAACGAAGCATTTTTGTCGATAAGGCTTTTGCAGATAAGAATTTTGAGAATTCTAGGAGATCCAACCTGGATGACTATGGCACAAAGTTGCACTTGCAAACACAATTTCTATCTGAATTTCTAGGCCAGAAGTACGTAAAGGGACATCATTTAGGTATGGTGGAAGAAAGGCTAAAGGACCAAAAAGTTCTTATTATTCTGGATGATGCAAGTAATCTAGTGCTACTAGATGCCTTAGCAGGGAACACTCGATGGTTTGGTTCAGGGAGCAGAATTGTAGTGGTCACCAAAGATATACGACTTCTGAAATCTCATGGGATCAACTATGTTTACGAGGTGGATTTTCCGTCTAAAAAGCAAGCTCTTGAGATGTTTTGCCAATATGCTTTCAGGCAGAAGTTTCCGCCCAATGATTACACTGAACTTGCTGCTGAAGCTGTACAGTTGGGTGGTAATCCTCTGGATCTGAACGTTTTGGGTTTGGCTTTGCGGGGGAGAAACAAGGAGGAGTGGATGAATATGTTACATCGGCTCAGAAATAGTTTGACTGGAGGAATTGAGAAGACATTAGGAGTCAGGCGTGAGAGTCTAACTGAAGATGATGATGAAGTGTTACTTCCTCCTTCTCCGTTTCATATCTGTAGATACCATGTTTACATCAGCTTCTGCGGCCAGGACGTTTCCAAATCATTCCTCAGCCATTTTCACAAGGAACTTAGCAGTAAGGGAATCACTGTATTTAAAGAGCTTGAAAGACAGCCCTCCAACGCTGTTCCTATACAAGCAATGAGAGAGTCGAGGATCTCGATTGTCATGATCTCGAGCAAATATGCCTCTTCAAGCTGGCTCCTGAACGAGTTGGTGGAGATCACAAAATGCAATGAAGAGTTGACTCAAAAACTGATACCAATTTTCTATGATGTCGAACCTTCGGATGTTCGTAAACAGACCGGAGAATTCGGAATGCACTTCAACGAGACTTGTAATAGGAAAACAGAGGATGTGAAACAGCAATGGCGCAAGGCTTTGATCCACATAGCAGACTTTCCTGGATTCGATTCTCGATATTGGTATGCTCTTTTGGGTCATTATTAGTTGCTTTATCTTGATTATGAAACAAAAAATACTACCACAAATCGTTCTCACATCTTGATGAAACAATGCTATGTTGAACTTAAAGACTGATAATAGCAGATTAATTTCTGCGATAATATTAGCCAATGAATTTCACTTTTGGAAATTCCATGAACTAATGATCTTTCTCCTTGATAGGGATAATGAAGCAGAAATGATCGAGAAAATCGTCAAAGATGTTTCGTACACACTGAGTTGTACAGCCTCAATTGATTTTAGCGATCTGGTTGGAATCAAAAGGCATATTGCAACAATGAATTCGCTGTTGTGCTTGGAATCTGAGGAAGTAATGATGGTAGGAATTTGGGGTCCCCCTGGAATTGGTAAGACCACCATCGCAAGGGCTCTATTTAGTGATCTCTCTTCAAAGTTCCAACGAAGTGCTTTCATAGTTATTTCGAATGATTATACGAGAACCAGCTTGGATGACTATGGCGTGAAGTTGCATTTCCGAACACTATTTCTATCCAAACTTTTTGGCACCAACTTGAATAACTATGCCATGCAGTTGATTCTCCAAGGACAATTTCTATCCAAAATTTTAGGCCAAAATGATCACTTACGTGAGGTAGAAGAGAGTCTAAAGGACCAGAAAGTTTTTATCATTCTGGATGATGTGGATGATCTACGGGTATTGGATGCCTTGGTAAGACAGAGTCAATGGTTTGGTTCAGGGAGCAGAATTATTGTTATCACAAAAGATATAGGGCTTTTGAAGTCTCATGGAATTGACAATGTTTACAAGGTAGATTTACCATCTAAAAAGGAAGCTCTTCGGATGTTCTGTCGATCTGCTTTCAGGCAAAACCATCCACCTGATGGTTTCACAGAACTCGCCAGTGAAGTTGCAGAAACTGTCGGTAATCTTCCTTTGGGTCTCAAAGTTTTGGGTTCATCTCTGAGAGGGAGAGACAAAGAGGAATGGATGGATATATTGACTCGGATCAGAGATAATCTTTACGGAGAAATAGAGAAAATAATAAGAGTCGGATATGACAGATTGGAGGATCATGATAAATTCATATTTCTTCACATCGCGTGTTTGTTTAATTATGATACGGTTGAAGCTGTGACACAATTACTTGCAGACAGTGGCTTGAATGTTGTGCTTGGGCTTACAAGCCTAGCTGAGAAGTCTTTCATACATATAACAGAACATGGAAATATTACCATGGTCCATCAGCTACAAACCTTTGGCAGAGATATCGTCCGTATGGAGTCCAGTCATGAGCCTGGAGGACGTCGGTTTTTGGTCGATTCTCTCGATATTTGTGATGTACTTATGAAGAACACTGTAAGTCTTAGATAGGCATTTCATTTGGTTAGTAACGAACAGTCTTTGTTGAGATAACCAGTTTTTTCATGATTTGGTTTTTCAGGGTACTGAAAGTGTTATAGGGATATCTTTGGACATGTCAGAAATCAATGAGCTTCATATAAGTGAGAGAGGGTTCAACGGAATGAGAAATCTCCTGTTCCTGAAATTCTACACAAACTTGTGGAATAAAGAAGTCAAGGTTCACTTACCTGGTGGCCTTGGTTATCTGTCTCGTAAACTCAGATTACTGCATTGGGAATCATTCCCAATGAGATGCATGCCTCCTAACTTCACTCCAGAAAATCTCGTTGAACTTGTAATGGAAGCTAGCGAGCTTGAGATGCTGTGGAATGGAATTCAGGTACGTATTGATGAGATTAAATGTTACCGCCAAAAGCAAAAGTGTTGTTGATGCATCATATTCTCTTGTAATTCATCTTTCCATTGCTGGGATAAAGTTAATGGCGAGGTTCAAATGTTGAAATCTAGTAAACGTTAGACAACATTGATATTAGCATAAGTTGGTAAATTAATATTTTTTGTCGGCAAGATTCTGATGTCTCTCCACCATTCTGTTTTTGTTTTTGTTCAGCCACTTGGACGGCTCAAGTGGATGAGTCTACGTGGTTCCTTGAACTTAAGAGAAATCTCTGATCTTTCATACGCCACCACTCTTGAGAAACTGGATCTTGGGGGTTGCTCGAGTTTGATGATGCTTCCTTCCTCTATTAAAAGTCTCCAGCAATTAAGGGACTTGGACATGGAAGGTTGCATAAAACTTGAGGCTCTTCCAACCGACATCAACTTGGAATCTCTCTATTACCTCAATCTCAAGGGATGCTCACAGTTGAAAAGTTTTCCAGAAATTTCAAGCAACATTTCAGATCTCTATCTTGATGGAACAGCGATAGAGGAAGTTCCTTGGTGGATCGAGAATCTTTCTAGGCTCTCTAACCTATCGATGAATGGTTGCAACAAGTTGAAAAAGATCTCTGCAAACATATCTAAACTGAAAGTTCTCGAGGAGGTAGACTTTTCAGAATGTGAGGCACTGGCTGAAGATAGCTGGGAGAACCATGCTGAGGAGACCTCTGCTTCTCTCCTGAGAGTAAACATGTCTTTTAACAGCTTTGAGAGACTTCCAGACACATGGACTTCCATTCAACCAAAAGATCTTATCTTCAATAACTGCAGAAATCTTCAGTCACTGCCAGAGCTTCCTGCATCGCTCTCCATGTTAACGGCAAATAATTGTGAATCACTTGAGCATCTACAAGGCTCCTTTCGCTATCCACAGACGGCTCTGCAATTTATCAATTGCTTCAAACTGAATCAGCAGGCGAGAGATCTCATCCTACAATCAGACTGCGCGTATGCTATCTTCCCTGGTAGAGAAATTCCTGCACAGTTCACTCATCGAACTGATGGGAGTTTCCTAAAGGTTTCTTTACCTGAGAGCTCTCTTTCCAAGAAATTCCCAAATTTTAAGGCTTGCATCATGGTTGAATCAAGATCTAATTGGTTTTACTTTGGGGTGATTTGGAACGTCAAAGGTGGAACCGATAAGATAGATTTATGTTGTTTAACCAACACTCCCTCTACGAGGGATCATCTCATCGTATTCAACTGCGAATTTTTCCCAGATGATTCACCTGCTGAGCTGGACTACAGCAATCTGCAGTTTGAGTTTTTTTGCCTTGACCACACGAAGGAATTGATGAAGATAAAAGAATGTGGTGTACAACTCTTGGAGGAGGTCTCTCCATCTGTGAACAGTAGTGGTAAAAGATCTGAAAATGAATATCGCGACAATGCTGGAGAGGGTAATGCAGAGGAGACTAGAAGCAGCAAGAGAACACGTGTAAGTAGTGATGATTGAACAAATATTTACTGTTCAAGTAACTGAATCTTTTATGTTTTTTCTTTGGCACTAGAGAAGAACTTGTGATGAATATCAAAGTTGAATCACTGGAGGATATTTTCATGGGTATATGTGCTGTAATTCAATATTTTATCTCTGCTTACTAGTCAAGACATGCTTAATAAGTTACTAGTCAAGACATTAGTATTGCTGGTCTTGCTTTGATCCGGTTTTTGATTGTGAACTTTGTTCTGTGTTTGTTTTTGTGGAATTCAAAGCTTTTGTAATTGCAGGAGTAGTAAACGTTTATATTCTAATGCTCGCTCGAATCTTGTAGACTCATACCCGAAAGATTACGTTTCTGCTCTGTAACTTGAGAGGGCGTCTCGTGAACACTAAATTGAAAATCAAATCAAATAATGGCAAAAGAGAAGCTTTTATAAGCAAAACCACTCTGTCAAATCCTTTGGCTTGATGGTTAAAAAGCGAGGATTTTGACTGAAGCAGATGCTAATAACACAGACCAGGGACTGTCTTGGATCTCTGTGCTGTTATTGAATGTTTATTTCTGCTTAAACAAGACAATTGAGGAAGATAGCATTGCTGGTTTTGCTTTGGTCCGGTTTGGATTGTGAATCTTGTTAGCTCTCTTTTTCTTTCTGTGGAACACACAAGCTACTATTATTGCTGGATTGGTAAACGATTACAGCTAATGATTGCTCGCATCTCAAAATATAGGATATCTGTTAAAAGTTGATGTGGTAATTCAAATGCTTACGACTCTGGTATGACTCGTATTCTGAATCTTAAAAGTTCTGGAATCTGTCTTAACAAATCAACGAAGAATGATGTGTTATATAAATTCTCACATCCCTTTTTATACTACAAGTTCTTGTACGTGCTTGTGACCTCTGCTACATTTCATACATGAAAGAGAAACTGACTAATGAAGTAAAAGATGAGAAGTTTCAAGTCGCTCTAAAAGCTGGCCAGCGAACTAGCGTTTGCACAACATCTGATACTCAACAAGTGATGCTCATTGTCGTGTTGGTCAAAGTCAAAAGATCGTGCAGTTTTCTTGTGTCTGACATCTCCCGGTTACAACATCTGAAAAGTTCCATCTTTTATTTTTCTTGCTCCTTTGATACGTTTGCAAGGGTACCGCTTGAGCTGCATCAGAAAATAAAGAATCATGATATAAGAGGGTTCATCATGAAAACATCAACATCCACAAGTTAGTCAAAGATTCAAAAGAAATAAACGATGCATCATGTGGGCTAATACTCTAATTGGATTGTCTGGGTTCTCAAGGTTCAGTGTTTGAGAATTTATAGGTTTCAAGAGAAACATACTAAAATTCAAAATGGGAAAAAGTTTCAGATTTGCACCTTTGATTTGATGTAGAGAAACTCTCTTCTCGTTTCCTTTTTCTCATCTTTAGGAATGCAGATTCAACACTTCTCCTATACCGACCTCTCTTAGATCGCGGCATTGGTTCCCAACCTGAAGAAAAACCTCCTGTGTCTATTGATGATGCAAGTAGCTTCTTTCCACTTCTTTCTCTTTTAATAGGAGAAAATCTCGTCTTGACTAGACTTGTATCACCACTTTCATCAGTAATCACACAGACTCCACATGTCTTTACTTTGCAACTATCATCTAAAACCTCGTTCTGGCTATCGACAGGTCGGAATTCAAATTTAACTAGTTCATCAAACATGTAAGGGTTGTTTCCTTCTCTGGCATCAGAAGGAATTAGTATTACTGCATCGTAGAAGACGAAGATGTGATCTTTTTTAATCTTTGAAGCTTCCTTAGGAGCCCAAAAATGAAAAACTTTCTCCAGTCTATTAGAGAGGCCACTCTTCCTTTTCATTATGCATGTGCACCTAATGCTAAAACCAGCGACATTGTAGTAATTATCTCGAAAGGAAACTACAACTGACATAGTAAATCCCAAGAAAGCCTTTCTCAAGGAAGAAGTTAGCCGTATCACAACAGAAGAACCGTTTTGCACTGAAGATTTCAAACCTTGAGATGCAAACACATCAGTTGAGGATTTCAGACCCTGAGATGCAGGCCCACAGATGCTGAATGCCGTTTCTGTGCTGAGTTTCTGTTACAGCAAGATAAAAATAAATCAAATATGCAAAATAATGTGTACGTCTAAATGTATCTCTAAGATAAAAAGTACCTGGTCTTGTTCTCTCTTCATGTTTTTAAATTTAACTATACCCAGAGCTTTCGCTAAAAATATTCTGAACGCTTCTGGAGACAGACTAAAGCAATTACTAAATGTGCAATGCATCAGAAGCCGTTCGAAGCACCAAGGAACTGACTTTAGAGACACACAACCATGAACATTCAAGAGTTTTAGACTTTGAGGAAGCTCCGGGAGAGATTTGAGGCTTTTGCAATGGCGCAAACTAAGGCTGTGTAATTTAGGGAGCAGTCTGATGCTTTCAGGAATTGTCCTGAAACCGTTTCCACCAATATCCAATGCGTTTACTGTTGGAATCTCGCATATCTCTTTTGGTATATCCACAAGGCATGCATTAGAAAGGAACAAAGACACTAGAGCGTACAGTCTTGATGCCAAGAAGTGAAGAATTGACAAGGGCTGCAGTGTAATAATGGACCATGGCCAGTAATGCTGCCGAATCTCGCCAATATGTGGAACAAATGCCGCTACAGACTCTTGTATGGCAGAGTTGTCAAGGCACGAATCAAGAATCTCTGGTCTTAACTGCAACTTATCATGAGTTTCACAGTCATTCCACCTTGATTCTTGAATAGCGGAATGATGTACCAAGGGCTCAGGTACTTCCATTGTTGTTATCTCTGTATTAAGACTTTCCGAGCATCTTACAATTGTTGCATCAAGATCTGGAAGGCTCTTTAGCTTTAAGCAGCCAGACAGCTTAAGTGTGACCATATTTCTCAAGTTACTTATCCCCTGCGGCAGGTGCAGAAGTTGACTACAATTCTCCAAATCTAATGTAACAAGTCTAGTGAATGTAACAAGTCTAGTGAGATTCTCTATGGAAGATGGAATATTACTTACGGCAGTTCCAGCTAGATACAGCTCCTTCAGGTTTGGTGAGAAATCCTGAATGTCCTTGAGATCTAAGCAGCCAGATAGATTAAGAACTTCGAGAGATTCTAAGTGAATCATGACAGGCATAGTTTGTAAACGAGAGCAGTCTCTCAGATTCAAGGAAACAAGCTTGTCAAGATGTTGGATAGATGAGATAATTTTCACCAAACTTGTACATCCTTCGAGATCAATATGCTCAAGGTTCAAGGCCTTTGAAAGCCGCGGGATTTTAGTCAACTGTCGGGAGTGACTCAGTCTGATCTTCCTAAGCTTCTCGAGATTCTGTTTACAAAATCAATAGTAAGTCATCGTGTACGATCTATATATAAATTCATTTAAGCAGCTGATTACACTATGAAATTGAAGACTTACCTTTGTCCCTCTCCATAACTTCTCCATTTTGCTATACGGCATATTCAGTTCCACAAGGTTTTTAGGATTAAAGTTTCGTGGCAAGGATCTCAGAGGGTAACTCTCCCAGTGGAGCAGTCGTAGCTCATCAGGCAAAGAGTCGAGGCCTCGAGGGAGACAAAGGTTGCAACGGTTTCCAGAAATTGAACAGTGGAGCTTTAGCAATCTAAGTCTATAGGTCCTCTCAAATATAGTAGGACTTAACTCACAGGTCAAGTTAGACATATCCAGAATTATGCCTTCAACTGCTTCTGTTCCCTGAGCAGAAAAAAAGTATGGAAATATCAGCTATCACAACTGAACAAAAGGTAAAAACATTTACTTCTGGAAGTTCCATAAATAGAAGATAAAATAATTTCAACTTACAGAACTGTTTGTCAATACTTCAACGATTTCATTAGCATCCCACAACCTGCTACGCTTCCCTGGCTCTTTGCTTTCTTCACAAACAACAAACCGACCCATATCTTGGACCACGTTAGACATCTCTATCCTATTACCTATAGGATCAATGAGGGATTCATCGAGGAGACCACAAATTCCCAACTCTGTAAAGTAACCGCAGCCATCAAGTATTTGTATCACATGATTTCTGTTCTCCCATCTGAAAAAAGAAGCAAGGTCCAAAAATATGTTCTTCTCGTTTTCATTCAGACCATCAAAGCTTCTTCGAAATGCATCCTGAATCTCAGTGGGAGGATTTTGGCGCAACGTTTTCAGTTGTTCTTTCTCACTGAATGTACACTGGTTTGTTACACACGAACCTAAAACACTGAGAACCAATGGAATGCCACTGGCATATCTCACCAACTCTGCGTTCAGCATGGGCTCGTATTGTCCAGGGACACACAGAGACAGAAATTGAGAAGACTCAGACTCGGATAATTTCTGGATCTGGTATAACTTTTTGACTTTACACTGTACAAGAACTTGTTTGTTCCTAGAGGTAAAGATGACTAGATGTCCGCAAGAAAACCAATCAAACCCTCCAACTAAAGCTTCTGCATCTCTAGCGTTACTCACATCATCAATAACAACAAGAACCGACTTACTCCGGAACCTATCCTTCAAGAAACTTGGGTTTGTATCACAAGCATCTATAACAAGTTTTTCTTCCCCATATAGTTTAGAGAAGAATTCATCCCGCAAGTGACTCAGCCCCTTTGTTTGATACATTAGATGAAAGTCCTGTAGAAAGTAGCATGAATCATAACCTGGAGCCAGTCTTCTGAAGATCTCTCCAGCAACAGTTGTCTTACCTACGCCAGGCATACCCCAAATCCCAATTATTTGAATGTCTGTAAGCGGCCAGGTGTTTAGCAATGAGTACATTCCAGTAACGTTGTTGGAAGAGATAGAATATAATCTCAAGCACGCATATCTAGCAATCTCCTTGGGAAGTATAAACTCAGTCCTGCACCCCAAAAAATCTATTAGCAAGTTAAACAAATGTATTGACGAACTAAGGAGCAGAAATTCTCACTTGCACCACTATCTATCCATACGCATGAAAAAGAGATATCCATCAAAACTGGACAGCCTAAAGAAAAGGGAGAAGTCTGTTTACCCGCCTATCCATTTAAAGTCATTGGTAAGAGCGAATTCAATAATTGCTTCTCTCCATTTCTGAACTCGCTCTGCATGAACTGAGGTATCAAGCTTTAAAAATGTTTCCTCAATAAAGGCTTTTGGATCCCGGACCACTGTGACATTATTAAAAACGGGAATAACTAGGAGGCCATTTGCTTTCTTGTATTCCATGAGTATCACGAGTCGATCCAGGCTTTGAGGGGAAGTGTAACCCTCTGAAAATACCAAAATGAAAACACCATATAAGGCTTTGAGGCGTCGAAACATCGTCCGTGTGTCAGTAGTAACTAGATCATATCTTAAAGCAATGACCGCTAGGTTCTGCAGCTCATTTAAGACGTCATCAATGAAAACTGTCTCCTTTGTGTCCTGCTCATTGCCACCACAAGAAATGACACAGACGAAATTTTCGTTTGGACTATAACAGGAATGCTCTACTAAAGAGCGGATCCTTCTCTTGATATCCCTAACCATAACTGACAAGGAATAATTCCTTCTGGAGATTTCTGTTATGAAGAATAAAAGTCGTAAATGCTTGAACCAAAGAGAGAGGAACATCAAGTACCGATCCACATACCGTTTGACAGCGCGGTAACTCTTCTCCTCCTATATATCTAACAGGGAGGGAAAAAGCTGTAGTCAGAAAAATAGCTAAGTGAAATTGAAAAAGCAAACATAATAAACCGAAAGAAACCTGCAGTTGTAATTTCACACGTACGACGCTTAAAGGAAGATCACTGGAACCATCCATCAACGTCCAGATCGCCTCGGGTTTAGCTCCTGCGATTTCAATAACATATTGCTATAAGGGATTTGTCAATTATAGGAAGTATCATCTTTTAAGGTACAAGGATCACACACGGTCGGGTCCGCCAAGGGCATTCACAGCATCCAAAAATCTCCTCTGAAGCTCTAGAGTCCAAGAACTGGGGAGTTTATGAACTTGTAGTTGTTGCTCTTTATCAGGAATTGGAGTCCAAGAAAAAGGATCTTGCTGTAGTTGTAGTTGTGGCAAGATATAGGGAAATGGATTCCAATTAAAGGGATCTTGATGAACTTGCTGTAGTTGTGGTTGGATATAAGGAAAACCAATCACAAGACAAAAAACAGGAATCAACATTGCATTAAGTTTATCTTAAATAGACGCAAATGAAAAGCAAAAAGAGAAAGCAGAATTCTTGAGACCTTTTGCCTAGTATCTAGGACCTCGCATGAGTCGCTCATGGCTAGGCTTTGGGATATGTATCCGCTGAAACTGGACTCCACCATCATCATGGTGGTGTCGTCCTCTTCCCACCAGTCTTCCATGGTTTGAGGTGGTTTCTCATCTGATCCTTCCATTGATTCCTCCAGCTTTTTGCCCTCCATTGATTCAGATCATGTTCATATGCTCGTTGACTGTGACCCTTTCTGCGATTCTGCAACTAGAGGGTTTCAAATATTTAAATCCCAAATGCAGGAAGTTAAACATCGTGCAAAGTTCGTTGTTTAGAATGTGTCAACTCTTAAATTTGACAGCTCTCCAGAAGAAACCCCTTCCTTGCTGCATCGTCTACTTCTCCTTCTTCTTCTTCTAAAACATATTTTCGAGACTCTTAATGGCATCAAAATTTTCTTCTTCTTCTTCATTGCCGGATCCTTCCCGGCGGCAGTATGATGTGTTTCTGAGTTTCCGAGGCGCAGACACACGCCATTCCTTCACCTGCTACCTCCACTATTTCCTTCGCCGGAGAGGTATCGACGCTTTCTTCGATGAGGAACTCCGGAAAGGCAACAATCTCGTGGCACTCCTCGACAGGATCGAGCAATCGAAGATCTCTATCGTCGTGTTCTCGGAGAATTACGCGGATTCCGCCTGGTGCTTGGAGGAAATCTCGAAGATAATCGAGTGCAGGGAAAGATTCGGCCAGGTAGTGTTGCCGATCTTCTACAAAGTTCGAAAATCTGATGTGGAGAATCAAACGGGGGACTTCGGAGCACCGTTCGAGAATGCCGATGAGACTTTTCGGGGATTTCAGCAGAGAGTTCCGGTGTGGAATGAAGCTTTGAAAACTGCTTCCAATATCGCCGGCTATGTTCTGCCGGAGAATAGGTACTACCTTATTCGTCGCCTTTTTCCACATGACTGCTAATTTCTTTGGAGAACAAAACAAAACTGACCTAAATGCGATTTTCTCTCTCGCCGCCGGCGCCGATCTTCCCTTTCTTCACTTCGTCTTCAATTTCTTTTCTAGTGCCCATCCATTACGTTCTTCTGAGATCAATATTCGCCATTTCATATCATAAGTCGCTCTCCCCTGCGAACTTCCTCTCTCAATTTATCGAATTTGAAGCTCCTCTTCCCTCTCAGTTCTTGTCTCATGTGTATATTCAGTATCTTTGCTGCAGATTCTGTAGCCAGGTTATTGCTTAATTGACGTTTTTGCTTTTTTGCATTTGGCAGTCACGAGTGTGACTTTATAGACAAAATAGCCAAGGAAACTTTCAAGACGCTGAACAAGTTGTCTCCATGTGAAATCTTGGGTCTTCCTGGAGCTGAACTGCGTATGCAGGAGCTGGAAGAATTGTTGAATCTTGAAAAGGAAAGCTCTGTGAGAGTTGTTGGCGTTCTTGGTATGGCAGGTATCGGCAAAACAACAATTGCAGATTGCATATATAAACGAAACTACAGCCGATTTGATGGTTGCTGCTTTCTCGCAAACATTAACAATGAAGAGAGGCAGAGGCTCCTTCGAAAATTACTGGATGAAGAAAATCTGGACGTTGGAGCTCCTGAAGGAGCACATGAAGCTTTAAAAGGTCGTCTTCGGAACAAGAGACTGTTCATTGTTCTTGATGATGTGACAAATGAAGATCAAATAAGACTTCTTATCGGACAGTGGGAACGAGAGTTGTATCGAGAAGGAAGCCGGATTGTGATAACAACCAGAGACAAGAAACTACTGGAGAAGATCGTTGATGCAACGTATGTGGTTCCGAGGTTAAACGATAGGGAAGCACTGGAGCTTTTCCGCTTGAATGCATTTTCCAGTAACCTCTCCCCAACAGCAGAATTCATGGAACTATCAAACAAGTTTGTTGATTATGCTAAAGGGCATCCGTTAGCTCTGAAGCTGTTGGGTTCTGATGTATGCCAAAGAGACAAATGTTACTGGAAGAGGAAATTGGAGATATTGCAGAAAAGGCCAGACGGTAAGATTCAGGAAGTGCTTAAAATGAGTTATATGGACCTGTGTCCGGAGCAGAAGAGCATATTTCTTGATCTTGCGTGTTTCTTCAGGTCAGAAAAAGCAGATTTCGTTTCGAGGATTCTGAACACTGACCATATCGATGCCTCAACTCTAATTGATGATCTTGTTGATAAGTGTTTGGTAACCGTTTATGACAATCGGCTTGAGATGCATGACCTACTGCTTACAATGGGGAAGGAAATTGGTTATGAATCATCAATCAAAGAGGCAGGAAACCGGAGTCGATTATGGAACCAAGAAGATATATGTCGTGTACTGAAGTATAAAACGGTAAGCGAAATGCCTCGTCACTTCATGAATCATATTCAATACCGATGTAATTCTTGTATAATTGTTTTCTGCTTTTCATGTTCTTTTCATTTTGTTGTCTTGCTTATTAGGGGTCTGCAGAAACTAGAGGCATCTTCCTGGATATGTCAAATGTAGAAAGCATGAAGCTAAGTCCCGATGTCTTCACAAAGATGTGGAATCTCAAGTTCCTCAAGTTCTACAATTCTCATTGTTCTCAATGGTGTGAGAATGACTGTAAAATTAGATTCCCGGGTGGTATTGATTGCTTTCCAGATGAGCTTGTGTACCTCCATTGGCAGGGCTACCCTTTAGAGTTCCTGCCATCAAACTTCGACCCAAAGAAACTCGTTGATCTTAATCTGCGTCATAGCCACCTTAAGGAACTTTGGGAAAACGAAAAGGTATATAGTCTCCTGTGTTAACAGATTACAGATTCAAGTCTGCGCATGGTTTAATAATTTATTGATATGTTGTTATTTCACAGAATACACCAGAATTAAGGTGGGTTGATCTTCAGTCATTCAAAAGACTTGCTGAGCTTATCAGGGTTGTTGGAGGCTCAAAATCTTGAAAGACTGAATGCTGAATGCTGTACAAGTTTGATCAACTGTTCATCAATCCACCAGATGGACAGTCTTGTTTATTTGAACTTCAGAGAATGTACAAGCCTTAAGAGTCTTCCAAAGGGGATCACTCTGAAATCTTTGAAGACTCTTATCCTCAGTGGTTGCTCAAACCTTACAAAATTTCCAACTATTTCAGAAAACATAGAGTCTCTATATTTGGATGGGACGGCAATTAGAAGAATTCCTGAATCTGTAGAGAACCTCCTGCACCTAGCTGTGTTGAGTTTAAAGAAGTGTTGCAGGTTGAGGCGTCTTCCCAGAAATCTTTGCAAACTGAAATATCTTCGAAAACTGGTTCTCACTGGCTGTTCAAAACTGGAGTGTTTCCCAGACATTGATGAGGACATGGAACACTTAGAGGTTTTGCTGATGGATGAGACGGCCATCAAACAGATACCTAGAACAATGTGTATGAGTAATCTCAAGATATTTACATTTGGTGGATCTAAAGTCCAGGATTCAACAGGTTTGGAGCTGCTGCCTTTCTCAGGCTGCTCTCGCTTATCAGACCTCTATCTCACAGATTGCAATCTCCACAAGTTGCCCAACAACTTCAGTTGCTTATCTTCACTACATAGGTTATGCTTAAGCAGAAACAATTTAGAAAACCTACCTGAAAGCATCAAGGAACTTCATCAACTGAGATCTCTTGACTTGAAGCACTGTCGAAAGCTCAAATCACTCCCAGTGCTTCCATCAAATCTAAAGTACTTGGATGCTCATGATTGTGCTTCACTGGAAGCAGTAGCAAAGCCCATGACACTTCTTGTGGTAGCTGAGAGAGTCCAGTCTACATTCATATTCACTGACTGCTTCAAGCTGAACCGAGATGCGCAAGAAAATATAGTGGCTCATACCCAACTTAAGAGTCAAATCCTGGCGAATGTGTCTCTTCAACATAATTCTAAGGTTCATCTTCTTTTACTCTGTTCTTTTAATGACATTCCATAATATCTCATGCTTAGTGGTTTCCTCTGTATCATCATCTCAGGGACTAGTTCTTGAACCTTTAGTCAGTGTCAGTTTTCCTGGAAGCGACTTACCTTTATGGTTCCGCCATCAAAAAATGGGATCCTCCATGGAGACTCTCTTACCTCCGCACTGGTGCGACAATAAAGTTTTGGGGTTCTCTCTATCTGTGGTTATCTCTTTCAAAGACTATGAAGAGAAAAGCAGCCGTTTCTCTGTAATTTGCAAGTGCAAGTTGAAGTCCAAGAACGAGAACAGTGATTGCATGAGGTTTATTTGCAATCTTGGAGGATGGAATGAAGCGTGTGGATCATCACATCAATCACGAAAACTTGGGTCTGACCATGTGTTCCTCAGTTACAACAACTGTTTCCATGTCAAGAAATGTGGTGAAGATTGCAATGACCATAACATATGTTGCAACACTGCAGCCTCTTTCAAATTCTTTGTTACTGATAACACCAAGAGGAAGCTAGAAAGCTGTGAGGTGGTGAAGTGTGGAATGAGCTTGCTATATGCTCCAGATGAGAATGATTACAGACTCCAGGAAACACTGGGGAATGACCTCGAGGAAGTGATCGCCACAAACGAAGCAGATCAACATGAAAATGCCTCGGATGAAGCTGTTTTGCTCAAGAGAGGTCGTCATTGTCTGCAAGATGAGGAGATAGAGAATGGGAAAAGAGTAAAGGAAGTAATCGTCTTGAATTCATGAGTGTTTATGTTCTGAGTTAAAAGCGTATGACTTCCTACCAAGGCTGGATTCAGATAAAGGTCAATCATGCTTCACTCTACAACAGGTCAAGAGGTAATATCACTCGAGACCTTAACACGGAGAACGACACTTTGTTTTAGAAGGCTAGTTGCAGAAAATTGATGCAAGTGTCTGGAGAAGATGTCCCAAAATAGTGTTGAATTAGCTATCTCTTTTTGATTCAGCTGTTAAAGGCAGAGACATTTGATCTCTGCAGAGTATATGCGCTGTTTACCAACAAAAGAAGTCAATCTCAAAACATTGATCCAAACAACTTCTCGATCATTTGTAATATTCAGTTATAAGAATACTTTGCTGGTTTGTTCAGAATTAGTTCAAGTGTTTTTCGGCCACACAACGAAGAAGCTGCTCAAGAAACAGCACTTCTACGATAGAATATGCATAAAGCTAGCCAAAGAAACGACAAGCAGCTCCACCATGAACTTCTTGTTTTGGATATATTCAAAAGTTGGAAGACGTCTTGACGCTGTTTAACTCAGATATGCATTTCACCATCAAGTTCCTGTTTTGGATTTTTGAAACGAGACAATAGCAAATAGAGCTGATCTAACAAGTCCCATTTTTACTCCAATTTTGAGGCTCTAGCTCTTAATCAACACTGTCCATAAGCTATGTGACAGAACCACACATGAACTTCACTTCCAGGAAATTTTCAGTTGGCTAAACCGCGACTTGGAATATCAAGGTAATCAATTCCCCGGTCCAACTTACCGATGCATTGCCACAAAACGAAAATCTGAAAGTTCTTGTTTTGACCAAAACTATTTCTGCAAAACCAAGATCAAAACTTATGTGCACTAACACAGCTCTGCACAAGTTTTAGTTATCATTTTCAACTTTCCAGTTCCCCCCCCCCCCCAATATTCTAAAAATTCTAAGAATAAAGCATGCTTGAAGTAATCCGATCTTGTTCAAAACGTTGATAAGCTCTTCTAGTTCTCAGAAACAAGACAACACTTGAAGCTAGTCCAACCACGGACAAGCATCCCCACCACACAAAGGTTAGGAAATAACAGTCTCGTCCCATACATATAACTGACCCGGTCTTTGACCCAGCCACGCTATGGGATTCATAGACCACCGCAGCTAAGAAACCGTACACCAACGATCCAATCGGTATGTTTGTGATCAGGATGTTATGGTTAACCCCGACGCTGTTAGGTCCAAACAGCTCAGACGTGATAGAAACCGCTGCTGCAAATATAAAACCCGAGCTTAGACCGATCAGAGCCGTTCCTGCTTGTAACGCTGCCAAACTTCCTGATGACGCCAGCAAGAAAAGAGCTACCGTGGTTGGTAAAAGAGCAACGGTTAGCCACCCGGTTCTCGCAAAGTAAACCTTCCTGCACAATTCACATTTCAACAGCATCATTAACCAAAGGAATACAAAGGCTTCTGTTAAAGAGTTGAAGAGAGACTTACGCTCTGATATAGTCTGGTGTAGCTGAAAGCAACCGACCGAAGAATGAGAAAGACGAATAAAGTGTGACAAGAGTTGAGGTCTCAGAGCTCTGTCCTAAAGACTGTGCAATCTGTCCAAGGTTGTTGCTATAGACAAGTCCGATCGTGCCACCGCAAAAATACGCTATATAGTAAAGCCAGAAATCTGATCTTCGCAAGAGCAAAGACAGAGGATGCTCTTCTCCAAGCATTCCAAGCTGGTTTCTTGCAATGAGCCCATTGCAACAACCTTCGCTGTCGTCTTCAATGAAACTCTTCTGAACATGAGTAACCGCGGTTCGAACCATATCATCGTTTAGCAACTGGTAGCCTTCGCCACTGGCTTGACGTGTCATCAATCCTTTATGGATCTCAAGCTCATCAACATCAACGAGAATGAAACCGGAGTTTTCTAGACGGAAACTGGAGTGTATATTGTGCATGTACCAACTGCGAGCATAGACCAGACCAGGAAGGCAAAGAGGGAGAATCAAGAGAAGAATTGACCCACCAAAGAGCAGACGAGCCGAGGTTACATCTGGAGTCTTTGAACGGAAGAGAAGCAGATACACACCGTTCGAGACCGCTAAAACGTTGAGCAGGAGAAACATGAACGAGTCTCTACGAACTCCATCTGGTGGGAGAGGCTCGAGAGGCGGTTGGCGAAGAATAGGGATGAGAGCAGCGAAGGAGACTATAAGAGGTATAAGGGCGTTTAAGAGAAGGTAAAGCTGTGTGGAAACAGGGTTGATTGCGTTGAAAGCAAGAGTGTATAAAGCAGCACTCACGCCATTGAAGCTCACTGTAAGAGAAAGAGCAAGTGATCTGTTTGCAGGAAAGTTTCTAATGCAGAGCACAAAGCAGACTGTGTTAAACCAACAGATGCTTAGCCCAGCTAACAAACAACATAGAAACACCTGCCACAACATTACAGAAACCATACTTAGTCGCATAATCAAAATCCCAAGGGATATCTGAGAGAATAGCAATTTTCAATGGAAGATGACTAAAGTATATGTTCAAGAGAAGAGTCAAAAGTCATAAACGAGTTGTATATTCATTAAAGCAATAGAGTATTGAAACTACATTGTTTAATCAAATCTCTGGAAAGCTGAAGACAATCAAATAATTATTATTCAACAAGAAACATTAACTACACTAACAGTAATACCAACCATTATAAAAACAAATTCGAAATTTTCTGATTTGGTTTTTACAATTTCCGTCATGAACTTCCTGGAATCGTCAAATTGATTAATTTACGATCAAAACAATACAGATTGATCATGTGTTCAATTTTTTTTTTACCAAAATGTAAGGCAAAGAGATGATGTTAGTGATGACGAGCCACTGAAGACCATAACCGACGAAACCCATAATCGCCGCCGCGAAGAGGACCGTCCAGAGAGGGAAATACATAAGTGCAAGTCCCGATGACCATCCGAAAACTTTGCCGAGATCGGAAGCGACGGCGAGATAGTTCAATTGTACCTGTGAGATTCCCAGAACCGATTTCAAATTCGACGAGTACGTCGAGAAATCGAAATTCGTGCCGGTGAAGGCTTGAATCCAGATCGTCGCCACCAGAATCATCCATTTCCGCGACTGTCCCGCCATCTCTTTTCCACCGTCGTAACAATCTCCGTCGTATGCTCCTCACTCTCCGGAGATTTTGTTTGTTTGTTTGAGACTTGAGAGGATTCGGTGTGGTTGTTTGTGTTTAGTGAAGCTTCGCTGGTTTTAGAGGTGTCAGAGAAAACGAATCACATTGGTTTACGTGGCGGCATCTTCATACAAAGGTCTATATCAACCGTGTTGGTATCAAATTTTTCGGTTCGGTATTTGGAAAAGCAAAACAAAAAAGGCTAAAATCAAGTCGAATCAAAGGACAGTAAGTGAAAATATCAGTACATTAATAATTAATTAATCCCACATATCAAAACTTTATTTTCTGCTCAACATTTCTCTGAAAATTTCTGAAACAAATACTATAAAAAAGGATTCTTTGGTTTCAATTAAAAGAAATTTTGCAAAATTTTCAGTTTTTATTTGACAACAAAATCACCTGTTTTTAACAATTTTTATAAAAAACATGGATTTTTTTTCTTTTCAGTACATACTAAGTCTTGCCCAAACAATACAATCATCGTTTTTCTCAACAATCATCGTTTTTCTCAATATTAAGTAACTAACCAATAAGTTGATAAAAAGTGATTGGAGACACTTGCAAATCTATGTGGGTGATGATGATATTTTGAAGGGCAAACAAGCCCTAATCACAAGTATTTACCTTATCCACCACGCTACCATAAAACAAAGCAGCGAACAAAGGCATAGAGACATGATGAGTAGTAATAAACGCCAAGCTTATCATATAATAACCAAGAACCAAAAGTCAGATAAAATCATAGAATCACAGAGACCAATTTTCCTATAAGCGACGAGAGAGAGCCCAAAGACCTAGCAGAAGCTAACTACATATATTATTCCGTTCCTACTAAGCCTTAACACATAGTATCGAGTATCTGAAATAAGAAGCTACCATTGACTGATCACTGATGGGTTTGCAACGGGTTTAGTTTCATGTTTAGGAACAAGAAGACCCGCACTCGAACGTGTAGCAGCAACCTGAGAAGACGCAGCTTTTGAATTTGACGAGGGACCGCAAGTTTTTTCAATAGTAGTGCAATGAATCACAGGTGGTGTTGAGTTTTTACTCTGAAGCATGAGCTTCGCAGTAAGAGCCGCTGGAATATCAATGTCAAGATCATACCCTCCGCTAGCTCAACTATGGCTTTGAATTTCCCAACATCTCTCTTTTCAACCTAAAAATTCAAAGCTTTTAGATTGGTTAACCTCCAAATCATTAACCAATATACAAGATTTAACACAAAGGGAACCAAATTCTTACTTTTTCCACGGAAGAGCGTCTTCTTAATTCGGCGATCTCTTTTATTAAGAGAGTTGTGGCTGAAAAGTCTTTACGCTTAAACAAACATATGATTCGAGCTGCTGGAATGTATTGATGATCCTCTTTGAGCTCTCTTATAAATTCTGCAAGAAGATAAAAAAAGTAATTAAAGAACTCTTTGTTTACTCTATTGTTGTGTATCTGAAATGTTGCTTTAGAAGCTAACCTGGGATGTTACGATTGAGACCAAGCAAGTGAAAGAGCTCTGGACCTTGTTGGTAATGAAGAACAGATGTGGCAAGTAGCACAGTCTCTTCTTGATCAATCAATCTTGTTAATTCATATCCAACGATGAACAACAAGAAAGCCAAAGCCTCCAGAGACGAGCTTGGAGATTCGATCACTATCATCTCTTTCCACTGAGTTCCCACCTGCATTGCCTTGAACCTCATTTGATCTTTGTCCCATCCTCCAGTTTTCGCTAGCTCTTCCAAGAACATAAGCAGATTCTCCACCACTGGATCTTGTAAACCGGATCTTTGCCTTCGTTGAGCGTCCCTAATCTGTCCCTCAACAAGATCCAGAACGAATTTCGCTGGATTAGATAAAGCTCTAAGATACCTAAATACTTCATCACGGTCAAGAGACGCTGATGAGAATTCACGTATAAAGAGAGCATCTTCTTTGCACAGCTTAGTCTCTTCTTGAATTGGCTTCTCCTCGTGCTTAACGAGCACACTGCTTCTCAGTCTCAGCTCTTTCTTCTTTAACTCCTCTGATTTGATCTGGCTCCTTAGCAAGTCAAGTTCTTTCTTCTTCGACTCAAGCTCGTCTTGAGTGTTCTTGAGTGTTGATTCCTCTGTCTTGATCTCGTTCTTTAGCAAGTCGAGTTCTTTTTCTTTGTTGAGAGCTTCAGTTCTTGCTGCTTCTATCTGCTTTTGGACGTCCACCAGATTTACGCTGAGAATATTGAGTTGGTTTTCTTTGAGCTTCACTTGCCGAGATCGTTCCGCAACAACAATGTCGAGATGGTCGTGTAAAGCTTTCAGCTTTTGAGACGAATCGGCTTTGAAATCCTCAAGCAGCGGTGTACAGAGTTTCTGTCTCTTACAATTAGTAGTGACAGTGAGAGCGAGCTCATCTTCAACACTTGTTTTCTCCATCGCAAGTAACCAAATGGATTCAAAAGCAAAAGCAAATCTTTAACACCGAACTTACAAATCTGATTTCAGGAGAAACAAAATTAGGTTTTAGTGGGAAGACTATTGTTCTGAAAATCAAAATCAATTGGAATGTGCAGGAATTTGAGCTCTTTGACCAATGTTAGAAAATAAACACTAGACGAAGAAATAACAGCAAAATCGAACATATATAAAGGCTAAAACTTTAGTAAGAACTCAGACAAGGTCACTGAGGAGAAGATCCGAAGAACATTTAAACAAAACCCTAAAGTGTATTAAAGAGTTAGTCTGAAGTTCTATGAGGATACACATTCTAACAAAATCAACCCACACAAATCAAATGTGAAGCTTTCTTCAGGTTCAGAGAGGATGAAGAGAGGAAAAAACCCAGGAATTGAAACCTACAACAAAAATTCGAACATACCCAGAAGCTTAAAGTTCAGGAAGAGATCAGAAGAATGCCAACAAAAAAAACCCCTAAACTTAAATGAAAGTAAGGCAGAAATGGGAAAGAAACGCAAAAATAAAATAAAATGCTAGAGAAGAAATAAGACGTACAAGAGAGAACGTAGCGGTTTCGTGTGGTGTGTACTGTGTAGTTACAGTTTTGTGATTCTGCAGGAGGAAGAAGACGAAACGGGACTAAAGAAAAGGACGAAACTAGGACGGAGCGAAGAGAGAAGGTATTTCTTTGCAGTTGGGCTTATTAGGAAGAGATAGGCCCATTAGGTTCTGATCCAGTTTAATTGTTAAGCCCAAGTCATATAGAGTTTATAAAACGTTGACAAAATGAAAAATGTTGTATGGAAAATCGGTTGATTACTCAAAACTTTTTTATTATATCTTGGAAGTTTTCAAGTAATCCAAAATCTATATTAAAGAATAGACTCTTATCCTCTTAAACAAAATTTGCCCATCTAAGAAAGAAACCACATATAATCACCTAGAGTTAAATTTTGATTAATCGAAATACGGTAAAATTTACATAACTAATAAGGCTTGGACATTCTCCAGCTGGGACACGTGGCCCCCTTTTTTTTTTTCGCCAAACACCAAAACGACGTCGTTTTGGGTTTCTGATTTTTTTTTTCCTTTCACACCAAAACGACGTCGTTTTGTCCTTTAAAAAAAAGCATTTTTATTTTCTCTCCCTCTTACGCCAAAACGACGTCGTTTTGAACCCTAATAAATTTTTTTTTCCACGCAACTTTTTTTCCCGACTGCTCCGCTGCGATCGGCCGCCAGATCCACACCGACCTCCGGCGAGACTGTTCACATCCCTGCCTCTGCCGTTTCAGCTTTCAATGCTCGCTGCCTCTATATAAAGCTCCGCCATCTGATCTCACTTTTTTTCCCAGAACGTTTTCCCCAATTCCACACGGCTCACTGTCAATTCGTGACTACGATTGATACCCGGAATCATAGCTCCGACATTCTCTCCAGAATTGGATTCGATGGAGTAAGCGTCACCACCACCGTATCGGTATGTAAAAGCTTGTGTATTGATCAAATGCAAACTCCAGGGAACTAATTATTCAGTTGAATATGTTCTCTATGTATCGTTTCAATCTAAAAATTGACGAAACTAATCATTCAGCTCAAATTTGACTGTAATCTACCTGCTTGGTGGAGAAAATATTATATCTTTTCAGTATGGGGATGATTGCAAGTAGTTTGATTCGTTTTTGCTATCATTTGGTGTGAAAACTTAGGATTCAAGATCTATTGGTGCAATTGCTGTGATATTCACATGGAGAGCGATAAGAACTCCAGGGGAACGTCAAAGACAGCAGACTAAACAGACTAGATGCAATTTCCAAAGAAGTAGAGGCAGAATTAGTCTCACGAGACATCGGCCGCCACTCGGTTCAAGTCCTTGAAGCTGTGAACACAGTACTCTTCGACCTGAGAGGCTTCAAGAGGACATCTATTCCTTTAGACCCCAAATACTTTTACCTTCACTCTGTACTTAACTGTAGATGCGGCACTGGTAAAAGTCTCCCCTTTTAGGCTTTCTCAAAAGGCGTTTCATTTGTTGCCTCTAATCTTGAATGGGTTTTGTTGTCTTCCATGGTGCAGCATTTTTGTTTAGCGTAATATACATTGAAGTTTGTCAGCGCCTTGGTGTGCCTATTGTGGGATCTCGCGTTGGGGAAGATTTTTTGATTTGGCCTAGGACGGAGTATCCTGAAGAACTCTTTAACACAACTTCAGGACAGAGCTTGTTTGGTATTGTCAATGGACGCTGCGTTGATGATCCTAGATCCATGGCATCAGATTTAACCGCAAAGTCACTACAAGACTTGGATATTGCGACGAACAGAGACATTATAGGGATTGCTCTCGCCAATTTGATTGTAAGTCCTATCACCTATGTAACTATAACTGCACATTCTTAACTTCAAACTGGTTTCACGTTGACACAGATTATATTCTATTGCCTTTGGTTCGTTTTCAGAGGGTTCATTGGAGACTTGCGTCGAGGTCATCTCCTGGACTAATGCTGACTTCTCCTATTAGTCAACTTAACAAAATCAGAAAATATGATATTCCATTGCGGCCTCAAGATCTTAGGTACAAAGCTTGTCCTATCTCCTATAGGTTATGCCATTTAAGAAGGAATCCATTGAATTGTTTACCAATCTAACATTCGGTTTCTGCTGATTGTAGGTTGGCTATTGCGGCTGCAGAAAGGCTGTTGATTTTGGAGCCTCACAACTGGAAACTTCGCAGAGACCTTGGCATGATGCTCTACCACATCAAGTAAAGAAAATAAAAACACTTTCAAAAGTTATATAGATGAGAGAGATTGGTTCTTTTGTTACTTGTTTTGTTTGATGGAATGAAAAAAATCTTGAATTGTTGAGCAGGCAATACGGAGAGGCGATTCAAGAGCTAAGCATAAGTATGGCCTTTGCATCTGATGAAGAGGAAGTAAAAGTGATGAAGCTTTTTGTAGAGAAACTCCATCTCCTTCGTCTTATCTCTACATTGGAGTCTCCGGTTAATGGCTCTGATCGCTTGACCGTACCTTGACTTCTCTCTCTCTCTCTCTGTCTCTCTCTACTCCACTTGTAAATAATCCTCTCTCTTACTCTTTCTCTGCGTCTCTGTTGTGTTTGTAAAAACCCTTTGTGGGTGACATGAAACTTTTGTTGTAACTCTTACTCTCCTCTGACCAGAGTGATTGATTTGAGTGGAGATTGGAGTGAAGTACGTGGAAACTTATCCTCAACATGCAGAAATGTCGTAGCTAAAGAAGCAAAGTTATTTAGTGCTAAATGTATTATAAACAATATATTTCAGGAAGATGGCTTCCGTCATCACTCGAGTTTTAGCACAACCAAATTTCATTTTGTTATTTGATTCTTAAGATAGGTTTCTTATCCATGTAAAGGAAGGACTCAAGACTAACTGCATCTAAAGGTTTGTTCTTTAATAATGCTTTATTTTTATTTTTTTCATAGGGCATATTTTATAATAATTTGATTCCAAAATATATTGATGAGGATTTGGTAAATTTGCTTGATTTTCGAGTTTCATACAAAGTCGAAACAAATCATAAAGATTTTATACAATGAAACTTACTTGAGTTGTTTACTAAAATCTAAATTTATTGTCATTTCCTTGCATTTTGATTCTTGAAAAATAGAGTGATTTCTTATTCATCGTTAAGCAAATACAAATGTATTAATCATGTTTTCCAGACTAGAACCTCTTGAAATGTTAGATGGCCTTAAAAGGATATTTCCACTATGTGCTGTTTCCAAAATGAAACATAAAGGCACCGGTATACTTTGGGATCCTCTATGTATTGAGCTATACATACAATATCTCATGTTTTGGTGTGTATACAGGTTTAGTACACGGTTAAAGAAGAAATGCAGTACAAGTCAAAAGCTATTTTTGGAGTGCGAATTGTTTATTCGTTTAGCTTCATTTGAGACACATACACGTTGTTAATCTCATAAACATAACGATGTTATCATAATGACGTTGTGTGTTTGTATTGTCATCGTATCTTAATTTTGAGTTGAAACTTATAATTGGATTTGGTGGAGCAATGCAATGCATGCAAACTAAGCAAACTTTTAAAGGGCTCAATAACCACATGTTTGACTCAATAAATAAAACTCTATCAAAACCTCTTATTAAGATTGTACTTTCGTTACTTAATTGTTACATCTTATGCATTTCGACTTAGAGATATTATTTCTTATCAACAAGGGTAATGAACTTCTCACTTTTTTCTTCAAATCCAGATTGAATCGGACACCATTGGACACCATTCTTTATTTTAAAGATAGACAGAAATTTTCTTAAAAATCTATAGCTCTTCACAAAGGAAGCTTAAGCAAAGATTGTTATTGTTCTCAAGGTATTGTTTTCTAATGCATTTGTTTCTCATGTTGGATGGGTTTGAATAAAAAGATGCCTAACCATTTTTTTATTTTCTCTGTTTCTTCAGTTTGTTTCTTTTGTTAATAGACACTTTAAAGACTCTCCATTTGAAGTTTATAATTTGTTTATGCAGCAAGTAATATCTTCCCACTGTTGGCAAGATCTCGAATATACAACCTAAATTATACAATTATTTTCCTTCCAACAGTCCGGTGCCAAGAATGGTTTTCAAAAACTTTGATTAGATATACAATGAACCTGGAGAAGCAAATGTGGTTGAGTTAACCTTTGTATTTTTAACATCGGTAGAGTTAAGCTTATATGTACTGTAAAACCTTATTTGGCATGAACTATATTAATTTGTATAACAGAGAGTCACACAGGATGTCCAAAATGTGAAAGAACAAAAACAAGTAAACAAAATACTATCGAAAATTTAAACCCGCGCGTAGAGCGGGTTCTCTCCTAGTTGATATATAAACTTGGCAATACAAGATTATATAATAGAAATGGCTCTTACATTTCCATTTTGATTCAGGAATATTGTGGGAAAACAAGAAATAGTTATAAAACTTATTGAAACTTAGCAAGAAAGAAACTGAAATATGAAAAAGAAGACCAACAACAGAAACATCGTCGATCATCCCACAATGGGACGGTTGATAACTGGACCGTTGGGACAATTGTCGCTTGGAACATAGAGAACGACACGGTTACAACAGTTGATGGCTGGTAGATAAACTTCACCTTGAGGATATATAAACGCAGTCACATGTGGATTATCACTCTCTATTTTTGCCTTTGCTACGGTTCCACTCGCTCCGGTTAGCTCTGGCCACTCCACCTTCAATCCTGCATGCACCATAATGTTTATATAAACATTGTTACGTCAGTTAGTTTCGGATTCAATTTTCTTAGAATAGTTCATCGATGTTATAAGGTGTTAACTAAATTCACAAATATCATGTGTAGAAAAACTAAATTCACGTTACCTGGGAATCGAGATTGGCATCCCCCACCTGAGCATGTACAGTACTCACACCTGGGACCGAGGGTAGGACAACTGTTTGGCATTTTGTGTTTTTCTCTTTCGTCAGATTTTACTTAACAACTTACAATTGATAATCTTTGAAATGATGTTATTTCCATTCGACGTAATGATCAAATATATATAGCATACAGATACCAGACTTGTTAAGGAATTTATGGGTAACATATCTCACCTTTAAATTTTAAAGATACGAGTTTTACTTATTTTTTATTTTTTAACAAAAGAGGATCGATTTTCCTCGCTATTTTTAGACACAAAACATACAGATATTTTGATTTCTGACATTACAACACGTGAAACAATCAATTTTCTTTTTTTTTGTAAAATGTGAAGATTTTATACCAATTTTTCAGTTTTTGACAAAAAAAAAAATACAATGGTAACAAGAAGGCAAAAGACCAAAAATTTACAAGAAAAAAATTGATTACAAGAGCATTATACGAAAGCGAACGAGCGACAAGCTAAGCACACGCCAAACCGAGCTTATCCCAGAGTAGAAACATCGATTCCGAACATAGAGCCCGGAAATTTGCATTGTTGCCGAAGTTCCGAGGAACTTGAGTCCTCATCGTTGTTGCCACGAGCACTTCCATCCGATACCAGTCCTCAAAACCTTATCTTGAGTAGCACCTATAGCTTCTCCGAAGACTAGAGCAGGAACCGCATCAACACAATCAATATTTTTATGGGAAATAGCACTAAATAACCATAAAAAAAGCATAATTAAGGAAATAACCATATCAAACGAATGGCTATAGTATTCTGTATATAATATGTAATATGCCAAAATTGCCCCCGAAACAAAAGGAAACAATTGTTTTTTTCTTTTTCTTTTTCTCTTTGACTCTTCCAATTTTTTTTCTCGCGACGATCTCTTTCTTCCCTTTGATTTTTTCTATTTCAATTCTTGTACTGAAATTCCTCTAGCTCTAATCAAATTGGGTTCTCATGTCCGTGGTGTTCTACATTATTTTCATTTTTCTGGGTTGTCTTGAAAATTGAGTTCTAGGGTTCTATAAAGTTTAGAGAGGAAGAGCGGAGCAAAATCCAAGATCTTTACGATTCCGGTGACCACTCATAGTTTAATTTGCCAATCGCTAACGATTCTCAGTCTCCGATAACCGGAATCCTATTGATTACGGTGAAGCTCCCAATAGCGATATTGTGAATGCATAGTCATTGTTTTTCCCTTTTGCTTTGGTATTGAATCAGTATGAAAATATTTTTCATAGATTTGCACAAATTTTGATTTAAGTTATCGATATTGGTTCACCAATTGGTATAGACCCCTCCCCTATTCTTCATCCTCAATGACGATGCATTTAAACCAAAAATCCAGGTTAAATAATTTCACAATTGCTGTCATGTGGCTTCAGATCGGATCAGTACACCTGAGTGACGTCACAGCCGGTGGGACAACGAAATCCCCATTCTTGTAACCAAGGACAAAACCGTCCAAAATTTCTTTCCATAGTTACTCACTTAATATTTGGAATAATATGGCTATATTCTTAATATCAGTGCCCAATATTGTTATACAGTTATACAGCAAATTAACCCTATTTTTATTACCGTAAAAAAAAATTCCATATTGTACAGGATTTCTTTCATTTTATTCAATTTAAATTTAAAACCATTAATGCTATAAATAATTAAAATTATGGTGTAAAAAGTAATTATAACTTTATATGATACTATTTTTTTTCATGTATGTAAATGAAAATATTGGTAACGTTTGCATGAGTAAATTGACAGTGCCCAAAACGTCAAATTGACATAAGAGGTCAGAAAAGAAGCAATAAGCGATATTGGTGAAAAGTACATATGTATTTTTATTTCACAAATAAATATCATTAAACATATGAAAAACAAAATAGAAATGACACCTATCTATAGTTTGTTTTATAAGAGAGATAGAAGTTTTTTAGTTTTTTTTTGTATTAAGCAGAGTAAATAATTTTTACTGATAATTTATAGTTATTTTTCTTTCCAGGAAAAAAATGAGATAATGAAATATTCGGTAAAATAGTACAAATTACAAATATTAAATGTCTATGATATTAGTTTACCAGCTCTGAATCCTTTAGTCAATGCTTTCAATATATAGTATATACTACACTATTATATGCGCATATGCGTGGGTTTTTTACTATTATAGTTTTAAAATTATATTAGAAAATAATTATAATTTGTGATTAATATTAAAAAAATCTTACCCTAATAACACTGACATTTTAATTATAACTTGTATAATTAGCAAGTGCTTTCAAATATACTTCCTCTGTCTCATATTATAAGTAGTTTAGGAAAATGTAGCTGCAATTATCTGGATGTATTTGGATGTGTTTTGAGTCCAGATACATCTATATAATTGTAGATACATTTTCCTAAACTGCTTATAATATAAGACAGAGGAAGTATACTTTTACATTATATCACATGCCTATATGTCATCCATTTTCTTTGTTTACTCATTGTCATATTAAATGAACTCTGCTTCCTGCTATTGCTTTTGCTATATCCATTTCTTGGTATATTAGGAGATCACTTAGATGTTTAATACTGATTCAAAATGGAAATTAAAAATAATACTTTAAAAATTATAATGATTTTAATTATAATAAATTAAAATGTTTAAAATTGTAAGTTAAAAAGAAAATGAAAATTTGTTAACTGAAAAGAAAAGAAAATGAAAAGTTGTTAATTTAAATTTGAAGTTGTTAATTAAACAAATATAAAAAATCATGTCACATGTCCAAAATAAGAATTGGCCCCTTTCATATATATAATTCTGATTACATTCAAATAAAAACGCCATGTGATGTCAAACAAAAGTAACGCGGTCGTGGATCAAAAGTCAGAACTCAAACCCAAAAACCATTTGCTGTCTATCTGTATTATTAAACGCGGTTTGGGGTTTTTTTTAGAAAGACAAAATATGTCTAGAGAAAAACAAACAATTCAAAATTGGCAAATTGTAATCGAGATCTTCCGGGCCACTTCCATATCCATTGTTCATAGTCACTTATTGACCCTACCTCTTTCATATCATTTAGGTATTAGTTAGCCATTCTACATCAAAATTCATACTAATTATAGGCTTATCACCTAGATATAAATATATATCAGGTATTTTTACAGTTGATTGCAGTTGTCCGCTAAAAATCGAAGTAATATATATGAGTATACCTAAAAACATAACATAAATATAAGATGTAACAAAATTGTTACAAAAAATAATAAAAGATGTAACAAGTTTGAGACTGATTGAGTTTTTTTTTTATTATTAAAATAAAGTTATAGGCTATGACCATAATCACACAAATTTTAAATGAGATTACAAGTAGGAAAAATGAAGATGAACATATAATAAAACAGTAACAATTTTCACTTCACTTAAGTGTTTAGGATAAGAATACCTCTAGCCACCACCACCTCTGTTTACACGTCTTTGGTTTCCATATCCACGACTTGTAGGTTACTAATGCATTTATTTAGTCTTTGTTGATGGTTTAACTGGTCCTTACCGAAATATTTTGTCGAACATGTGTCATAAGATCTATCGAATCAGTCTCTTTTTCTGAGTGTAATACCGAATAGATCTATAAAGCAAAGCTATACTACTTTTCTTTTGGATCAAATAAGTTAGTGTTTTGTCATAAATTAATCATCAAATGAATCATTATACTAAAAAAATTCAAAACTAAACATAACGATCGGATTATCAAAATTGACTTGAAGATAACATTTTTTTTTTCTTACGAGTCTATGGTCACAATAGTAGTGGATTTCAAATCTACATGACTACATCTAATTCATATGTGTTATACTACACTATAATTTTGTTTTAAATTATATGATTTTCTAAACGTTCAATGCCCAATTTATTAAAACTCATATATTATAACCATTTATATTATATATTGGTTTAATTGTGTTTCTGTATATAGGTAATGATGTTTTTGTTTAAAAGCAGTTAAATACTCCTTCCGATTTCATAAAACTTGATGTTTTAGAAGAAAAAAAATGTTTCATAAAACTTGATGTTTTAGTCTTATTTAATGCACTTCTTGTTGGAAATAGTTTAACTTTTAGGTGAGAGAAATTAGAGAGAATAGATGATGAGTCTTTTAAAACATCAAGTGTTTTCTAATAGACAAAAGAGAAATAATAAATATATACAAAAATATTTCTTAATATCTGTGTTTTTTCTAGAACATCAAGTTTTTTGAAACAGATGCAAGAGCCTAAAACTGTATACATAGAGGAAGTATAATTCGAACTCTCTTTTTTATCATACTATTAATTAGAGGGTTTGACTTTGGCAGCCGATCGAAGTATGGATCAACTAATTATTGATAAGATTTAAATCCGTTGAGACACAGTCAACACTTTTAACCTAAGTATAAGGATGAAGGAGGGAAAAGTCAAGACTTAACAGTATAGAACAAGTTAGCTACCATATGCTCTAAGGTCTTAAACATTTGGTATTTCGCATTAACTCGTTTCGGTCGTCGGTGCATTTGAAGTACCGACACGACAGTACACATGGCAAATTATATCTTCAATTCTCGGAAAAAAATAAATGCAATTATTTCAAACTTTAAATTTTGAAGATGGATACTAAGCAGACCTTGATGAGGACGTTTTAGTACAGTAGTTTTGTTAGATTCCGTCCAGACATAAAGGTTTTGATTTCGATTTAGGTCATTTACTAGTGTATTTTTTACCTACTACGTACTACTCATTAAAAAGAAAACATTTCTTGAAGGTCCTGTGACCTAACAAGTGGCATATAAAATTTCTCAACAAAATAACTTTATGGTAATCATTTTATTAAATGAAGCAAAACAATAAAGAAGAAAAAAAAAAAGAAAAAAAAAAAAAAAAAAAAAAGAAAAAAAAAAGAAAAAAAAAAGAAAAAAAAAATGTTTTCTTTCAACGTGTGGTTTCTGTATCCATCTATATAACAGAGGAGACAGCAATGGCTTTCTATGAACTTCTAAACCTTACTCTTGAAGACTCCTCTTTTACGCATTCATCCTCTACGTGAATAAGAACCTTAACAGCCATTTTCAAGGTAAAAGCTTCTTTCTTCTTCTTCTTCATAAGATGAAATCTCATTCGAATCTGTTAGATCTTTTTCAGTTCTTCCAATTTTCCGGATAATAAATCCTTTCATGTTGCTTCACAAACGAAACAATAAATTTTCCATTTCATATGGATCTCTAAACTCAGATATATAGTTTTCCATTTCATATTCATACTGATCTCCAAATCAGTTCATGGTCATTAATTAAGATTAGTTTACCTGTAACTAACAACTACGGTCGTAAAGTTACGATGCAAACATCTTGCAATTTTCTTGTTTTACCGAATCTTTGTCGGTCCAATAAATTGTGTATAAAATTGTATCAATCGAATTCTCTATATTTTCATGATGCCTCATTTCTGCCCCTCTCGGTGCCATGAATTACGGTCTGTTTTAAGTTTAGCCTAGAAAGGTATTTTTGGATACTCCGTAATTTACTTCATGGCACCCGGAGGGGCAGAAATTACGGAGCTACCGTTTAAGTGTTCATAGAGCTACCATATAAATAGCATTGAATACAAATGCAATCTAACAATATTAGTACTGAAGAAAATTCCAACTTGTACTTCTAATAAATCGTGTATTGATTATTGACTAACGACGAGTAACGAGTAAGTAATTATGCCTAGTATTAAATGCCATTTTATATTTTTCGAAATTATACTCCAATATATTTTCGTTGGACTGACTACACTACACCCATCGAGGTAATAACTACAGCCAACTTTAACACACACACATGGCCCCTGGTTATTTTGTTCCCCGAGTTTTTGGTACACCAATGGACCTATATGGTGATATCTGTTTTTTAATACACGCAATTCAAATAAGTTACTACACACCCAAACCTAGTAAAAAACAAATAAGTAATTTACCTATATACTCCAGATCCGATCCGATCACACATCGTTATCTCAAACCTTTTGTCGGAACCATTCTCGAGAGTGTTTGGGAGAGAATTAACACTCTAGTCGTATTTCTCAAAATTATAACCACGATAGTAAATATATCCGTCTGACAAATTTCTCTATATATACATTTCAATCGTGCGCTTATTTATCTATTTCATTTCAGGATGGGGAGGGCAAAGCAATTATGGTCAAGTCTTATAGTGTTAGCTGTTGTGGTGATCGGAGCCGGAGCTGTGCCCATCACATATATTGATTCCGCCGTGGCTAAAGGAGCCGGTACGCAATTTTTTTATTTTCTTTTCAAGCTGCATAGGCTGAAATACATCGAAAATTCATATTTTTAATTGAATTTATAAAAAATGTTGAAAGGAAAAAATGAAATCAAACCGAACCAAAATAAAATTCAGTCTTGGAACAAACCTGTCTCTTTTTAATCGAATGCCAAGGCTAATCGATCTTACAAATTTTTAAAAGATTGGACAACTTCTGATGGGTTACAACTTACAAATAACTTGTGTTTTCAAACATGTTCTTGGATTATTGTTGTTTGGTATTATACCACTCGTGTTATTTTTTTCAGACTACTTTTTCACCTTTTCTTTAATATTTTGTATTTTCAAATCAAACTTGAGAGGTTGATATTTTTCATTTGAATTTTCTTTCTGAAATTGTTTCGGATCAAAAGTTTTTTCATTCCAAAATATTTCGGATCGAACTCATAAATTTAGTTACTATATTTTTGTAGTATGTTTGGATGGTAGCGCACCAGCGTACCATTTCGATAAAGGGTCTGGTTCAGGAGTGAACAATTGGATCGTTCATATGGAGGTAAGTTAATTAGTTTTATCTTCTGATAAAAAATTATGATGTAGAAACATAATTGGGTTAATAAATTAAACTGACGTGTGTATATATTAGGGAGGAGGATGGTGCACTGATATAACTACATGTGTACAACGTAAAAGTACAATGAAGGGTTCGTCTAAGTTAATGAACAAAGACTTTGGTTTCTCTGGTATCTTGGGTGGCAAGCAAAGCACCAATCCAGGTTCTTACTTACTTTTCTCATTTTGTTTATGATTCGATGATTTTGTTTCTCATGTGTTTTGATGCAATGAGGTTGAATAGGATTTTTATTTTTTTTATTCTCAGATTTTTATAACTGGAATAGAATCAAAGTTCGGTATTGCGATGGTTCATCTTTCACTGGTGATATAGAAGCCGTCGATCCGGTTAGTAAACATTACTACTTGAAGTCGTTGATTTGGATTTTATCATTTAAAATTTTAAAAAATCATACAATTATTCATTTCTTTTTAGATGAAATTGTGAATTTTGTATGAAATTTTTCAGGCAAACAAGCTGTTCTTCCGGGGTGCTAGGGTTTGGCGGGCAGTGATCGATGATCTTATGGCTAAGGGAATGAGCAACGCTCAAAACGTATTAAAAAATGAAAATATTTTCATAAATTTAAAATGTTTTAATTAGTGACTTTTGTTTAGAGATTTTTGGTTCCCTCAAATTTTTCAGGCAATACTTTCCGGTTGTTCAGCCGGAGCATTGGCTGCTATTCTGCATTGCGATGAATTCAAGTCCATTCTCCCCAAAACGGCTAAGGTCAAATGTGTTTCGGACGCCGGTTTCTTCATCCACGGGTAACACTCATAATCTTCGTACATAACCCTAACAACATGCTAGAAAACGAAATAACGATTTTAATCAGTTGATTCCCATTTCTTAAACAGTAAGGATATCAGTGGAGGATCTTACATCGAATCTTACTACGGTAAAGTCGTAGCGACCCACGTACGACCTCTCTCTCTCTCTTTTCCGACCACATTTCTCTTAGACATTAGCCTCTTTCGGTCGCGGCTAATCTTTGACCACTGTGTGCAGGGATCTGCAAAGAGTCTTCCTGTTTCTTGCACCTCAAGTATGAAGCCCGAATTGGTAAATCTCTATTAAATCATCATTCATATAGCATTATGCCTTTTTGTGTGTTAGTTACATCGAATAAACACTATGTTTGGTTGTTTTTCCGCAGTGTTTCTTCCCACAATACGTTGTTAAGACCTTACAAACACCACTTTTCGTCATCAATGCCGCCTTTGATTCTTGGCAGGTTCGTATTAATTTTCATCTCATTATTGATCCTTCCGCATAAATACTAAACCATCGAGATTTGATTAAGGATTAATTTTCTTTGTTTTGCAGATCAAGAACGTTTTGGCACCAACTTCTGTTGATAAACGCAAAGAATGGAAGGATTGTAAGCTTGATCTTAAGAAGTGTACATCCGCTCAGCTTCAAACCGTTCAAGGTATATAAATGAAGAAAATTAGTTAAGCCGGAACTAACCTACAGATCTGGTTTGATGTTTATTACCTGAGTCAATTAAATATGTTTATTATATCTCTCAGGGTATAGAGACCAAATGTTGGCTGCATTGGCACCGGTTCAAGCAACTACGACGAGAGGATTGTTCTTAGACTCGTGCCATGCTCATTGCCAAGGCGGAAGTGCCGCTACTTGGTCCGGCGCTCAAGGCCCCCAAGTCGGGAATACGGTAATTCAAAATTCAACATAAAATTAGAGAGAAATACGATAAAATACCACGCACACAATTTTCAATTCCAAGAATACTACAGTTTTGGAAAAGTTTTCAAAAATACCACATTTTCCTGACTTTTTCTGCATACTTTAAACACTAATGAATGTGGTACGCTTTTTAGGAACTTTATTTACGGGATAATTTTACAAAATTAAACATTAAGCATTTTGGTTTTTTGTTTCTTCAGAAAATGGCGAAGGCGGTTGGAGATTGGTTTTATGAAAGGAGCACATTTCAGAACGTAGATTGTCCACTGCTGAATTGCAACCCTACTTGTCCTGCAGTATCTACTGAAGACTAAAACTTATTTGTTGATGTTTTAAGAGTGGAAGAAGTTATTCATCTTTGGAATATTGTTCTTGAAATTTAAATATGATGTATAATTGAATTAATCCAATTATTTATATATACATTCTACGAATAAATAGAAAAATTCGCATTGTATTACTTTTCAATAATGTAACTGATCTTAAAATATTATTCTTGTCGCATTAAGTTTACTGACAAAAGTTTAAAGTATGATTAAAGAATCATTGTTATATGTTCTTGGGAACATAAAGCTTTGACTTTGACCACATTGACAGAAGTTGCAATCCAGAAACAAAGATGCTCATGTAACACAAACAAATCAATGGATTTACTGGTTTCTTACAGATATGATGGATCAATTAAGTACACACAAGTTTACATTCTTTACCATATGAAAGTGTAATCTTTTCTCTATCAAGTGTAAGCTACAAACAACAAGCAAAAACACAACATTTTGATTCAATTACAGACAAAAACCAATGAACGTTCTTGGTCTCTTGCAGAATCAGACTGTAATCACTAATCAGTGTTGCTCAGGTGATGGATCATGTCTACAAATGTCTCCTCTACACAGCGGACATACCCTGCAATGCCATACATACATCATCAGATCATTTAGACACCAAAGCGGCAAAAAAGTTGTCACAAGAAAAAACCAGATGCATTACCTGTGAATCTCTTTAAGCCATTTATCCACACATGTTCTGTGAAATTCATGATGACAAGGAAGTGTCCTTATAGTGTCTCCTTCTTCATACTCAACAAGGCATATAAAACATCTGAAATTTCCACATAGAAAAAACGTTACCGAAGAATGTTTCGAGCAAGGCAATTACAATAATGGGATATTAGCAGGCCTTACTGTGATGAATCCTCGCTTTGTGACTTGGTATACACTTTTGTAGGTAATAAGTCCACAACGTCGTTAGGTGCAGGAACAGATCCTATAGATGATACTGATGGTTGTTGAGAAGATAAGACAACAGATTGCTGATGAATCTCATCAAGAACCTAAACCAAAAACGTAAAAACCCTTATTAGCATTACAAGAAGATAGAGCTGTTCATGTGAAGATCAAGGACATGATGTGTTTTTACCTCGAAGAGAGCTTCAGCTAGCAAAACTATCCTTGAGATGCTAGCTCTTGCATTCGTTTCATCGCTTGTTGTTGCTGTTGTTGAACCTCGGTTAGTAACCGCACGGCATGTGCAGCGACCTGCTTGATCTTGACCTGATAAGACACAAGACCTCTCATGATGATGGCTTGTGACACTCTCAAACCGGCTTCCTAATCTTTGTAGAGCGCGAACCTGTAGAGTTAGTGACATCAGTTATTTTAGATCTTGATTTGACCAGAGACAGATCAAAGAAGTAACAATCGAGACGAGTTTTCAAACCTGAGATCTTATTCTCCTCCTCCTCTCAAGGAAATCTGATCTGTGCTCTAACAAACCTTGGTACCTCCCTTCTCTCACAAGAGGACTCGGCATCTCGTGATCTTGAATCCCAAACAAGGTCCTTCGAATGGTAGAAGCGGAGCGGTTTAATATAGACGTTGAAGTCACAGGAGTATCCTCTCCCGCTGCGGTATCAGCAGAGAAGAGATCAGCGTCGTCTTCTCCTTGATGTGGCGAAGGACGGAATGAGAAATCAGAAGACCGGCGAAGAACTCTGTCACGGAGTCTTCCAACACTCAGCGTTCTGCTAAACCGAACGTTCCTGTCAATGGAAGGCTCCCGAACAACAACGTGTCTTCTATCAACATTAACTACTCTCGGAGAACGTAAGCTACTCATGGCGTTGATATCTCTAACTACATTGTCCATCACAGGAGACTCGACTCTATCAGTGAGCCTAATAGCAGATTCTGAAGGTGAAGTCACACCTTCTTCTCGAGAAGCAGTGTTGAAGGATCTTGAGCTTGAAGCTCTGCTGAGCCTAGAGCTTATGTTACCAGGAATGAATTTGAAATGCGAGAAGACACGACCTGGAGCAGTAGAAGAAGATTCTTGAATCGAACCGCTAACGTTTCTCGTATGTACATTGCTTACAGTTGCTGCTTCTTCTTCTTCTTCTTCTTCAACACCACCGTCATCATCAAGCTCAAGCTCAAGCTCATCACAATGTCTTCCGTTTTCAGATTTATCTTTCAATTCTTTATCATAGCAGTCTTCTTCTGCATCTGTTTGGTTTCTTGATTCCATTCTACGCCGTGAAACACTTCCGTTACTCTTTCTCATCCATCCATTGCATACCTGAAGAAATCAATGATTTTTACCTAATTTCAGATTTTGTTTTTTTTTACCAAAATCAATGAAATTGAATTTAAAAATATCAAAATCAAACCTGTTCATCATCATCGTCACTGTCGTGAGAAGTAGAAGATGAAGCAAGGCAAGAAGAGTGAAGAGAACAGAGCATACTCATTGATCTTCTCCTCCTTCCACAACCACCACTCGAAGACGACGGAGGTTGCGCCACGCCGGAATCTTCTCTCACCGTCGACGACAACGACGAGCCTTGAAATGATTTGCTTCGCCCAGATCCCATCTTTTTCTCCCTTAAAGCGAACAACTTCCAGCTCAAAATTACATCATTGCCACAAGCTTCCCATCTTCAAAGCCAGCCATTCAATCTCGAAGTCAAAATCCAAAAATCAAAACTTTTTCTTCAGATCTTCGCATTGAAACCCGAATTCGTCGTCGGCAATGCAGGAGGATCGAAAGCCCTAAAAATTGAATTTTCAGATCTGAAACTCGATCGAGAAAGGGGGGAAATAATGCAAGAGTACCTCGAAAATGCGAAGTTTTTTTTTTTTGTGAAGATTTAATGTAGCAACTAAGCTACGTATGCTTCTTTGTCAAAGAGAGATGCTTTGAACAAAAGGAAACAATTTTTAATTTTTTTAGGTGATCGGAGTTATCGAAGAAGGAGACAAAGCACCTATCTGCGATAGAGAGAGAGACTTTTACGGGAAGAGTGTGTATTTGATGTTCGAAGAAGACAAACTCCCATTTCTTTAATTTTAATTTTCTCTCCTTCTTCAAACTATTTTAACGATTTTTTTATAATCTTTTATCAATCATAATTGGACTCGATTGACGACTATAATTGAGGAAAAAGTTTGAAATGGTTACTAGAGTTGAACTATTGGAAAACCAAAATTGTAAGAAGAAAAAAAAAAATTATGAATAAACCTCAAAAAAGTAACATTTGTCCCTTACACATAATATTAAAAATTTTGAGAAAAGAAAAACAGCTGTAAATTAAATGAAAAACAAAAAGAAAGAAAAATTATACTCCTTCCACTACTTAAAGATAATTTTTTTAGTTTTTTCACACAAATTAAGTAAAAATTGATTTCCAATCATTATTGTATACATTTTTGCAATAAACAATTTTCTACAATTTTAAACAAATAAAAATCCATTAAATACAATTAATCTTTCTTGAAATCTGAAAAAGTGCATAAAAAAATTAGAAATTTTATCTTTGTGAGAACATCAAAAAATTGCTAGAAAATTCTATTTTAGGAACGTAGGGAGTAGGAATGTAGGATACTCGTTTGATTGTATTCTGTAATTGTTTCCGGGACAATGTCAATTGTTGATACGAGTGTTTAGCTAATACTACTAGAAGTTTTGGTGTGTTCAATACTTTTCTGGATCTTTAGCTTATGATTTCATTTAAATTTACATTTTTCATATATACAACTGAAATTTTTGAGCAAGATTACTAAGACATCTATTGGATTTATAGTAATCATATATAGCTACGTTTCATTATAGCTTATAAGTATTGTTTTACACTATTTGTTTTTTTAATATTACTTAAACATTTTAATTAATATGAACATCTAAGTATTATTACTTCTACTAATATAGTAACTAGAGATTATACCCCCGCGCAAGTGCGGGGTTGTTTTTTGGTTAATTATCATTTATATATTTCTAAAAATATATTTTTACTAATTTTTCTTTGTTATTCTGTATAATACTCCGTTATGTTTATTTTATTTGGTCTTCTAATTTTTTCAAAGATTTAGCAACTATTTCTAGGATTTATTAGTATTTATATGAATATTTATACCGAACAGAACTTTTCAAAAAAAACCCGAACAATTTCTATATCTCTATATCTCTATAAAATTAGGTATGAGATTTTCACCGAACCCGAACTTGTCTAGAAAACCCCAAACCAAACCCGAATCAGAAATTTAAAAAGCATGAACGGTTTTTATATCACTAAACTTTAAAACCAAAAAAAAACTTTAAACCCGAAAATCCAAAATCATATTCTATTGATTTGGTATTATCGATAGATTATGTTAAGTTTTTTTTTTTTTGCAGATTTTTAAGAGCTGGAAAAAGGAAATTTTTTAAACCATTGGTTTGTTTTAAGTTGTTACTCTTGTATCCAAACAATTTTTCCATTTATTCTTTTATCTAAATAGCTTTTTCTCTTATTCTTGTATCCAAACATTACAATGTACAAAATTGACCCTCATTAAACCTATTGCCAAACACTTTCTCTTCATAATTAGATTGATTTTTTGGTCAGAAAATTTTCATGTACTTCTCAATTAATAATATAAATATTCTATAAGTTAGTACTCGATAAATTAATAAACTCAATTGTAAAATAAATTTCTCGGGTTCCAAGTTTGATCAATATAAAATATAGCACAAATCGATAGGAGAATAAGCTAATAATTTGTTAAGTATGTAAATATATAGCCCCATTAATATCGTAAATTAATAATTTCCATATACAAATCTTATACAAAAATATAACCTATGATAATATAGTAAAATATAAGTATAATATTGTTTGTTTTTATTTAAAGTAAAATATTTTTAAAACTCATCTCTAATTTTAGGTTAAAACTTCCGGAAATGTTATAATTTTTTTTTTTGTCAACAGCCTCTATTTCTAGACCAGCTCGAGTATCTAAGCTGGTGAAACAAAGTTTACATAATACACATCAGTAGGTAGAGCTCGAGCACTCCGTGCTAACTTGTCTGCCTTCGTGTTTTTCGTCCTAGGTATGTGCATGATGGAGAAGGAGGTAAATCTCCGTTTACATCGGTCAACCTCGTCAAGAAGAATTGCGAACGCCGGCCACTCCTCTGGCTTAAACAGCATCTTCACCACATCGGAACAATCCGTTTCAAACAACATTTTTAATTTGTTATACCTTAACATGCATTGCATAGCCCAAATAAGGGTCTCCAGTTCACTCTGGAGGGTCGATATTCCTCGCCTCATATTGCAAGTTCCCATGAGTTTGTCCTGTGTATCCGTGATGACATAATACCAGCCCAACCCGGCTCGACGTTCCATCTCCTTCCAAATCTCATTCACTTGACAAATGTCTCCCACTCGAGGAAATGTTATAATTTTTAAAACATATTTATGGGTTTGGAAATTCACACTCAAAATTTGTAAGTATTTTATAAGGGAGGAACTATAGTGGAATTAAAATTAGATCCTCTTATAAATCGAACAAGGTATAAACGAGTTTTGGTGAAATGAACTTGTATTAATCGAATGAAATAACTACAAAATATGTATGAAGAAGACAAAGTAAAATAATGAATTCGACTAAGTAAAAACTAAGGAAATGTGTTCTCTTGTGAAAGTGAAAGAAGATGTGGAAAAGAGAGATTTATCTTCAGGATTGAAATCGTCTATAGCTATTGAAATCGATCTTAACCATCTTTGCATATCTTGCTCATTTGCAGTTGCCGAATCCCGCTATTTCTGAATTTGATCAACTGTAAATGTTTCTCGGATTTATTAGTATTTATATGAATATTTATTATATTTTTAGTACAAAAAACAGTTGTTTAGTAAACTTAGAACTTCCTGTAGTCATCATTGACCTTCTGATTCTAAAGTCGTCAAAGTTATTATTAACATCATCATGAACCATATCCGCCTCTTAACTACACTCAACCACTGCGTCAGTCACCTTTAAGCCATGCTTTTTACCATTTTTCTTCTAACATTTTTAAATAAAACAATTTGAACTACATTTTCATGTACAATTATAAATAAACTTATAATATTTTTATATCCTTTTAATTTGTAATTCTTAAAAAATATATGTTGTTTCATATATTATTTTAAAATTATTAATTTTTTCTTATTTATAGTTATCTTTATATATTCTGAGTTATCAAGTTATATAAAAAATGTCTCATGACTTTTATAAATCATCTAATATCTATTAATATTCTTAATTAATATTTTCAATATTTTATTTTGTGAAATATATTTTAGGCTTTTTGGTAAATAATACTTCATCCGTTTCAAATTAGTTGTCGTTTTGGCAAAATGTATCTGTAAATATTTGGACGTATCTGGACGTATTTTGCATTGCAGATACATCCAAATATTTGCAGATACATTTTGCCAAAACGACAACTAATTTGAAACGGAGGGAGTATATTTTATTGTAAGGAAATATAATAAAATTAAACTGTGTAAATTAATTGATTGACTAATTTTAATTTTAATTGTTTGTCATTTACTATTTTCTTCTCTTTTGTTTTATAATTTTTGATTAAATGTGAGACCCACTATCTATATAAAATTATGCTGATGTGAAAGCCTAAATAGAGAGAGCAACTCTCTAATTATATACTCCCTCCGTTTCAAATTAGTTGTCATTTTGGCAAAATGAATCTGTAAATATTTGGACGTATCTGGACGTGTTTTGCATTACAAATACGTGTCAAAATATTTGCAGATACATTTTGTCAAAACGACAACTAATTTGAAACGGAGGGAGTATAAGATATGAGTATTGTTTCCAGGCGTTGAATCAAAAAAGAGGAGAAAAAAAAAGTATGCGTGTGTGTGAAGATAAACCTTAAACAAAAAAATCTACTTATAAGCTAGGATGGGGGCTTTCGATTTTGTCAACTTAGGATTAATTAAGACTTGACTGATTATGTTGTGAAGTAGTTAAACGTAAAACTTAGTAACAAAGCAATTAGTTTCCTCTTCTTGATCATGAATTCATCTTTGTTGCATCTCATCACCGGTCATTTGTTTTCACACATCTTTCAGGTTTTTAATTCATGTGTTGTGGTTATTCGATCACGTAATCAAATTTCATTCATAGAAACGACAGTAAAGAACAAACGATGGAATTTGATTACGTGATCGAATAACCATAACACATAAATTAAAAAGCAGAAATAAACTGACACAAAGTCTGAAAAAAGAACAAAAATATTACACATTGATATTATAGAAGCTAAAAAAGTTTTAAAATATTATATTTAAACCATGTCTGCATTATAAAAATGATAATTTATAGGGGAGAAAAATAACTAATATCACAAACAAGATTTCACAATGATATATAAACCCAAAACATAATCCGAAAAAAGTATAGGAAATAAAACCAACAAAACATCACAAAATTAGATCTAATACATGTTCTTTAAAATTTCAATATTTTTATTTGAATTTTACAACAAACTTTCGAATAAACAGGACACATAGTAAATTACAATTTTACAAAAATTTAACTTAGTACTCCAAATAATATGAAATATAAATAAATACTCCCACAGCGTAACGCGGTCACATTCCTAGTTATACAAACACAAATGTAGTATAAATAACTAAAGAGATAAGATAAACTTTTTCAATTCAAATATGTAATTACTGGACATTAAAACTACTCTCCCTTGACAAGTATCGCTTTGGCCTCTTTCAGTAGACGTAGCACATTTCTCATGTTAATTCGTTCACCAGCTGCATACCTAGTGCAAGCCAAGCCAACTTCCACAATTTTTGTAACACAATCAAGTTTTGAATGAAGTTGTGCACCAGAAATATCGATGAGTCCCTTGAGTTTAGGATCAATCACTTCCATAATTTCATTCTTCTGGAACCCGTGACTTATCCAATTTACTAGACTTTGATCTCCTTCGAAGCTCCCGTCCATTGGGTTTTTTCCACTCAAAAGCTCTAACAATATCATGTAGGAGCGCGAAAATCCAGATTGAAAAATACGAATGAAATTCTTATATAATAATAATATATAGTAAGAAATCCGATTGAAAACAGACGAATACACAGAGGCGAGATTTTATCTCTTTCCTTAACTCAATAAATCTCCCGCAGTGTGGCGGTTTTGATGAGACTTTTGAATCCCAGGATACAACTGTGTGAGACTATAGTTGCAACACCCAACTACAGAATCTGCGAACTAAATAACTACGCTATACTCTCGAGACTTACTTTTAGAGAAGAAAGGAAGAGATGTGAGAGATTTGCTGGAGTGTTTGATTTTTGAATCAATGATTGAATGAATTGTGAATGAATGAATAATGAGAGAGGTGAGGCCCTTTATTTATAGGTGATAGGAGACTTGCTCTCCAAGGAGGAAATATCCTTTTTTGATGTTTACCAAAAGAGATAAGGAATAATTCCATTAAAGGATAATGAATAATTCCATTAAGGGATAAGGAAGAATTCCATTATTCCATTAAGGGATAAGGAAGAATTCCATTATTAATTTCTTGTTTATCAAACAGAAACTGAACTCAATCTTTCTAGAAGTTTCTGGAAGATTTATTCTTGACATTATTCTTTTTTCCAATTTGGGACAAATGAAGTGCTCCTTCATTTAACTCACTTAACTTTCTCATTAATTTTACATGAGCCTAAGCCCATTTCTTTTCACACTTGTCCACAATTTTATTCAGCCCATTTGGCTTAAAAATTTGGTTCCAACAATCCCCCACATGAATAGAAATGACTCTAAAACATATGCAGACTCTACTAACTCGAAAGACTATAATGCAGACTCTACAGACTGACAGAAGGACTTTACGAGAGTATAGGAAAATTAACTGTATATGATGTAGTAGCATGTTTCAGCCTTGAACTAATCACTGTTAATAACTGTCGGGTTTACTTAGCCAGGAGGTGAACACGATGTCTTGAACCACCCGGATGTTTATGTAAACCGAGACAACAGCTATAACCCAGCTTCATTTCCTCGTAGAACTTAGTTCTCTATTGCGTTCATTGTGGCCTTGAACTTTTCCTGGTTGATCATGAGTGAACTTAGAGAATATAGCCTGACTTCATCCTCCTAGAAACGGCCGCATTTCACACTCACTAGGTGATTTCATTGAGCTCCTGTCATATAAGAAAAGTATCCTGTTAGTACTCCTTGTATATATGAAAGCTACTCATATCATTAAAAGCAACGCTTATCCTTTAAACTTACAGGAAGCACTGTGCATCATTTTGGGAGCTGGGCTCAGACATATTGTCTTGCAGTGCTGTAAACAGATTCTGTTTGATTTAGTTGTCCCTTTGAACCAGCCTTTTGGGATCTCCAATCGCGAAGGTTGGGTGTCCATCAAACATCCTCTTTTTTCATAGGCAAAAGACCCATTCCCTTAGATGATTTCAAAACTTGATCTCTTGTCAAACCTTTTGTAAACGGATCCGCTAGATTATCAGCTGACTTAATGTAATCGACCGAGATTACACCGGTTGTGATCAAGTGTCTAATGGTTTTATGTCGTCTCCTGATATGACGAGATTTACATTATAGAGAGTGTTCAGTGCCCGGGCTATAGCCGACTGGCTATCACAGTGTACACGCAGTGCCGGTATGGTTTCTCCCACATAGGAATATCTTCCAAGAAATTCCGAAGCCACTCTGCTTCCTCTGCTGCTTTGTCTAAAGCGATGAACTCAGATTCCATTGTTGATCTTGCCAGTAGAGTTTGTTTGGAAGATTTCCAAGATATTGCTGCACCTCCTAGTGTAAAGACATATCCACTTGTGGATTTTGAGTTCTTTGAGTCCGATATCCAGTTAGCATCACTGTATCCTTCCAAGACTGCAGGTTCTTTACCATAGTGCAATCCATAACTTTTAGTGTGTCTCACATAATTTAACACTCTTGTTATGGCTTTCCAATGTATATGACCAGGATTTAGAGATGTCAACATGGTCCGCGGCCCGCAGGTTAGGTCCGTTTAGGCTTGCTACGGGGCGGGTTCGGGTCGGCATTTTCAAACCCGAAAATTAGCGGGCCTCGCGGTCCAACCCAATTTCGGCTTGCGGTTTAGGCGGATATATCCGCGGCGGTTGGGCGGGTTTTCGGGTCACCGCAAAAAAAAAAAAAAGCTTTCTCTTCCCATCTTCCGACTTCCGAGTTCCAAGTTCTGCATGCAGAGCTTAATGGATCGAGCTTAATGGAGGGACAAATTTCACTCCAATGAAGCCATTTTTGTTAGTAAAGGACTGAATGGATGGACGATGGATGGAGCTCTGTTTTCTGCTGCAACACATCATCGTTTTGTTTCTACTTGCGTCTTCGTTCCTCGTTCGTAATGAATTCCGAAATCAAGGCTTCATTCAGGCCGCTACGGAGCTCCATCCAACTTCTCAATCGACGATTTTCACTCCACTTGACGATATTCACTTCTTCAATCGACGGAACCAAACCGACGTCTCCACAGAAGACTCCTTCCTCGTCGTACCAAGACCCGACCTTTACAGTGAAATCGTGAACGGTCTTCTCTGCAGCAGCTCTAACTTGAACGTTGAAATTCCAGGACTTGAAGAGAAACCCAGGATTAATCGGAGATTTGAGAGAAAACCCATTACTCAGTCGCAGCGGTGTAAACAATTGGAGGATCGGAGCTATGGCGATGCAAGCCGGAGTTGGCTTATCCAGTATATTGCTCTTAGCCGGAGAAGGTATGTTACTCGCTCCTGATACGCGTTTAGATAAATGCTACTTCTTTTTGAAATTGGTAGTTGATGAGTTTATATCACCAAAATGACACTTTGGTGATGATCCAGGTGGTGTGAATGAAGCTGCAGGCAACAATCAGGTAAACAGAGAGATATTGAGAATGAATGTGCGTATATAAAGCTTTGAATTAGAGTAAGACGTTAATGGAGTTCTCTGTTTGAATCGTTTTCTCAGGCTGGTTAAGCTCTAAATATATAAAAGCATGTGTTGATCTTTAGCTACACAATGGAGTCATGGGCTGAAGTAAAGCAACCATCTTTGAATTATTCAGGCATTGTATTGTATGTTTAAACTATAAAGTGAGTATTTTGATTGATTTTGTTGCAGTTTATACTCAGTTTATTGGAGGAAGTTGTTCAGAAGCCAACTATTTTGATTGGAAACTCTGTTGCAACTTGCAAGCCTCGCTTGTGTCATCGCTGCCTCAGGTCTGATCTTATTATTCCTGTTTTGCTCAAGTGTCAGCTATCAACATACTAAGTATCACTGCTTAATTATTATGGCTGCATCCATATGTCTTTCCCCTTGATATAAACACTGTTACTTCACTCGTACTGTGGTTGCTTATCTGATCTTATTATTCCTGTTTTGCTCATTATATAGTGCAAAGCCAAACACTCTTAAAGATTTAGTACCGAACATTATTATTCTTTCTGCTTCTCACTCTTTGCCATCATCATCTTCTGTCAAAACTTCAAACGGTCTACGAACCATGATGCCATTCTTATAGTGACACATTCTTTTTATTTTTTCTCATAGAGGTCCTTGGGGTGCTCTTTCACCGATGCCTGAGATCAATGCCTCTTGCAGGTGATTTAATCACACTCTCCATTAACATTGCATCATTTTGTTGTATTTCTCTCTTGACGAAACATTTCATTATGTTTGTTTGCTGTAGTTTATGCGAGAATACACAGGAAAAGTCGATGAACTCATAAAGGACAAGATCGAAGCTCAGAAAGAGCAAGATGATAAAGAGGTTATGTGCAACAGGTATTTCTGAAACTTCTTATCAAGCACAAAACAAGATTGCTGCAGCAAAGTAAAAAGATTAAAAATGCTAAAATTGTTGTCATCTAACGTTGTCTTGTTTCTGCAGCCTCATTGCTTTATGTTTTCTCTATCGTCATGTAAGCTTCTCCACTCTCCATCATGGTAATAAAACTCTTTCGTGTTTCATGATCATTCTCTTATATAACTTAGGATAAAAAAAAGAATTTCTTGGGAATTCATTGTTTTTCTTTTAATGTGTCCTGCAGCGAAAGATAAAGGAGACTATTGATCATGGATAATGTCATGGAGAAGGCTTTGCGGGATAATGTCATGGATACCATGAAACTGAAACTATTGATCAGGAGCTTCTCTAACAGGTTTGTCTCAACTTTGATTTGACCAGTTTCCATAGTTTATCTGATCTTAATTTTTATTTTCAGAAACTGAGAACCGTTGATTATTTGAAATTTGGATATATTGTTTAGATTTTATTTTGTAAACCTTTTGCACCAATTAGATGCTCTCAAACATTAACCCTACTTAGAAAAATAAACCCTATTTTGTAAACCTTTTGCAAATCAAACGCATCTCTCTTTCTCCTGTGAACGGCTGACAAATCTCAAAAGCAGGAAGATGAGCTACGATCCGGTATTGCTTATTCCACTTTACTGTCTGTTGTTGAATGTTTGTTCCTTAAATTAGATACTCTGTTTCACTAATCCATAGCAGAAAACGTTTGATCTTATAAGTTATAACTACTAGTTGCTTTAATGTTTCTTAATGTAGTAAACTTATAACCGTTTGTTCTTATTAGTTGAATCCTTAAATTCTTTTAAGCAGGATACAGAAACATGGAGAAACATAGAAACCCCAGTTGAGTATGAATCAGATTATGTTCCTCCTTCTCTAGACGAAGTTGATGATGACATGAGGAGTTCTCAGAATTCACAGCCACAAAATCGTAAGAGAAAGGTCATTTCAGTTGAAGATTCTGATGATGGTGATGATGATGACGTTTTTGAAACTCAGAGAGAAGACTTCCCTGAAAGGAGAGTTGATGGGAGAGCTAATGCACCTCAGAAAAAGAAGGTGGTCTTTGGGGCTACAGTGAAATCTAATTCCCAACAGAAAAAGAAGATGACGTTTGGGGCCAGAACTAAAAATGGCAAAGGCAGTTCTTCTCAGAAAAAGAAGAAGGATTTTGGTGTTGATAAAGAAGATGAGATTGGCATGTCAAGTCAGCCGAGTAGAAAGAAGAAGAAGAAAGGAAAGGCTAGTGATAAGATGCCATCTTCGCAGAGTAAGAACAACACTGACAAGGATGAGCGGGATGAGAGTGAAAGTGACGATGAGGAGGGAAGTGACACTGAGCAGCAGAAAGAGAGTAAGAAGCACTCACCAGTGTGGGAGGATTTCGATACAATCATTAAGAAAGATGGAACACAGAAAGCACAATGCAAGCATTGTAACAAAGAATATGTGTTTCACTCCCACAATACTGGTACATCTTCTTTGAAGCGCCATCAACAGAGATGCTTGATTACTAAGAGTAAGAATGTGGCTAATATGTTGGTTACTGCTGATGCCAAACTTAAAGCAAGGAAGATTGATCAGCATGTTTTTCGCGAGATGGTTGCTAAGTCAATTATTCAGCATGATCTTCCCTTTTCTTATGTTGAATATGAAAGAGTCAGAGCTGTGTGGAAGTATTTGAACGATGATGTGCAAGTGATAAGTCGCAATACCGCTGTCGCAGATGTCATCAAATATTATGAGAATGAGAAAGCTGCATTGAAAAGGGAATTGAGAAACCTTCCTGGTCGGATTAGTTTCACTTCTGATCTGTGGACCGCAGTGACTGACGAAGGCTATGTGTGTTTGACAGCACACTACATTGACAGAAAATGGCAATTGAAGAACAAGATCCTAGTATTCAATGCTCTGCCACCACCACATTCAGGTATAAAGTTAGCTATGCATCTTCTTGAGATGTTGAAAGAGTGGGGAATTGATAAGAAGGTGTTTTCACTCACCCTAGACAACGCTACTAGCAATGATTGTATGCAAGATATCCTGAAATCTCAGCTGGTTTTGCGTGATGATTTGTTGTGTGGAGGAGAATTCTTTCATGTTAGGTGTTCAGCTCATATCCTCAACTTGATTGTGCAAGACGGTCTCAAAGTGATTGGGAGTTCCTTGCATAAAACCAGGGAGAGTATTAAGTATGTGACAGCTTCTGAATCCCGTGACATTCTTTTTAGAAGAAGTTGTGAATCTGCCCGTGTAGAGGAGAAGAGAGAATAGATTTTGGATGTGCCAACGAGGTGGAATTCGACTTATCACATGCTTGAGAGGGCTCTCAAGTATAGAGCTGGTTTTATCAATCTTAAAACAATGGATAAGAACTTCAAGAGTAGTCCTACAAATGAAGAATGGGATAGAGCAAAAGCCATATGTGATTTTCTGGAGCCGTTTGATGAGATCACGAAGCTTATATCAGGTTCGACATATCCGACTTCAAACATGTATTTCTTTCAGGTTTGGCAGATCCACAACTGGCTAAGAGTTAATGAGTACAATAGTGACGAGATTGTCAGTGAAATGGTCATTCCGATGAAAGAGAAATTTGATAAGTATTGGGTGGAAGTTAGTGATATTTTTGCAATAGCTAGTATTTTGGATCCTCGCTTGAAGCTCACACTTGTTCAATACTGCTTTGAGAGGGACTGTAGTTTCACTTGCAAAACGAAGATTGAGCATTTGCGAAGTAAGCTGAAGGTTCTTTTTGAAGCATATGAGAACAAACCAAAGTCTAACTCACCATCTACACAACAACGAGAATCTGATCCAATAGAGAATTTTGGTGAAGCAAAAACGAGTTAATTCAAAAACTACAATGTAAGTTTTACATCAGATTTGTATACTTCAAACATTTATTTACTTAACCATAGTTATTACTTATTAGTTTTGTTTTCATTAAGATGTGTTTTCTTGTTTTATGTTGTTCATTTCAGGATTTCTTCGCTTTTAGAAAGTCAAATGTTGCTGTTAGTGGAAAGTCTTCCCTGGATATTTATCTCGATGAACCGCCTCTTGATACAACCGATATTAAGAGCCTCCTAGATTGGTGGAAAGACAACTCAAAAAGATTTGGTGAGCTATCTTCTGTGGCATGCGATGTGCTTAGCATACCTATCACAACAGTAGCTTCGGAGTCTTCTTTAGCATCGGAGGTCGAGTTTTGAACAAATACCGAAGCCGCTTACTTCCTAAAAACGTTCAAGCTTTGATATGCAGTCGGAATTGGCTCAAGGGTTTTGAAGCTTATGAGAACGGTAAACAACAAAGCCTAGATACAACATTGTCTTATGCCATGTTAATATTCCATTTAACTTTCTCTTTCACACAAATGCAGAGGAGGCTGAAAACTTGGTGGAAGAAGATGAGACAAATACCGAAGCTGAAGCTACTGAGCTTAGCTGATCATCACAAATGCAGGTCTGTTTTGTTGTCTTTCTTTAGTTTCTTATGTTTGATCTTGTGAAATCCAGGAAAAGTAGACATGTTTGATTACTATGTTCTCTCGCAAGTTTGCTTGACCACTTAGAAGAAGAACTCAAACTTGACTGCATTGTTGTCTTGTAGATTTGGTTTGGTTTCATCATTGCTTGTGTTATTAGCGAAATCCCTTTGACTGTACAGAAAATTATCTCTTGGCTTTTAAATATACATGTCAATGTTTTCTGTTTCAGTTTGGACTTGTGCTGGTGAAGAGCAAATGAAAGTTGGGGAAGAGACATGTTTGGTGTTCGACTTTGTTCTCAAATTACAAACTTTTTCAGTTTTGGTTTGAATAAGATTTCATATTACTTTTGTTGCTTCTCAGATTTATGTTAACAATTTCTTTACTTTGCTATTGATCTCTGTTTTTCCTTTTGGTTTGATTGTTTGAATAATGCTTTGTGTTACACAATGAAGATTTCAGTTTTTGATTATGATGTCATGAGTGAGTTAGTTTGTGCTTTAGTTTTGACTCACGATTATGTGATATGTGTTTTAGTTTTCTCATGATTATAATGTCATGACTCATTATATCTCTGCATCAGAATTTTCAATATCTTGGTTCTGTTGTAACACTAAAACTGCTTGCTATACTTGTTTAGTAGCTCCATCTAACAACAGTTGCAGTCTTGCATTTCTATATCTTCTGCTTCTCAAAGACAGATTTTGTATCTTCAGTATATGCTTCTCAAAGACAATCAAAAACAGTAAAGAAACAGAATTTACAATTCTCTGTGGTTTAAATACAACCAAGCTAACATATAGCACTCATCTTCATCCATATAACAATTGACAACAAAATCCAAAATGGGTATCAAAGGAAGCATCTTATATACTCATCTGCACATCTTTTTGGCTCCAGACAGTAACAAAAAGTAAGTGAATAGCTCAAATGAAGCAAACCAAAACTGAAACAGTTAAGCCCGCGGGCTGACCCGCATAACCACCAATACCAAGCGGTGCGGATTAGGGCCGAGCTTTTGAAGACCGCGGCCCGCAGCGGTCCGACCCGCCTGATCCGCCGACAAAGTGAAACCGCGGCGGGTTGGCCCGTTTGGGTGCGGGTTGGCCCGTTTGACATCTCTACCAGGATTGCTTGTGTAGCGGCTTAATACATTCACTGCATGCGCTAAGTCAGGCCTGGTACAATTGGTTAAGTACATCAGACTTCCAATTATCCTTGCATACTCAACTTGTGACACTCCTTCACCAGAGTTTTTAGTCAAGTGCAATTGTGTATCCACTGGAGTTTTCGCAGTTCCATTCGAATACTTCTTGAACCGCTCAAGTATCTTTTCAGCATAATGCTCCTGAGATAAGGTGATTCCCTCAGAAGTCCTTGTGATCTTAATACCAAGAATAACGTCCGCAAGACCCATGTCTTTCATGTCAAACTGACTCTTAAGCATGTTCTTGGTTTGTTGGATTATATCCTTGTTACTGCCCATGATGAGCATGTCGTCAACATATAGACACAGCAAAACGTACCCACTGGGAGTGTTTGACGTAAATGCATTTGTCACATTCATTGATGCTGAATCCATTTGACATCATCACGTGGTCAAATTTTTCATGCCATTGCTTTGGAGCTTGTTTCAGTCCATACAGCGATTTCACAAGTTTACAAACTTTGTGTTCTTGACCTGGTGTCACAAAACCTTCAGGTTGTTTCATGTAGATTTCCTCTTCTAAATCACCATTAAGGAAAGCTGTTTTACATCCATCTGATGGATTTCCAGGTCTCTCAAAGATGCAATAGCTATCAATATTCTGATTGAAGTTATTCTCGTCACTGGAGAATAAGTGTCAAAGAAGTCTAGACCTTCAACTTGTCTGAATCCTTGCACCACAAGTCTTGCCTTGTACTTATCAATAGCTCCATCAGTTTTGAGCTTCGTTTTGAAGATCCATCTACACCCTAGTGCTTTAAACCCTGGAGGTAAATCAGTGATTATGTAAGTATGGTTCTGCAGAATAGAATCCATTTCACTGTTTACAGCTTCTTTCCATAAGTCTGCTTCTGGTGTAGACATGGCTTCAGAATATGTCCTTGGCTCATTCTCACAGAGAAATACCACTAAGTATTCATCACCAAATGATTTTTCCTTACGAACTCTCTTGCTACGCCTAGGTTCAACCTCATTTTCTTCTGCTTCATTTACTGAAGTACCAGATGTACTAGTCTCATTTGCAGGCACAATTGCGTCATGAGTTCGCTTCAGCTTCTGTCTATCTTTACATGGAAAGATATTCTCAAAGAATGACACATTCCTTGATTCAATAATTGTATTTGCATGGATATCTGGTATATCTGACTTGTGCACCAGAAACCGATAAGCACTACTGTTGTGCGCATATCCAATGAAAATACAGTCCACTGTTTTAGGCCCAATCGAAACCTTCTTAGGAGGTGGTACTTGAACTTTTGCTAAGCACCCCCACACTTTCAAGTATTTGTAAGAAGGTTGCTGAACCTTTCCAAAGCTCATATGGCGTTTTGCCAGTTACTTTGTGTGGTATTTTGTTGAGGATATAGTTTGTGGCTAGCAGAGCTTCCCCCCACAGATTCTGCGGTAGCCCAGATTCCTGCAACATTGCATTCATCATCTCTTTCAGAGTTCGATTCTTTCTTTCTGAAACTCCGTTAGATTCTGGTGAATAGGGAGCAGTGGTCTGATGTATGATGCCTTTCTCCTGACAGAAAGCATTGAAGGGTCCATCATACTCGCCTCCTCTATCACTTCTAACCATTTTAATGGTTTTTCCCAGTTGGTTTTCAACTTCAGTTTTGTATTCCTTGAATTTTTCCAAAACTTCATCTTTACTACGCAGCAAGTAGACGTAGCAGTATCTTGTACAATCATCTATGAATGTCACAAAATACTTTTTACCCCCTCTGGTTTGTACATATTCAAGTCGCACAAATCTGTGTGTATTAGTCCCAGAGGTTCAGTTGTTCTTTCGACATGAGGAGATGGTGTTTTAGTGAGTTTTGCTTGTACACATATCTCACATTTGTCTTTGTTTATTTTGCATTTTCGGAATTAGGTCAAATTCATCAGTCTTTCAATGGACTTATAATTTACATGTCCTAATCTTTCATGCCAAATATTAGAAGACTCAACCAAATAAGCAACTGGTTTCTTATTAATCAAATCATTGGAAACAGGTACAACATGTTTCTCTGGACTGGAGATACACACATCTTAATCAGTCCATCCTTAACAAAACCTTTTCCTATAAAAACACCATGTCTTCCTGAGAATCAGCTGGTCAGACTCGAAGTTGATGGCAAATCCATGCTTGCTCATCAGAGTGCCAGAAATCAGATTCTTCCTCATGTCTGGAACATGCTTCACATTGTTGAGTGTGAGCTCTCTTCCAGATGTCATCTTCAGGACCACCTTTCCAGTGCCTTCAATCTTGGAGTGGGACACATTTCCCATCAGCAGACGAGCATCTTCCTTGCTTTTCTGGTAAGTGCTGAACATCTGTCTGTCAATGCAGATATGTGTGGTAGCACCAGTGTCATACCACCATAGCATCGGATTCTCTTCAACCATGTTAGCTTCTGTAACAACAGCCACCATGTCATCCTCTGTCAAGTTGGCTTGGTTTTTCTCCTTGGCCTTGCTGCGACAATCGGCTCCGCGATGTCCAACCTTGCCACAGTGATTGCACTTCCCTGAGAATCCAGATTTCTTCTTTGGGAATTGGGGGCTTGGGCCTGTTTCTTAAAGCCCGTGGAAGCCTGATTAGCAACCTTGTTGAGCGGACCCTTGTTAGGGTTAAACCTGCCTTTTGGTTTGTTGCGAAATTCAGCCACATTCGCATCATGAGTCTGAACTGTTTCAGCTTTTCACGCTTCAGTGACTCATTCTGCAGCCTAGAAACAAGTTGGCCAAAGTCAAAGCCTTCTGCTTGAATGCAAGATAGTTCTTGAAGTCTGCCCATCCAGGGGGTAAGCTTCTCAATGAAGCAATTCACTGTGAAAGTCTCACAGATCTTCATTCCTTCATCTGATATCTCTTGGAGTATCATCTGCAGGTCATGCACTTGGTCCATGATGGGTTTTGAGTCCACCATTACGAAGTTGAGAAATTTTGCAGCAGCAAATTTTCCTGAGCCCACATTGAACGTCTTGTACTTCTTATCCAGGGCTTCCCACAGCTCCTTGGATGTTTTGACCTCACTGTACACATTGAACAGTTGATCCACTAGGCGACTTTGAATGTAACCTCTGCACAGGAAATCTCCTTGCTCCCAGTTCTCCAGAGTCATATGAACTCGTGGATCTGGGTTTGCCTCTTGAGTAGCAGGCACCTCAGGCTTTGTCTCAACAAGATACTTTGCCAGATTCAGCGTGGTAAGGAAGAAGTGCATCTTCTGTTGCCACTGCTTGAAATTCGTGCCATCGAATTTGTCAGGCGTAAGTGCTGCGCTTATGTTACTAGGCAAAGTTGGTGCAGCGAGTGCAGCCAGTTGACCCGTGACATTAGCCGCAGGCTGATCCCCCAGTTCCATTGTTGACAGTACCAGACATTATGGATCTGTTTCACAAAGACAGATTTTGTCAGTATTGTGGGGTGCGAAAATAATTCGCTAAGTTCACAGAGACTTGCTCTTAAACGTTATATTAGATCAGAGATCAGATATAATAGAGTTGAAAAAACGTTTCGCAATCCTGCTAAAAGCTGTCGCGTAAATCGTTTTATCAAGTAATGATATTCGTCTTTTTTGAGATCGAAACTTTCTGCTGAATAGCTAGAAGCTTTCGCAGAACTGTTTCAGATCTATAAGAAAACCGTTTTATAATATCATATAAGAAAAAACTGTTTCGCTATATTCAATCCGATTCAGCGATAAGGAAGATCGGATTTATTGAGTTAAGACTGTAGGACCGCGAAAATCCAGATTGAAAAATACGAATGAAATTCTTATATAATAATAATATATAGTAAGAAATCCGATTGAAAACAGACGAATACACAGAGGCGAGATTTTATCTCTTTCCTTAACTCAATAAATCTCCCGCAGTGTGGCGGTTTTGATGAGACTTTTGAATCCCAGGATACAACTGTGTGAGACTATAGTTGCAACACCCAACTACAGAATCTGCGAACTAAATAACTACGCTATACTCTCGAGACTTACTTTTAGAGAAGAAAGGAAGAGATGTGAGAGATTTGCTGGAGTGTTTGATTTTGAATCAATGATTGAATGAATTGGTGAATGAATGAATAATGAGAGGTGAGGCCCTTTATTTATAGGTGATAGGAGACTTGCTCTCCAAGGAGGAAATATCCTTTTTTGATGTTTACCAAAAAGATAAGGAATAATTCCATTAAAGGATAATGAATAATTCCATTAAGGGATAAGGAAGAATTATTATTCCATTAAGGGATAAGGAAGAATTCCATTATTAATTTCTTGTTTATCAAACAGAAACTGAACTCAATCTTTCTAGAAGTTTCTGGAAGATTTATTCTTGACATTATTCCTTTTTTCCAATTTGGGACAAATGAAGTGCTCCTTCATTTAACTCACTTAACTTTCTCATTAATTTTACATGAGCCTAAGCCCATTTCTTTTCACACTTGTCCACAATTTTATTCAGCCCATTTGGCTTAAAAATTTGGTTCCAACACATCACTCAAAGCTATACACATCTCCTGCTTGTGATGACTTTTCTCCAAGCCAATACTCTGCATATAAGATACCAATATATAGTTCATGAAATACATTAACTTAAATAGTGTACTTTTTTGGAATACTTTTAAAAGTTATAATAATTTGGTCAAAAGTTATATTTGATTTAAACCAAAATGAACCTTGTCAAACCAATTCATACTATAGATTCTTTTATTATTATTATTATTATTTGTTGGTATGAAGATTATTTTATTTTGGTTACTTTATACAATTCAAACCAGAACTCGTATTAAACTCCTTAACTAGTGATCATTAAGAACATGTTTATAAACCTTTCAAAACTGATAAGATGATTTCGGCCTTTGGGGTCATATTTATAATTTTCGATTTTGTTATAATAAATTGTAATTTAATAGAAAAACAGGCTTTTTCTTCTTAACCTAAATGTTATATTCAAAATTTGCATTTAAGTAGTCTAAAAAGAATAAGTAAAGGAATATTTAAAAAAATAAGTATTGAATATTTAGAAGTGAATGATTAACCTGGAGGAATATAACCAATTGAGCCTTTCAAGACATGTGTGGAGCTTATCGAAGCGTGATGACGATCATCAGATGCGTCAAACAACACACGAGCCAGCCCAAAATCTCCAACCTTTGCAACCATTTCTTCGTTTAGAAGAATTGCTTGGTTTTAGATCACAATGAACCACAGGAACTTCACAATCATTGTGCAAATAATCCAATGCAGATGCAATGTCAATAGCTACATTCACTCTTTCTTCAAGACTTAACCCAACACTCCCATCAGAGTTTATCTTCTGACCTTTTATCCATTCTTCTAAGCTTCCATTGCTCAAAAACTCGTACACCAAAGCTAGAAACTCGGTGTTCTTGATGTCTATGCTTGAGCAAGAAGTTATTAGTTTCACAAGATTCCTGTGCCTTACATTCCTCAAAGCGTCACACTCTGCCACGAAGCCTTTGTAGTATCCGTTTGCTTTCAGATCGATGACTTTTACCGCAACATCAACCCCTCGTATTACTCCTTTGAATACCGACCCAAAGCTTCCAACACCTAGAAGATTTGTAGGGTTGAAATTCTCAGTAGCTCTTCTGAGCTCATCATAAGAGACATTCATGAATGGTTCCTTTAGGAGTAAAGGTGATGATGATGTAGACGTGATAGACTTCTTTGCTTTTCTTTTCAAAATCAAGAAAGTTATCACGCATACCGCAGTTACACCTACTGCGCATGTAATGATGCTCACTTTCAAAAGCTTTCCGGGCATCCGAGGTTTTTGGCAAGTGGTGTGGCTGCATAGCTTTGGATTTCCCTCCGTATGAGCTTTAGAAGTATCCTTGAAAATCCCATCACTTGGAGTCCGTCCTTCAAGATTGTTGAATGAAAGATTCAAGAACTTCAGAGCTCCAGAAATGAAACCGGAAAATTGGTTTGAAGAGAGATCCAGAAACTCTAGACCTTTCAGCTCTGCTAATGTTTCCGGAATTTGTCCGAAAAGATTATTCCTAGCCACCTCGAGGTTTTCTAAGCTCTGACAACCTTTGATAGATAAAGGAATGTTGCCTGATAGCATGTTATCAGAAAGATCTAGACTCACAAGGCTTTCGAGGCGACTTATATCTTGGGGAATAGGACCAGAAAATAGGTTCGTAGATAGATTCAAGACAGAACTCAAGCTAGGTTGGAGAACTCCATTTGGTATGCTTCCATTAAGCCTATTGCTGGATAAGTCCATGGATAGCACACTCTTGAAGTTTCCAAATGATGGCGGGATCATACCTTCAAGATTGTTCTGGGAAAGATTGATCTCATTCAAGGCTCCAAGATCACCAAGAGAATGTGGGATTCTTCCAACGAGTTGATTTCGCGAGATTTCTAGCACTTGCAACCCTTTCAAATTCCCAATCTCTTGAGGGATTTCACCATGGATTGAGTTGTCACTCATGTTAAGAAGAGACAAGCCTGTGAGATAGCCAATGGATTCAGGGATTTGACCTGTGAAGCGGTTTCCACCCATGTAAAGCTTCGAAAGATGCTTTGAAAGATTGCCAATTGATACCGGAATAACACCCTCCAAGAGATTTCCATCAAATGCAAGGAAGCTAAGCTGGGAGCTATTACTCAATGACTTGATGAAACGATCAAGATCTTGATCTCTACCCCAAGCCAACTTGTTGAACCCAATGTTGTACATTTCAAGAAATGGGAGATTGCCTAACCCTGATGGTATGGCCCCTTCTAGAAGGTTATGCGCAGCACGGATCACCTTAATGTCTGTGAGGTTATGTAGAGAAGCAGGGATCTCTCCAGTGAACTTGTTAAAACACACGTTGAAAACCAAGAGATTTGGAAGTGTTTGTCCTATGTTGCTAGGAAATTGACCCCAAAAGTTGTTTGAAGCAAGAACCAAAGAGACTAGAGAAGTGATGTTGTAAATTGAAGGAGGAATTGTTCCAGTGAGATTGTTTATGGTGAGATCAAGAACTTTTAGCCTTTGAAGACGACCCAATTCGTAAGGAATTGGACCGCTAAGAGAGTTTGTACCTAGGTTTAAAACAGTGAGAGATGAAATGTTTGAAAGAGATGGTGGAATTGGTCCATAGAGTAGGTTTTTCCCCAACTTTAAGACATCGAGGTTCTTGAGATCACCAAGATGGTTGGGAACAAGACCCGTGATCATGTTTGAGGTTAGATTAAGGACTCGGAGTTGGAATAACTTGCTTAGGTTGGAAGGTAAGGATCCTTCTAAGCTGTTGGAGCTTAAATTAAGAACCCTTATACGGAAAAGATTTGTGATCTCTTTTGGAATTGGCCCTCGAAGTTGGTTATTTTGAAGTTGAAGAGATGTGAGAAAAGAGAGATTACCAATACTTGGGCTTATAGAACCGGTGAGACCATAACCAGAGACAGGGCCGGCCTTGTGCACAGCCACATGAAACATTTGTTTCAGCCCTCATTTTTTGTTGGTTTAATAGTATTGAAAATAGGCCCCTGATTTTATTTAATTTTCAGTAAATGGCCCCCAGATTTTTAAACATCTAAAAACCCCCCTTTATTAGCTCGAGCCCCCTAAATTTCAGTGCCGGCCCTGACCAGAGAGGTTGATGGAGGCCACTCTTCTGTTGCGTGTGTTGCAAGACACGCCAGTCCAGTTACAAGGAGATGTGTTTTGGTCCCAAGAGAAAGAAAGTGTTTGTGGGTTTTGGCTAATTTGGGATCTGAACGAGAGCAAAGCTTCTCTGTCTGTATTCAAAGAAAAATAAGCTGACCCAACAATGGAAAATGTTGAAACTGAAAACATAAGAAGAAGAAGAAAAGACATAAGAAAATGATTAACACTTAAACCCATTTTTATGATCTCTCTTATCGGTTTCTCTCTTTTGTATATGAATAAGAATCTACGGAGGTTTGATCATTTATAGTGATTTATTGGATTACGTGTTTGGTCAGGATATTGAGTTGGAGTTTTCTAGCTTCGGTAACTCGGTCAAGTAAACGGACGTAAATCTAAATTCTAAAATAGACACAAAAGTCCATGAACTTGACTATTGATTATCATTGTGTGGCCTTCATTAAAATTTATGTTGGTACTAAGCTGATAGGCTCTTTGTCTCATTAACTTACACCATACGACCGTTCTTCTATCAATCTCTTATCACCTAGCTTACGCCTCACGGGGCGGTGCATGTAATGCAAAAAACGTATTTAGTCATCATCACTCAAAAAAGTTTGTAGTTATTGCAATACAACTGTATCAAGACTTTATGTTTTCATAACAAACTTTTTCGTTTATAATACACACACATGTACGATGCATATAATTTGTTATGTTTGGTGTATACAATAATTTTTTCCTTCTGAAATTTCTATCCTGTTAAATGAAACCCACACGACGTCGTATTTTGGGTTTTATAGCTTTGATCTAGATGAAGGCCGTGAAACAATGATAGGAATTTAAAATTGACGTCGTATTTTGGGTTTCACTGCTATTGGATTCGGACATGAAACCCAAAATATGAGGTCAGTTTTAAATTTAAAAGAAAAGTAAGGTTTGAGATACAGTAATCAGAATTCACAACAGTATATCTAAATTTTTTGAGCCAATACATCTATAACTCTCTGATTTTTGAAAATCAAAACAAAAACATCCGGCTTAAATTCGTAATAATATCGAATTCACATTTATCAAGCTGTATAGAGATGGGTCCACGTGTACCTTTTATGAACTCCAAAACCTCGTCCGATTCATAGCCATTCCATTTTTTTCTTACAAATACGTACGTTGCATATGGAAAGAAAATTTTTTTTTTGACTTATTCTTCCTCTTGAACTGTTCTTAAGACTTTTCAAACGTTATTATTCGTTGAAAGAGATTGCATACGCGCATACACCTGCCACACACACACACACACACATTAATTTGCAAGTAATTTCTCTATCTCTTCTCAAATAAATCAGGTGAATCACTTTACTAACAGTGAAACGTACGTGTAGAAAACCCTAACAGCCAACAGCTTAAGCGATATGAATAAGAAGCAACACATTGATAATTCTTCAAAGTACTAGTTCTTATAAATTAGTCAACGTTTACACTTATGATTGGTATTACACAATTCTAACTATTTCTTAAATTGTTCTCAATACAAATTCTACGCAGCTACCCGATCCTAATCTAGACGTAACTACCCATGATCCGACAAGACCATAACCTAGTCTATCCGTGACTTGACCACTTAGCCCGTTTCTCTTGTTCAGCCTTTTGCAGGTCACTTGCGCTTAACAGATTAATGTGGCCACGTGTGTGCATAAACCTTTAAGGAAACAGAGAAACAACAAGACAGATTAGAAGCAAACAAAAACTAAAAGAAAAACTTGATCTTGAAAATTTTCCAAATCGAAAATGCCCAATCCAAATGGCAACGGCGCCAAATTGAAATACGATTTTTGTTATGTATCAATCACTCAGTCTCTACTCATATTATTGTAGTAATTGAGATTATCAATCCATTTTGGAGGATGATTGGACAAGAAGGAATGCAAGAAATTAAACAAGTCAAGAGCAATAGATTTCTCAATAGTAGCAAGATGCATTTTTTTGTTTATTAACATCAAAAACTCCATTGATAAACTAAATAGGTGCAAGGTGGTTAGCCGATGTGACTAGCCAGCTTGGTACAAAAGTGGTTACAAGGGAGTGTAGGGATCCTCGTGCACGTGCCTCTTTAGAAAGGCGATCGGCACATACATTGTTTGAACGTGGAATAAAAGAGATCATACAAGAAATAAAGGCCGAAGATAAGTAAGAGTATTCTTCGATTTCAGCCTCCAGGGATGGCCATGTCTCTTCTTCTTCGAGCAGCTTAACATGTTGCAGACAGTCGGTTTCCAGGGTCATCGAGATATAGCCCAAAGATAAGACTTCCGTCATTGCCCAAATTAAAGTGTGGAATTCAGCATGTAGAGGAGAGAGGACTTGTGTACTCGTCCTGGAGCCAAAGGTACTCCGGCCATCTACATCGTCAATTACAAAACCACCACCAAAGACAGTGAGCAATTTGCAATTTAAAGGAAATAAAAATAAAGCAAGGCAATAGACAAAAATGAAAGTAATGTGAAATCAAAAACTAAGAAACGAATTTGAATCAAGCAAGTAGATGAACTCAAAGGAAGAAAGTGGACTTAGGATGGGATAATTGATTAGAGAACCCTACAGGTTGATGATGATGTTCAGACAAACGCAACCCAAGCTTAATCCTAGAAAGAGAATTCATCAATATTCACGCATTTTCATGGAGAAAATCACAAAGCAAGCACCAATCCCAAGAGCTAACTTTCGTTAGTGGAAAAGGTTCAAGCCAGCAATAACAACTCTTCTAAACCAATAAGCTCTCTAAACAGTCACTATCATGAGCTAGAGAAGCAAATCTCCTTGTTGGTTGGTCCAACATTTCTCCAAACACTTTTGATGTGGGAAATGTTTAACATCTAGATCTAAATGATCAAGAGAGACCTAGCATTAAGAAAACCCAACAAGGAAGGATTGTAGGAAGAATTTAAATCTCTGAACATCAAAATCAAACTCTAAAATCTCTAATATATCTCATCCTCTAAGACCAAAGGGGTTTACTCAATAATCATGCTTAGAACACCAAATTTCATGAGGGAAAAGATCCTAATCATGATTAGGAAGATAAGATAAGAAGATTATAGAAGGAAAGTACTTGATTTGATTAAAAACGAATTTAAGATCTCACAAAATGTTAAAAACCCCTAAAAGATGTGTTTTTCTTGTTCTTACAGAGGTAAGATAAGAGGTGGCTACAAATTTACGACGAAAAACTATTTATACGAAGACATGAAACCCTTTGTCAACTCATTTAGCTTGACTTTTTCTTCCTTCCCATTGGTTTTTGCTCCAAAGATTGCGGTTTAATCCCGATTTGGTACAGCTGGATAGTGGTCAAAGCTTGGTCAACAGGTCAACAAGTCCTCACAGTCAATGCGCAGCTTGAAGGTGATAATCGATTTCCTGAACCTGATTGACATCCTGATTGCGAGCTCCTGAGTATTCTTTTGATCTCTAATCTCCCATCTGCCTCCAAACTCAGCACCTAAATACAGCTTCATAATGCAATATGCATGCAATGCGTGTTCTAAAGAGATGCATATGGACAATGGGGAAATATACGAGATGTAAAACAAGCTAAAAGAGTCTGAATAATGTAAAATACAATGAAATCATTAGTATTTGGGTTTCAGTCTTTTTAAAACTTCAAACCGGAACAACTAAACCAATTCTAAACTACAAACCGGATTACAACAACTCTAATTGTTGGATCCGGCCTATAATAAACGCAATGATTAAAAAATTGGACCGGATCGGCCGGTCCAAACGGTTAAACCGGGAACCGGTGGCAATCCCGGTTCGAATTTAATGAAAACCCTGAATTGTAATGGACCCAAAAAAACCAACATTAATCCAGCAAAAACCCACAAAGCCGCCGGTTTGAGTAATTAATTAAACCCGGTTTTGATTTAATGCACCTTAAAACCCTAAAACACATCACCTCTTCTTCCTTTTTTTTTGGTACTCACGATTCTGCTGTCACAAGCTTTAATATCGAACTTTTTTTTTTTTTTTTTTAGTTTTGAACTTGCACATAATGATCTTTGACTAATTTGGTCAATATATTTGTTTATAATTTGGTTCTTAGTCTTTTCATAAAATATTACGGCTATGGATTTAAGAGGATGATTTGATAAAGTGAAACTTCATGTAGCTGGGCAAAAAAACAATCTAAATTTCTTAACTTTATATTTTACATATATTTCTAGTATAATTTTTTAATATATTTATATATGAGATTCAAATATATTATTATTAAAAAATATATAAAAACTCGGTCCAACCGATTGAACCACATTGAACCATGATCCGAAGGTACATCCGATTCGATATCCGGTCTGGTTTAAATGGTTTAAACGCTTAATGCCCAAGTTTAAGAAGGATAACTGTGGTTATTTCGTTAATGGTAAACTCACATGTCTTTAATTTTAAATGATGTTCGCTAACATTTGTTTAACAAGTTAACATAGCAGTTAATTACTGACTTACTGTTTAAGACTTTAAGCGTATCAAATTGGATATAAAAATTAGTTTGTGTATTTTTTTTAGATCCAAAATAATTGATAATATTTTTATTCTGAAAATAATTCCGTTGGTACAATTTTTACGATTTTCCCCTAAGTTAATCATATTTACCGACGTTCATTTGTAAATTCATAAAGTTACAGGCAAATCTGAAATGTGAAGCAGCTGACACAAGAGAGCAAAAAATTTCACGGCCAAAAAATGCACACGCTAAACAACACCACCGGTTCACAAGATCCGATCGACCCGAATCCGAATCTCGACCCGGACCAATTTCCCCAACGAAATCACAATCACCCACAGTCTCGACGGCCGCGCGGGTTCGCCGCCACAGCTGCGGCGTCGCTAGCACCAGCTGAAAGCGATGTAAACAACGGTAACATCGCCGGGATCGGCGGTGGAGAGACAACCAGCGGAGGAGGAGGAGGGAAAGGGAAGAGAGAGAGGGAGAAGGAAAAGGAGAGAACGAAGCTGAGAGAGAGACACAGACGAGCAATCACTAGTAGAATGCTCGCCGGATTGAGACAGTACGGTAATTTCCCGTTACCGGCGCGTGCGGATATGAACGATGTAATCGCTGCTTTAGCGCGTGAAGCAGGCTGGAGTGTCGACGCCGACGGAACTACTTACCGGCAGTCACACCAACCAAACCATGTGGTGAGATTCGAAATTCGAACCCTTTCTTTTCAAAAGTTCAAACTTTTCAAGTCTCTTCATCCCAAATGTGACGACTCATTTAGCATTTTAACTTCAGTTATGGACTACAAAATTGGAAAAATCAATATCAATTACGATAATCTGAACGAATGTAACCCTAATATGGTTAAAAGCTGACCACTTTGATCCCAAATGTATGTTATTAAGCTTGTTCTGTTATCAATGGCTTTGAGTTTGTTTCTGAAGCTTAGTTTTCCAGTGGTTATAAATTGACAAATTAGAGATAACATTGTGAACTTGTTTAGACTATATCTTGATTGTTTCATGCCATTGGGACAGGTTCAGTTTCCGACGAGATCTATCGAGAGTCCTCTTTCTTCTAGTACTTTGAAGAACTGTGCTAAGGCTGCACTTGATTGTCAGCAGCAGCATCCAGTTCTTAGAATCGATGAGAACCTCTCTCCAGTGTCTCTTGACTCTGTTGTTATCGCCGAGAGTGATCATCCCGGGAATGGAAGGTATACGGGCGCTAGTCCTATCACCTCGGTCGGATGCAATCAGGTAATGATTATATACTGGTCAATGGTAACTGTAAAAGTTAGGAGAGTTGACTCTGAGCCGGATATTTTTCATTCTTTCAGCTTCTACAAGATGTTCATTCCACAGAGCCTCGTAATGACTTCATGGAGAGCTTTTATGTTCCTGTGTACACCATGCTTCCAGTGAGCTTCTTATCATATAGAACTGTGTGTGTTTTAAGTGTCTTTTACCACTTTTATCAAAGAAAGTTGTACACTTTGTTTCTCAGGTTGGCATTATAGACAGTTTCGGCCAGTTGGTTGATCCTGAAGGTGTAAGACAAGAATTGAGTTACATGAAGTCACTAAATGTCGATGGAGTGGTGATAGATTGTTGGTGGGGAATAGTTGAAGGATGGAACCCTCAGAAGTATGTGTGGTCTGGCTATAGAGAGCTCTTTAACCTTATCAGAGACTTCAAACTTAAACTACAGGTATAGGATTCTCTACTTTTCCTATGTGACCAAACTGTTACTCTCGCAATAGAGAACCGTCTTTTTCGTAGTATCTTAGCAATTAGCATATGGTATATATGAAGGTGGTGATGGCATTTCATGAATATGGAGGGAATGCATCTGGAAACGTTATGATCTCGTTACCACAGTGGGTTTTGGAGATTGGAAAAGACAATCCAGACATATTTTTCACTGATCGGGAAGGAAGAAGGAGTTTCGAGTGTTTGAATTGGAGCATTGACAAGGAACGGGTGTTGCATGGACGTACTGGTATAGAGGTACTTAGAGAACGCTCATTGCGCATTTTGGTCTAGTGTGTGCCCATATCATCCTCTTTATATCTTCATTGTATAAAACATGATTTTTCAGGTCTATTTTGATTTTATGAGAAGCTTCCGGTCAGAGTTTGATGATTTGTTTGCGGAGGGGATAATTGCTGCAATTGAGATTGGTCTTGGAGCTTCTGGTGAACTAAAGTATCCATCTTTTCAAGAACGGATGGGTTGGATTTATCCCGGTATTGGTGAGTTTCAGGTATTTTTCAGATTGATGAACTTTGACTTCCTACTTGTAACTGGTTTAACTGATGAAGTCTGAGCATGGTTAAGATTTTAATCTACTTCTAATTCTCCTATTGCAGTGTTATGACAAGTATTCGCAAACAAGTCTGCTAAAGGAAGCTAAATCACGAGGATTCGCTTTCTGGGGCAAAGGACCAGAGACTGCTGGTCAATACAATTCTCAACCTCATGAAACTGTTTTCTTCCAGGAGAGAGGTGAATATGACAGCTACTACGGCCGGTTCTTCCTAAACTGGTATTCTCAGTTGCTTATAGGACACGCCGAGAACGTTCTCTCTCTTGCGAACCTCGCGTTTGAGGAGACAAAGATTATCGTCAAGGTACAATCTCTTACAGCACTTATTCTTCGAAAAACCAGTAATGACCATAACAATGAGAGACTCATACAACAGCAAAAACGATGCAAATGATGCAGATACCGGCGATTTACTGGTCATACAAGACAGCTAGTCATGCTGCTGAGTTAACTGCAGGATACTATAACCCTTCGAACCGTGATGGTTACTCTCTTGTTTTCGAAACTCTGAAGAAATACTCGGCTACAGTGAAATTTGTGTGCCCTGGGCCACAAATGTCTTCTAATGAGCATCAAGAAGCATTAGCTGATCCAGAAGGTTTGAGTTGGCAGGTAATGAGTAATGACATTATCTTATTGATGAAACTTAGCTTTCTTGTTTCTTTTCTTTAGCGGAAGTTTGGTTATTTTTGTGGCAGGTGATCAACGCAGCTTGGGATAAGGGACTTCTTATTGGAGGAGAGAATGCGATTACTTGTTTCGATAGAGAAGGTTGTATGAGGTTAATTGAAATGGCTAAGCCAAGAAACCATCCAGATAGCAATCACTTCTCCTTCTTTACGTATCGACAACCTTCTCCTCTGGTTCAAGGATCTACTTGCTTTGTAGATTTGGACTACTTCATAAAACGCATGCACGGTTAGATCATTCAGACACACTCACAATTCTGTATCGTCTATTTGCATTGCCAAGTTCTTACGACTCTTTTTGTTTGGTTGCAGGAGACATACAGAGATAAACAGTTGTTGAATATCATTACAGGGCGATAAAAGTTGATGGGAATCTAAGAAGATTGATCTACTATTGGAACTTCAAAAACTGTTTTGTTTTGTTTGTTATTCTTAGGATTAAGAAGATTGATCTATTATTGTAAACCCTATACAATTGTACTAGTTGGTGATGAACTTGCTAATTAACTAACACGTTTCCTTTTGCATTAGAGCACTTTTGAAATGGTATGTTTGAGTCTAATTATGTTTTTTAAACAGTTGAAATTTTTGTCAACAGTATGCAATTATTCTAAACCCACTCAGATAGAGTTTTAATTTAGCTATAATCTTACAAGTTACAAGTAGTCAGTCATTGATTGGTAAAGTTACGTAGCCTAACTGTTCGGTTATTCAATCGCGTAGGCAATATCTCCATCCAATGTGAAGAACTTTTACGCTCAACAATCACATTTTTTTAGATTTGATTTTAAAAAATAAGAATTTTTTTAAAAGAGAACAATATATTTCCTCGGGTTTGAGTTAGGTCCTTTTGTTAAATGCCATTGTCGTGCATATTCTTAATTCTTTTTTTCTTTTTTTTTGTATCTCTGGTATCTGGGTCCGAGGAGTCGACCGAACAGTCATCGACTAGTCCTGGGGCCCAAACCGATAGTCTGAGCTTTGTCCAGCTGTATCCAGTTATTCCGAGGATCTAACCCGAACGGAAAACCCGACTATCCCTTCGAAAGGGGTCCAGGGCCCCAACAGAAGGGATGTTAAATCCGTTGTGGCCAATTGGTTTCGAACCCGGGTCCGTATTGGGACTTACCTCCCTTAAGTACCACTGGATACGACCACTTGGCTATATTCTTAATTCTTGTATTGAACGATTGACTAAAGTACTAAACCATTAGACTGTTATACTTATAGTTAATATTGCGACAGCAAAAGAAAAAAAGAATTGGCAAATCCGAAAGTGTTGCATTTGCACCAAAACAAGAAAGGTAGTAACGTGCCATTTGACTAAAAATTAATTTAACCAAGTTGTTTTCAAAGTGATCAACCTTGATGACTAAATTCTTTTCAGAGAGAAACATTTGGACTAAATTGTCCGAATCAGATTACAGTAATACTATCATTAACTTTGGTCCAAAGTTACCATATCTTCCCTTTTTCTGTACTACAAAACATACTTGATACTCCAGTAAAATCTAGTTTTTTCTTCAGGGTATATATATATATATATATGACATTTTAGATCCAACAACAAAACAAATCTTTGAAGGACAAAGAAAGAGAATACAAAAGGCAATATGTCCTCTTTTATGCAAGCAGCTATAGAAATTTATAGTGGTTATAGTTAAGATGACGATAGTCTGAGTCTGAGTTTATGGACACTTAAAAAGGAGCATTGAGGTTTATGTAGCAATACTACATTTTAGGTTTATGAAGACTTCAAAGATCTTAGAAAGGAATTTAGTGGAATACATGGAAGCCCAAAAGAAATTGTTTGAGAAGATGGAGGAAGATTACTGAGACTTGAGAGTTGAGAGTATTGAGAAAGAGCTCGTGGTCAAAGGCGAATGTGGAGAATTTGGGTTGTGACTTGTGAGAGAGAAGGCAAACTCAACTATAAAGAGAATAGGTGTTGTCGTGGTAGCTTTATGCTCATTGACATGGATTTGGGGGAATTTTATTTTGATTATACCTGCAATACCACCTTCATCCTAACTTTATTATGGTATACATAAATACATTCTCTGCATTACATTTACACATTAACAACAATCATAATCTTTTCACAATATTAATAAATAAAATAGAAACAAAATCAAAAGAAGGCTAATAAAATGATTGAATTTGCAAAGGCTCCCACCTATAATTCTGTTTAGCCTAACTGAAGTGCAAAAAAAAAAAAAAATCAATCCATAAATAGCACCGTATTTTATGTATAGTTTCAGATTTCCTATATCCAAAGAACCCTGTATTGTATGGAATAGAAATAAGTATGCAGAAATAAAACGCAGATACACATTTTCTAAAAGATTCATAAAACGGATACTGTTGTGAATGTTATATATACATAATGACATTGATACATTAACATTACATCATCGCACTTTTAAAATTAACTAGCAATTCAAAACAGAAGTGCAAGTTTCAAATGGAAAATATTATTGGAATCGAACAAAAAGAAGGATAAAAAAAAAACCCTTCAAAATTTACTGAAAAATATACGAATCACAATCACAATCCAAAGTTTCAAATCCAGACACCATAGTGAACCTTACCAAACGATGTTCGATTTCAACTCGATTACTGTACTTCCATTGCTACACTTTACAGACCAAAAATCTGAACACGAAACTGGTTAAAAAAAAAACGGTTAGGCATCAATAGTTCACTTAATCAATGTAAACTAATAAGTGGATTTAAATAAATTGAATTGACTATATTACATCTCATCATCACCAACCTGCGCCACTGCAAAACATCATTAGACCCTAAATCATAATAATACTCAAAAGTCTACATGAAGACTTTGTCAAAGTCTAAGACAAGATCTACGTTTAAGAAAGACCCTAGATCCTGAAACTTTCCAGAACATGCTTATTTGAGGAAAAAAGTAACCAAATTTATAGATCTAGAGAAACCCAATATGTCGATTCAAACAAACAACACAAAACGAGAATCCAAGATTCCTCCTGAAAAGAAAAAAGTGAATCAGATCTGAAATTTGGATCTCTATCTCTTTTCACCTCGGGCTCGGATTCAGTTGATGCAAGGCGGGAGCTGATTCCTGCTCACAAGCCAAACGATGAACAAAAAACACGTGGCGGTGTCAAGCCAATCAGTTCCCGACCTGCACCAAGCGAATCCGAGACCATCGGTGACTTTATCATCATCAATCATCGTATCTCTCTCTTTCTCTCTCACATCGGGAAAAGATAAAAAGGAGAAGAGAAGAGAAAGAAAACAGTTGCCGCATGTGGCAAAGAATTTGCGATCTATCGGAATCAGGTATACACTGGCCGCCTCCTTAGGTGGGTATTTAAAGAAAACAACAGACCAACAAGATATCGACGCGTGTCTTACTTTAAAGTGAGAAAAAGTCTTCTCGTCCACACACTCTCGTGCTTCTAGATCCACCTAATTCCTTAACCTAGATTTGAGTGAAAAAGAGTTGTAAGAACAGTACCCTCACGCGACCTGCACGTGGACGTGACTCTCACGTGAGTCCGGTACAGCGTCTTCAAATCAATTCCCGGTTTGGATGCCTTCAATTATGGTCGTTGACTAGTTGTCGGTTTGGTTTGGGTTTTGGATTTTTTTGAGTTTCAAATTATGGATTCTGTTATGGGTAAGTGGATGCCCATTAGTTCCATAGGTGGATGTCCATTAGGCCCACTTCTCCCAATGTTGATTTCCCTTGGAACCCTACTATGTGCTCTATATAAAGAGCTCTTCCCTCATGAATAAGACACCTTCATTCTCTCTTTCTCACAACACGTTATCAGCACGAAAGTTCTACCTCTTAGCTTTTCTAGGTAATCACAAAAAGTTCTTATAGTTTGAATTCACAAAATTCAATGAGTAATCTCTATTACTTTGTTGATTTGTGTTTATCATACTAAAATCCATTTCTATCAATACTTAATATATTACTTATTGATAATATTTTGGATTCAGCAAACACATGCTTTATATATATTTATTTTATTTTCGTAATTATATATTCAATTGCTATATTTTTTTTCTCTGGTTAAATTATATCCCTGAAGGATTAATATTATAAAAAAATATATATATTTATATATCCCTGAAGGATCTATATATTATTTTTCCTTGAAGGAATTATATATTTCAATTATATATCCTGAAGGATTTATATTTATTTCTATCCCTGAAGGAATTTTATATTATTTATTTTATTATATCCCATGAAGGATTCATATTTATTTATATTTTATTTTATTTTATTTATTTATTTCTATCCGAAGGATTTATATTTTATTTTATCCTTGAAGGATTTATTTTTTTTATTTTATCCGTGAAGGATTATATTTTATTTATATCCCTGAAGGATTTATATTTTGTTTCTATTTTTATTTATATCCAGAAGGATTTTATATTGTTTATTATTATTTATTTGTTTTTCACATTTATTTATTTATTTTCGTAATATATTTAATTAATTGATGAAATGAATAATTATTGAAAATTGGCATAATTTTGACATTTGAAATATTATTGCATTAATTTGAAATATTATTGCATTCTTGACCATATTAATTTTTAAGTTGACCTGTTGACATATGAATTATAATTGAATATAAGTGCTAAAATCACTCTAAATATATATCATTAATATTATTATTTAATGATTGTTGACTGTTTTGTTAAAATGAATCTTGATCAGCTTTATTAAAATAATATTGTTTGATTTTGCATCATAACTTCGTATATTGCTATTGAGATTGCTTATTATTGCTAAATTATCATTTGATCATTGCTAATAATATATATATATTATATTATTGCATATCCTGATTTAATATTATAAATAAATGTATAATTATTCCCTTGATTTGTTTTATTTATTGGTTTGATTTGGTTTAACAAATCAATTATTATTATTATATACTAATAAGTGTATTTATCTATCATTACATGATTTTAAAATGTAATAATTTTACCATTGAGTAAAAAGAAAGGCATGATCACTAGAAGTGATCTAATATAGCAATCTAAAGAAAATGAACAATCATCTGAAGTGATATGATCTGATAGAGCATCTCAGACCATATAAACTTGAAGTTTATAAGTGAAAATATATTACTAATAAAAATGTATAAGAAGAAATTATGAAAATATTGTTGTCCTGCAGACACAATAGCATAAATATATTTAAGGAATATTTTAAAAATATTGTTGTCCAGTAGACACAATAGCAAATAAATTCTTAAAATTAAATTTGTCACTTGAAGTGATAATAAAAAGGTAATGTTATTTATATTAATTATTTATT